TTCATTATTCTTCATACCCGGGGATTGACGGCTACATCCTCCACAAGATCTCCGATTGAAACCCGTGTTCTAAGGCCGGCCGGAAGGCAGCAAGTAAGGCAGATCCCGTGTTTCTAGCCCCGACAGCACACCCGGCGGCCCTCCCAGGAAAGCACGGGTGCGGCAGTGGGCCGAATCGGGTGGAAGCGGCTTGGCGTGGGTCCGGGCGGCGCTGAGGGAAAGAAACTGACCTGAGGCATGGGGATGTGGGGAGAGTTTTCTACCTTTGCCAGCGGCCTGCGCGGCCTGCGTCGGCGCCTTCCACTTCTGAGACTGGAGCATTGATTTGCACAGAAGAACTGGAAGCTTCCCCTCAGCTGGACCCCGCGTCTCTGTTGCATGTACCTTCCTTAGACAGCTTGGGTGCCTAGCAGACTGACCGCTTTCGTTCCTTTGCGGCTTTGGCCCCCCTCCCCCTCCTCAATGGCGTTCCGTTTCGCAACAAGACGAACGGTCAACCTAACCCCACGCATCGTCAACCCGACGGCAAGACCAGTCACACGCATGTAAGTACACTTATACTCTTATCTGGTCTCTTTTCCACCTTTGAATTACCCATTGACCTGGCTTCTTCAACAGTCCCTACCAACTACGAAATCACAACGCCTTTGCGACCCGTTCGCCAGTACTCCGAGCTACCCCTCCTCGACGAATTTCGCGACTCCAGAACCCTCAGCGCATTGCTGCTACACGATACTGCTCCTACAAGAGAAGTATGTGCAGACACGGAGAGCATGGCGGCGCTGGCACGCTGAACTATCCTCGGGAACAGCTGCCTACCAACGTCGTCCCGCGCCACTACGATCTTACTCTTGAACCCAACTTCGAGACGCTTAAGTTCGATGGCTTGGTCAAGATTGACTTTGACGTGGCGGAGGACTCCAACACTATCTCTTTGAACACCCATGAAATCGAGATCAAGAATACTTCATTGTCCTTCTCTGTCGAAGGACAAGAGAAGAGCCTTGGCGAACCAGTCGTCACCTACGACGAGTCGAAGCAATGGCACAGCTTCGAGTTCAAGGAGAAGCTCACCAAGGGCGGCAAGGGTACCCTCGAAATCAAGTTCGTCGGTGAGCTGAACGACAAAATGGCGGGTTTCTACCGCTCATACTACAACAAGCCGGATGGCACCAAGGGTATCATGGCCACCAGCCAGATGGAGCCTACCGACGCCCGCAGAGCCTTCCCTTGTTTCGACGAGCCAGCACTCAAGGCCGAGTTCACCGTCACTTTGATTGCTGACAAGGCTCTGACCTGCCTTTCCAACATGGATGTGGCTGAAGAGAAGGATTTGCCCTCTGGAAAGAAGGCTGTCAGTTTCAACAGGTCTCCCGTCATGTCCACCTACCTCGTTGCCTTCATCGTCGGAGAGCTTAATTACATCGAGACCAACGATTTCAGAGTACCCATCCGAGTGTATGCCCCGCCTTCCGAGGACATCGAGAGAGGCCGTTATGCCTTGGATATCGGTGTGAAGGCCTTGGAGTTCTACGAAAAGGCCTTTGGTCTTCCTTACCCTCTGCCTAAGCTTGACCAGGTTGCCATTCCCGATTTCGCCGCCGGCGCTATGGAAAATTGGGGTCTGGTCACCTACCGTACTGTTGAAGTCTTGTTTGACGACAAGACCAGTGGTGCCGCAGCCAAGGAGCGAGTTTCGACAGTCATCACTCACGAGATTGCTCACCAGTGGTTCGGAAACATTGTTTCTCCGGACTGGTGGCACGCTCTGTGGCTCAACGAGGGCTTCGCCGAGTTTGCGTCTCGCTACTCCATGAACGCCTTCTTCCCTGAGTGGAAGCTCAAGGAGTCTTTCGTCAGGGAAGATCTTCAGGCAGCATTGGGTCTCGACGGACTCAGGAGCAGTCACCCTATCGAGGTTCCCATCCACAAGGCCGAGGAGATCAACGAGATCTTCGATAGTATCAGCTACGCGAAGGGCTCTTGTGTTGTCCACATGCTTTCGGCATTCCTTGGAGAGGATGTATTCATGGAGGGTGTCCGCAAGTACCTTAAGCGTCACGCTTGGGGCAATGCCACTACGAATGACCTGTGGCAAGCCTTGAGCGAGGCTAGCGGCAAGGACGTTGGCTCCATCATGAACATTTGGACCCAGAACGTGGGATACCCCGTCGTCTCTGTCACCGAGTCAGGCAAGTCGATCAGCGTGGAGCAGCATCGTTTCCTGACCACAGGAGATGTCAAGCCCGAGGAAGACAAGGTCCTCTACCCCATCTCTCTGAATGTCCGTACCAAGGGAGGTGTCGACAAGGACTTGATGCTCACAACCCGTGACACCAAATTCGAGATTGACGATGCCGAGTTCTTCAAGATCAATGCCGATTCTACGGGATTCTACCGCACCAAGTACGCTATTGATCGTTTGGAGAAGCTTGGAAACGCTGCGGAACTACTTTCTGTTCAGGACAGGGTTGGTATTGTGGCTGATACAGCTGCTCTCGCAACCTCTGGCTACCAGAAGACCTCGTCTCTTTTGAGTCTGTTCAAGGCTCTTAGCCAGGGAGGCGAGGCCGAGTACCTTGTGTGGGACCAGATCCTCACCCGCCTGGGCTCAATCAAGATGGCCTGGATCGAGGATGACGCCGTTGTTGACAAGCTCACCGAGTTCCAACGGGAAATTGTCAGCAGTATCGCACACAAACTAGGATGGGAGTTCTCCAGCAACGATGGTCACGTCGAGCAACAGTACAAGGCTCTTACGTTTAGTGCGGCTGGCATGTCTGGTGACGAGAAGGTTGTTGCTGCAGCCCGGGCCATGTTCGAGAAGTTCGCGGCTGGAGACAAGACGGCGATTCACCCCAACATCCGAAGCTCCGTCTTCTCAATCGTTCTGAAGTTTGGCGGCGAGACAGAGGTATGCCTGTTCCTTGAAAATGCCATTGAAGCAAGTCACTAACCAAAATCACAGTATGAGGCCGTATACAAGTACTACAAGACCGCCGAGACCGCCGACGAGCGCAACAGCGCTCTCCGAACCCTTGGCCAATCCCGCGACCCCAAGCTCCGTCAACGCACACTTGATCTTTTGCTGAGCGGTGAGGTTCGTGACCAAGATATCTACATTCCTATCGGCAGTCTGCGGTCGAGCAAGGGCGGCATCGAGGCCTTGTTTGACTGGCTGCAAACAAGATGGGAGGAGATCTACACCAAGTTCCCTGCCCAGTCTTCCATGATTGGCAGCATCGTGAGCTACTGCACAAGCGGGCTTACCAAGCAAGAGCAGCTGGATAAGCTCGATAAGTTCTTCGCGGAGAAGGAGAAGAAGGGTTTCGTGCGTGCTTTGTCGCAGTCCACCGACTCGGTCAAGGCCAAGATTGCTTGGACCTCCCGTGATACTGAGGATCTGCGCAAGTGGTTGAATCTTTAGGTGTATATCTTGATGAGGGCGATTGCTAATTAGCATAAACGCCTGCTATTTCATCTTGGATGATTGAGGGGTGGCAGTATACTGCCAGGTTCGGCAGAAAAATCCAACAAATAACGCATTGTAATAAAAATGGACAAATAAGAGAACATCTCCGCTTGTCGAGCCCTTCATTTAAAAGTATTCAACTGGTTCCTACTACTGTCCTCATGTGCATGAGAACATCGCATATGATGTGGGTGATTTTATGGTTGTGGTGGACCCCGCGATTGTTTAGGTAGTCGTCATGTAGGGCACTTTCCTCAGCCAGTGCATACTGAGTTTGTGAGACCCGTTCACCTTGAGCTGCGACCAATCCGTCCAACGTTCATCCTTCACCTCCTCCCATCCAACCGATCGTGTATATTGGCCGGCCTCGAAGAAATCAAATTTTCATCGAGTCTGATTGTCAATCGCACCTTTGCTCATATGGAGTCGAAGCGAGTTTCGTCGTGGCAGGTCCGCGCCGAGGCCGGCGAGCCTTTTGCGGTGGTCCGGGTCCGCGACCTTCAGAGCACGATCAAAGCCGGTACCGACGCCTGGGGCCGCGAGGGCAAGACACAGCCCGTAGTTGTCTCCGCCGAGCTGTCCATGTCAGAGCCCTTTGAGGCCGCTTCACTCGCGGACAAGGTCAGCGATGACACGGTGCACTATGGCCTCTTGGGCAAGGCGCTCCTCCGCATACTGGACAACGTGAACCGCTACGAGGACGATTTGAGCCTGGAAAACGCCATGCAGATGATCTGGAACGCGTTGACTGGGTACCACGTCTCCGGGCCTGAGGCTGATGGTCTCACGGAGCCGGCGTTCCTGAAGGACAAGCTGCCCAGAATTCGCTACCTGAATATCTCCCTCGCCCTACCAAAGGCATCGCTGCTCGGCAGTAGCGTGAGCCGGTCTTACTCCTTGGCCCATGGCTTCCGTAATGGTACCCAGGCAGGGGCGGTCTACAGCTCGAGCCTGCGCATCAACGAGCTGCGCGTGCCTACGCTCATCGGAGTCAATGACAACGAGAGACTAGCGAGGCAGGTTGTCGTGGTCAGTATCGAGATCGAGGGCTACACTGGAAGGTCGGATAATTACGTCGAAATCGAGTCTTTCGTTGTAAAGGTTTGTGACTTCTTCCTCCTCTTATTCACCGTCTTGATAGTTCTTCACTCAGTCTTATATATATGGATCATTGCTGACTCAAGTCATGGTATCGAAAGATTCTGGGTGACTCTTCCTTTGAGACGCTTGAAGCCCTCGGTCCCGCTATCACTACGGGGATTAGGCGGTGCTACCAAGAACGATCAGATATTCATGAGCCTCTCTGCAATCCCGCAGACTGGACTATCAAGGTCGTCATGGAGAAGCCGACTGCCATCACCATGGCCGCGGCCTCGTGTGTGGAGTACAGAGAACCGCCTCAGGCAAAGCCATAGTCAAATCCATCTTTTTCGTCAAGAAAGAACCACATCAACTTAAGTCTAACATTGTTCGCTGTACCGAGGTTGACGGTGAGAGAATCCACGAGGTTTTCGCTATCGTGCCATCTCTCCCCCTTGATCTGTGCCGTTTGCCGTCATAATATCTCACCCAAACTCCCCCCTTCACCGATCCCTAGGCCCGTCGAGTTTCCTACTACTCATGCCTCAAACTTGTCACACTGAGGCACATCCCCGTTCGTAATCTCCCGAATGAACGCGGGATCCGGGTCGAAGAGCATGACGTGGAAATGCTCAACCGCGTGAACGGACTTGAGACTCCGCCAGTTCTTGAACCAAATGACCTAGCCATCATCGTCAGCTTAACTCATGTCCATATTGCATGTCCGTTCTGACGATGGGCACCGCCAAATCATGACAGAGAAGAAGGGAGGATGAAAACTCACAGTATCAGGCTTCGTCCTCGCCCGAAACGTCCCCTCCACAAACCGATCAATCTCCTCCCTCGCCCTCTCCGTCAAATCCCCCGTCGCCGGATTCTCCTCCAACTCAAACTTTGTCCAAACAACAAGATGCACAATCCGCCCATCAATCCCATACGGCCAATCATTGTACAAAATCCTATAATCCCCGTCTGCCTCAAACGGTCTCTTACCCTCAGTAGCCCTCAACGGCTCCTCCCACCCAAGCCGCTGCCTCAGCACAAAGTTCATGACGCTCCCGTGCTCCTTGATCAAGTGGTGGATGAACAAGCGGTACCGCCTCAGCTCGCTCGGCACCCGCTGGAACAGATCCAGACGGTTCGTCTCGACGAGCCGCCGGACTTCCGTCCACGTCTGGCGGTTGTAGGCCGCGTCGGGCGTGCTCAGGATCCCGACGTCCTTGGCCGAGAGGTTGCGGAGGCCCTCCGGGCACTCGTCCGTGCGGCGGTCCGTGGGAACGTTGACTTGCCAGTACGGCAGCGCCGTGGCTGCCGGGCCGGAGATGCTGCCCATGATTTTTGTGTGTTGTGGCTTGTGGTTTGGTTGTGGGAGGTCTTTCTCTGGTTCAATTGACAAGGTCAGGGGTTCTGTCGAGTAACTTTAGGATGGTGTATCTCGTATTCAATGCAAAAAGAGGATGGATGTCGTTGTCACCGAGAAAGGGGAAGTAGTCAACGAAGCTAGGAGGGAACGGCGATCTGGACGCTTGCAGGGCTGCCCACGGTTGTCAAAGAACCCAAGACGGCGAATAAGACCCCTTTACTATATGGGGGGTGGACCGCAGTATTTAGCCTCTTGTTGCCCGTAAAACGGAGTGCCAATATGCCCGCATTAAACTCCTAACAAATCTTGCTTTCGGTGAACCCGTTGTTGCCTACAAAATGCAAAATGTTGCTGCTATCCCATGAAGCAAAAAAAAAAAAAAAAAAAAAAGGCATGGAGGCGTAGACTATCAGTCGGAAACCGGCTGCCCACCAAAATCATGCATCCGGCGGCAGCATCCCACGTCGAGCCCCTCTCCCCTACCTTACCCCCCGGATTGCGCCCGCCCGCTGTGGTGCCCGGAGTAAGGACCGGCATGTAACCGCGCGCATTGTTCACCTCAATTTTGTTTTTGTTGTGTTTCTCATGTTGACTTTTCAGATTCCTTTTTCCTTGTCTCACCGCTACTCGTTGCTAGTCGGTTCTGGACCACTCCACACGGAAATGCAGGTCCAAGTTACCGGCAGACCGATATCGTTACACACGAACGGTCCTCGACGGACCATGCCAAAATCCACGGCAATTCACAGGGATCAGAGGGAGACATAACCAATGCAAGTGCAGGTGGAGGTCAACGAAATGCACACGCATGGTTTGAGGTGCCTTATTAAAATACTATCGAGTTTGTTCTGCCGCTGCCACAGATACCTTATGCAGACGCCGCCTTTTTGGGGGGAATGATCGTTGGTTTCTCTCTACTGTTCCACCTCGCCTCCAGATTGTCCTCTTGTGATGATTCTCAATGCATCGTGACATCTGACCGGAATGTGCTCAAAATACAAAACCTGCAAAAAAAAAGCCACTTAGTGCTCAAGCAGGCGCAAGCTACCCTGCACAACGACGTTCTCGAGGATGGATCCAGGAGGCACATCAATAGTGCTGCCTTCCGTCGCAACAATGATGACGGTACCCTTGAGCGTGACGCCACGGCCAAGGTTGACGGCACCAGTGATGGTAAGGTGGTCCAACTCGATGATCTTAGGGATGGAGGGGATGTGCTTCTGGAAGTCAGAGACCTTCTTGAAGTCGCTGCCCAACTTGATGAGAGGAGCGTCACCAAAGCGGCTGGAGCTCATTTGGAGCTGGCCGTGCTTGACGGTGTAGAGATCAGACTTGACGAGCATCAGGTCAGAGCAGGTCTTGACGGGCAAGAAGCGACGACGGGGAACGTTGACACCGTGGGCGTTCTTGAAGTGACGGATGGCAGCACCGACAGCGGTCTCCAGCTGGATAATGGAGATGTCAGACTCGCCCTTCTTGTCACCAGGGATGGTCTTTCCGTTGGGAATGATCTCCATCTCAAGCTCATCGTTCTCGACGACGCGCTTGATGGCCTTGAGGTTCAGCCAGATGTTGTTGGTGTTGAAGTACTTGAACTTCTTAATGGACTTGAACTCGTTGACGTGCTCCTTGGGGACCTGGGCGATCTCGAGAAGACGGACGGATCCCTCGTAGTCGATGATAGTACCACCCTTGACGTCGGCCTTGGTCTTGTTGGTCAACTCCATGATGTACTCAGACTCAGTCTCAACCATGTGCTGGAGGATGCGGAGATCGACGACGGCACCCAAGTTGTCAACGTTGGACAGGAAGACAACCTCAATACCGCGCTCAATGAGCTTGTCGAGAATACCAGAGTTGTAGAGCGACTCGAAAACGTCACCGTGACCAGGGGGGTACCAGTCGTTGATGGAAGAGTCGGTCTTCTTGGGGACGGGAAGGAGAGAGTCCTTCAGGATTCTGGGGTACCTGGACTGGTTGAAGGTGAGGATGTCGACGTTGTGGCCCTCGTACTTCTTAATGATGGAAGCGGTGTCCTCATCGGTGTTGAATGAGTTCATGAGGATGAAGGGCACGTTGACATCGTAGGTGCGGTTGAGGTACTCGATCTGGCGGACAGACAGGTCGAGGAAGGACATGCCGTCACGGACCTCGATGACTGACTTGGGACCGACACAGCCCATGGAGGTACCGAGACCACCGTTGAGCTTCAGGACGGCAAGCTTGTTGAGGAACTGGACGGACTCGGAGTTGGCGAGGTCCTCGTAGTCAACAACCTGGCCCTGGGCGGGGGGAGCAATACGGTCCCAGTCGCTATCACACTGTTAGCTGGAAGGCCATTTGTATTGCAGGTTCCTGTTGTACACTTACACGGCGTTGCCCTTGGCCTTGTCGTTCAGGTAGCGGCGGAAGAGGGCGAAGAAGTTGTCCATCTCCGTCTCGAACAGCTGTAAGATGATTAGAACTCGTGTTCCCAAGATTACAGCTGGAGTGGATTTTTCTGCTTACCTTCTTCTGCTCGGGGTCGGTGACGGTCTCAGAAAGCTGGGTGAGGGCATTGCGCATCTGGGCAGCAGCAACGCTGGTGGAAGTGTTCTCGAAAGCCTGGATTTGAAGTCAGCCGCGCACTCACGAAGATGGGACTAAGTCCTGCAATGGAAGCTTCTCAAAGTGGAGAATGCTTTGAAGCTATCGTCGAGTGATCCGCTGCGGGGCCCTGCGACCAATGTGGCCAGCTTGCTGCTACCCCTGACAGGCATCGTGGAGCTTGTTGCCGGGGAGAGAACAGCGCACACCGTACCGCCCAGCTTGTCTCCTTCAGCCATGTCAAGCCAGCAAATGTCTTTGGAGGTATTTGGTGCCTCACGCATTGGCGATGCTGTACGGTGCCGTGTGGGACTGGCCCGGCCGCGGCCGTCAAGGTAAAGCAAGTAGCCAAGCGTCGTACGACATCTCAGGTATTCAGCATGGAAGAAGTGACACAAGCTAGCAGGTATGGCGGTTCTTGCACTGCACAAGGCCGTGTTCTGTCTGTCTCGGGACAAAGCAGGCACCGGTCGCGGCACTCGACATGCCTCGCTCAAAGCTGCACTGAAAGAAAAGGGTGGATAGAGTATGTACCATGTGGGATCTCGTCTTGCCGTGGTGGCGGGAGCTGAACTCCTCATCGCTCTTGCCCTGGCCGCCGAGGGGGGACTTGAGGTGGGTGGGAAGAGCGCTCTTAATCGCTTGAGCCATTGTGAAGGATATCTGACGCGATTCGCGGTGTGAAGCTGAATATACTAAGAAAATGTTAATGGATTGTACCGGAGCAAAGAGCGAAAATCTAGTGTATCGTATTTTTTCTGTAGGTGTAGAAGGGACGGTGTGGAAAAGGAGAGGGAAAAACAAGCGGTGATTTCGAGGACGGCGGGGTAGTGCCTACATTGACAGGGGATTCGCCGTGGGATTTACGGCGAAAAAGATTGCTGGTAGCTCAAAGTGTTCTGTGTAGCCTGACGTAATTTGTGAGCTTCTCCATGTGATTTGGGAGAGAAAAATAAGGCAAGGTGCGGAATGAGGCAGGTCGGCGGAGGGAAAGCAAGGTACTCCCGCGGTGAACGAGAGCTGGGGGGAAGGGCGGGGGAGGTACCAAGACTGCGAAAATGGCAGAGAGGCAAAGTGAGGTGCTTCGGAAGCCAGATCAGAAGTGCAATCTGCTTGGTTGGAGCAGATTGAGTGCGGTTGCGGTGATCGGCGGTACCTTGGGGTGAAGAAGGGTTGGAGGGGAAGCAGGCGGCGGGCAATCGGGGGTGGGAGTCCAGGTAAGGTACTTACAGCAATAGCAACAGCAACGAGCGAATGTGGTCGAGAATCTGGTTGGGATGGAGAGGGGAGGAAGAGGAATAGAATAGGTAAAAAAGGAGAGCCGTCAAAAGGAGTCAGAGACAGGCAGGAGGTGGCCGGGCAATTGGCTTTATAGCGGTGATATCACTGTGGGAACCCAGTCGATTCGCATTTGCCAATTTTCATTTTATCTCGTTCCCCCCGTTCGAGGAGGAGACAGCCACGCACGGGGAGGGGCGCCTGTCACTGGAGACACCCGATGGTCGACACACCTGAGGTCGAAATGCTGGGTGCTGAGATGGGCAGTCACCGTCAGTAACCTGGCCTTCCAGGTTCCTTCCTCACCTCCTTCTCGAACCCGATGCCATATACGAAGTAGGTACGTACTTTGTGCCTCCCACCCCTCCTCTAGGTACCTTACCTTACTGAGTACTACCTTATGTACCTCATCCCACCTTGCCTTCACACCTCAACTTGTGCTGGCTTGTTTTTATTTCGCGATATCTGTACATCGTTCACCACACAGCATAGCACGCCTCCTAGTCACATTGGCATTGTTATTTTTCTCTCTTTTCCTTCTGGATCAATGCTCGTTTGCTCGTACTCGTCTCCGATATGAGGACAGGTGAACAATCAAGGCAAGTTTCGAGACTCAAAACATTTCCCAACCTAACCAGTCCCTGAAGCTAATGCTCCGTACCTGATATCGCCCACCTAAGCCATTCCAGTCCACCTTTCCTCGACTGCAACCCACTGGCCTTTGGCCTGGCCACGGCTTTCTCAGCACCCCTGTGGCGCTTCAGACTAGTGACGCCTAAACGAGAGAAGCGGCGGCTGCAGCTGTAGCTGGCTCGCATAAGTGGCAAAGGAGGAGGCGCGGAGAGAGCGAGAAAAAAAAAATCAACAACAGCAGTCTCGGGAAGCACGTCGTTGTTTTTATCAAGAATTGGGGGTACACAAACAGATACGGAGATGCAGATCACCAAAGGGTGCGGATAACGGCCAAATCTGCAAGGCGCTGCGACCAACCATCCCCATCCAATCTACTCCAGGAAAGGCCAGAGACGACACCGAGAAGGCCAATGCTCAGACATACAGGACCAGTATCTGAGCCACGATGCTGGTCAACCGTCAACGTCTTCCGTACAGGCAGAAATGAAGTTCTGTCTTTCGGAGTCCCCATTGACCATCTCCAACTTCATCTCAAGTTCCAGTAACAGTCCGCGGCCACGGCCGCCCACACGCTGCTTCACGGAACAGTCGTCCGAACAAGTACCTCCCGGCGATGCATGCACTAAAAAAGGTGTGAGTCTCCATTCACTGCGGAGTCAAACCGTCTTCGCGACAAAGTCGCTCGTCTTGAATGGATATCCTGAAATATCACACCCCCACCAACCAACATCCTCGCCAGCTGTAAGATGAGCTGGACCTGCCCTCCTACTGTACTTCCAACCATATTCCCCCTACAATCCCAACCACTTTGCGGAGTCATTGTCTGCAATAAGGCGGGACACGACACCTGATGTACCCATTTCTTCACCTACTTTACTTCAGAGAACCCGCCCCCCACCTGGGGAAACGTTACGGTGTGCTGCTCGCATTGCAATAGCTTCCAAGTTCCTCGGACCTAGTCGAGGCCACAAAGACTTTGACGCGCACCTTCTTTCATGTTTTCTGTTTGAAAACTGAGCAAGGCTGAGAGCCCATCTCAAAGGAGGACCAAGCGGTGCGATGTCCGCCTTTTCTCGCCGACGTCCCTCCATCAATGGCGCTATTCGTCAAAGATAGTCGGCCGAGCTGAACGCTCAATGGCCGGACTCGCCTACGCTTCACACACCTCATCGCCCATCGCGCAACAATAGGAGTTGCCACCACCCTGAACTTCCCGACTTCGCTAAATTGATCGGGACCAAAAGTGCTCAACTCGGCGCCCTTTTCTTCAAGAGGCCGGCTTTCCGCCTCAGTGTCAAACAAGAATCGCCGTGCCAGTTACCTTCTGGCCCCCAGTCTTCATCACAACCGGAGCCGATTTTGTAGCCAAGCCGGCCTCCTTCGGAATCTTTCCCGAATAATCGCTCTTCAAACTCCCAAATGACCCAACCATCAGGTTTCTGATGATGTTCGTTGAACCGAAAATAAATCCCACAACCCCTGAATGCCGGCATCTGCGCCCCGGGCGGGCCAATTCCCACTTGGCTTCTCGTTTTAGTCAGTTCCCAACCGGCTCAAAGGGGAGGGATCCATCAAAACCCATCCCGCCTGGTCGGAAGTTTGATTACATACTGCTACACTGTGGGCCGGGTTGTCCAAGACGAATATCTCGCAGAACACGGATACAGAGTCTCTTTCCGACGCGATCATCTCATCTGTGGCGGTGGCCCATTCACGACGAAAGGGAGCTAAGGAGACTTTGACGTGTTGTCGGCCATCGCCCGGACTCTACTACTATCTCTTTCAGCCCGGCAAGCCAAACTCGCGGGCGTCCATTCAGCCTGATCAGACATGACGCCGTCGGCTGTCACGCGAAAGACCCATGTCTTTCAACATGTTATGTAAGCGCAATTTGCGCTTCTTGACGCCATTTTCAATAATGGCATTCTTCTCCCGGATCTCGAACTCTTTTGCTCATATTCATCCTTGTCTAATAAGCAATATGTTGCAAGTTCTACATTGCGCTAATTAACCTCCACCGAGGTGGTTAGTGAAGTAATGAAACGAAACATTGAGCCAAATGTCATCACCAGGGGCCATAACCACAAATAGAAACAGGCGGCGGACGGGAAGCCTCATTCCGTATCTGCACTTGGACTGCATCGCAGACAAGGCCGCCCCATCAAATGAGGCTCTCCGGTGCGTCCCACGTGGGGGGAAGGGGAGGAAGCCCAGACCACACCACAACGCCAGAAGTTGAACCCCCATAGGACGCAGTTGGTGGATGATCGGGGAGCAGCAAAGTACAATAGCGGCGGTTTTGAAAACTGATGAACGTTGTGGCCTTCACCTGTGGGAGAGTATTCGTACAGAAATCGCTTTTAGGCTGGGGTAGTATACAAGACAAACAGCCACAATATAGCTAGAAGCGTATCGAGGAGTTAGTCATTGGCTCGATATCACCGCCTTCGAGGTCCTACTTAACCTTGACATAGTCTTTGAGGTAATGCCTATACCCAAGGGTTTCCGGGTAGACAATACGAAAAACGCGGTAGTATTCTTTGTTAACGGTTCGAGGAAGGCCTTGAGACTTGCAGATCCATGCTGCTTAAAACCTTTCCTGGGCTCTTGTGCGTTCAACTTAGCCGCGCAGTCGTTCAGCAGATTTAGACAACACATCCAGTCAAGTGCGTGACATTCACAGTATTCTGCATCATCTAGCTCACCAATGAAGTTACGTGTGGTGCAGAGCTCAAGGTCTGGTTTACTGTGATATGTTTTTTTCCTACCTTGACTCTCATCGCAGGGAGTCAGAGTATACGACAGATGTCAAGAAGGAAGATTGTGTCTATTCGGTTTCCATGCGTGTGTGACGCCAGCTGTGACATTGATCTCGCCCGAAAAAACGCCTGGTCCTTCCTTGGTGATTGGATCTCTCGTTCACGAGGACCCTCACCCTGATAATCAAGCTACCAAACGCCGCCCACCTGAACCTCCAAAAAGGGGTATAAACGCTCGAATCACACCGCTGTCCCGTTATCTTCCCAGTAAGGTACGATGCCTTATTTCTTCTTCTGCTTCTCCATGTTCTCCGTACACACGGGGCAGTACCACGTCCCGTTCGGCTCGCTCTTGAGGCCGACGCACGACCAGTGGAACCACTCGTAGGGGCAATCCTCATTGTCGCACGCCACCATGTCGCCGAAGCTGACATTCTGGCACGTGCAGTATTTCTTGTCGTCGCCAGCCTCGTCATCCTCGGCGTCGAGCATGCTGTCGTCGCCGTCGCCGTCCTTGCCGTCGCGCGCGGGGGTGCCACTCGTACGGTCTACGCGGCTCCTGTGGTCGCCGTCGTCGCCGCTTCCACTCTCGGCATCCGATAGCTCACTATCTGCCGTCGAAGCTGGAGAGTTGCGGCTTCCGGCCTTTTTCACGCGGGACAGGGACGACTTGTTGCTGCTGATCGGCTTCTTCCGGCCTGCGCCGCTCGGCGTCCCTTTCCGTATGCCCGAGACGCTCGATGCCTTTGTGGACGACGATCTGGGCCCTGCGCTGCCCGCTCGCACCGTGCCGTTCGGTCCAGGGGTAGATCCCTTCGGTGTTCCTGGTCCCAGTGACGAGTGCCTAGCCAGATTGCTCGACGTCGCAGGAAGGACACCCAGTCCGGAGACGGAACGCGGTCCTCTCTTTGGCGCGCCGCTCCCCGGCCCTGCCGAACTCTCCCGAGCCTGGCGGTTCATTATCATGCTAGCAGCAGGCGTCGCGGGGGCCGAGGAAGCGTGCTGCTGGGACTGGGCGTTGCGGATCTGGGGGTTTCCTGCGCGAGCCGTGACCGGACTCGACGAGTTGACGATCGGATTCAACGGCGTCGCGGTGATGGCGGAGGCGACGAGGTGGCTCGCGGGGTTGATGGATCGGCCTGACGGGGCAGAGTGGTTCGCGGCGCTGGGCCGGATGAGGGAGGGGCATTCGTCGGGTTCGTTGAAGCCGGGCTCGGCGCGGTCGTATAGCATCTTGATGTGTTGATCGAGGTTTCGCAGGTGCTTGTCCATGATGATCTGCAGCTTCTGGGTCAGGGCGATCTTCTCCGTGGCGAGCTGGTCGGCACGGATGAAGTTGTCGCGCATCTGAGATCGCATGCCCTGCTCGCGCGGGTTCGTCTCGTGACTGCCGTTCGCCCTGATCCATTTCTGTATCTTTCCATCGCGGTCCTCAATCAGCTTGACGCAGTCGCCATACTGCCGGTCCCTGTCGGCAATCTCATCCTGCAAGAAGCGAATTTCTTCTGGAAGGTTCTGAACGCGGTTGAGCCAGTCGTCGAGGATGATGGCCGGGTCGAGAGCCTCGGCCGTCGGCATCCTCCTGACGAAGTCGATGGACAGATCGTCTCTAGGCATTTTGCGTGTTAACGACGGTCCCAGTATAGATATGTACCCTTCGTTGAGTAAACAAGCGGCTGGGATCTATTCTAGCAGGCAGACGAAACGGCGCACGCCCAGCAAGAACCACAGAGACGGATCAGGAGCAGGATATATGGAGCCGAAAGCAGGGTTCTTGCTAGAGACAGGACGAGGACGAGGACGAGGACGAGGACGATGATAGGTCGAGTGAGGTAGAGGAAGCAACAAAGGTCTCGTGAACCAGAGTCATCGAGATTAAGATGGGGACTATGCGAGGTAAGAGGGATCGGGGCAGAGCAGAATAGAGGATATGTGGAGTGTAAGGTATAGAGCAGAAAGCCAGCAGCAGGTGGGAATAGTGGCACGCAGGGTGACGGGGCGGGGCGGCACGGCACGTCCGCCGACGGGGTGGGCTGACCGAGAGGGCAGAGAACCACTGGTGATATATGCCTTGGCTGCACTTGCCCTTTGGGAAGGCGATGACAGAGGAGTCTTGGACAGGAGAGACTTTGATAAACAGAGACCCCGGCCACGATCCTCCGCAACGAATAAAGTGACTAGCTTGGCTCACCTAAAAGGAACTGGAGACCGGAAGGAGAAGGGGGCGTCGAATCGACAAGAGAGCTCTCTCTAATCGATTTCACACCAGCTGCGGCAGGCGAGTCGAGCGTCGAATGATCGAGTCGAGGCGAGGCGACGTACGGGCCCTGGCTCGTGATCCCGGAATGTATTTTATTCACGGAGTAATGAAAATTTCCTTGCTGAATACGGATAGAGAGATGAAATTTTCTCGGATGCGCGTGGATGTGGGGTGGAAGAGGCTGGAATCGCGTTTGTGCAGCGTGGTGGTCCAGTTCCAGTTGGATTCGGGTGGTGTCAGTGTCACCGGTGGGTGGACAAGTTTGCGAGGGTCCAGCTGGTCATGGCACTGTCCACTGACAGCGAGACGAGCTGAGCGGAGACGGGAGTTTTAGCCTCCGGTTTCCATGCTAATGGAGGTGCCATGGTGCGTTCAGGCTGCAGGTCCATGTGCTCAGGCGGACCTCGAGTCATTTAGATTTGATTGGGCACCTTGTGGATGGTGGGTCAGGACGCATTTGTCCAATTTCAATGTCTCTCGCAGAGTCGCAGGTACCTTTCGAGCATCTGGGGATTTGTTCAAGGAAGATTCCAGCCTCGAAGAACCAGATTCGCACAGACTCGTTCCTCATAAAGCATTGATGACAGAAATTAAAGATGCAAGTAATGCACGAGAGAAGTATTGCATCCTTGGAGTCTACGGCACTCTCTCCAAGTTCAGAGAGTTTCGAAAGATTTGAAAGATGTGTTGACGAGGTTTCTCGAGATTTCTTGCATGTACCAGAAGGTCAAGCCGCAATGAGGCTGGTGCACTGCAACCATTCTGGGGAAAGCGTGGCTAAATGCGCCCAAGGTGGCTGGTCTTTCCAATGGAAGGAAACCTTGCTTTGCTTCAGCAGGGGCCCACCTGAGGTACCGGCTTCCTCCCCCGTCGCCTGCCACATGAAAGTACTATCCAATTATGAAGCCAGCCCTCGAACGAAACCTCGCAAATACATCACGAATCAACGTTGAATCACCAACTGACAACCTCACGGACGACTTTGGAAATTAACGCAAATACCACCAGCTGCACCTCAACCCAGTAGGACCACCGAAGGCTTACCACTTTGTCCTTGCGACCACCTCTGACTCAACCAGTAATACCAGCTATCCATTCTACCATTGCTGAGTAAAACTCATCTCAGTCGGCCAGCTCAGGACCCCACCAGTCACATTCGACAACAATCGAGACTCATCGTGAGCTTTGTCCCGGCCGCTCCGGCGGGAAACCCGTCGCTTGCCATCATGGACACAGATGCGTACCGATTTCGTGTCCCCAAGCCGAATTATTTACCTCACAGGACCGACAAGGACGGCATCGTTGAGGAATACGAGCCTCTCGGCCAAGCCAGTGAGCTCGACAACGCCAAGTACTTCGCGAAATGCAAGCGTATAGCTGAGGAGTCTGGCATTACACGACCAAAAGGCTACAATGTCTCTTTCCATTGCAATCCCGAAATGGAGAAGCACCACTTCGGCCAGACTCATCCTATGAAACCCTGGAGACTTACCCTTTCCAAGAGTCTCATTTATTCTTACGGCATGTCTTTCGCCATGGACAACTACATCGCCCGCGCTGCCACATACGAGGAGCTCAACGACTTCCACTCGGACGACTATTTGGACTTTCTGGGCACTGTCCTACCCGAGCCTGTTCCTAGGGACGTTGAGAACGCTAACCCCGATCTTAAGTTTAATCTGGGCGGCTCCGACTGTCCTCTGTTCGAAGGCCTCTACGACTACTGTTCCATGTCAGCGGGCGGATCTCTCGATGCTGCGCGCAAGATATGTTCCAACCAGTCCGACATTGCCGTATCATGGGGAGGCGGCTTGCATCATGCGAAAAAGGCGGAGGCGTCTGGATTCTGTTACATCAACGATATCGTCCTGGCTATTCTGCAGCTACTACGGTGCTATCCTCGTGTCCTTTACATCGATATTGATGTGCACCACGGAGATGGTGTTGAGGAAGCATTTTATTCCACCGACCGCGTCATGACGGTATCATTCCACAAATACGACCCTCTCAACTTCTTCCCCGGTACCGGCGGACTGGACGATAATGGTCCTAAGAACGAGCACAACCCAGGCGCCCACCATGCCATCAACGTTCCCTTGAACGATGGCGTCACTGACGATCAGTACAAGTGGCTCTTTGAGAATGTCATTGGCAAATGCATGGAGAAATTCCGACCTAGCGCTATTGCGCTGCAGTGTGGTGCCGACTCTCTCGCTGGAGATCGTCTGGGACGTTTCAATCTTCAAGTCCAAGGCCACGGCGCTTGCGTCGAGTTCTGCAAATCATTTGGAGTGCCCATGATTCTCTTTGGTGGCGGCGGGTACACTCCCCGCAATGTTGCCCGCGCCTGGGCCTTCGAGACCAGTATTGCCATCGGCTGCCAGGACAAGATCGATCCCATCATTCCGACACACGCTCCTTGGAGAGACCAATTTAGGTATGAGGAGTTGTTCCCGACACTGGAACAGATTCTCGGGGAGCCGCGTGTCAACCGCAACACACGAAAGAAACTGGACGAGGTGTTGCAGCATGTGACAGAACAGCTGAGGTTCGTACAAGCAGCTCCAAGTGTACAGTACCAGACCATTCCCCCAGACCTGGGCGGTCTGAGAGACGACGTTGAAGCAGCACTCAAAGAACAGCGAGAGGCCGAGAACGACGCTGTGAGGAAACAACGAGAAGAGGCTGTTGGACAAGCCATGGAGTATTGATGAGGGCATAATGGCATGCCACCACAGCGTGGGAGTACGTGGATACCAAACGGAGTTTAGGGTGTATGAATGATTTCAAAGTCTAGCAATTGGCGTCCTCAACGTCAGGGCGGGCCAGGCGGGAACTTTAGGGACTACTCTTCCAGTACCTTGTTACTGGGAAACATCAGACGAGTGCAAATTGAGTCCCGTAATCGTCCTTGAAAAGACCGAGTCACTACTGCTGCATCAGCATATGTCATCTATGAACGTGATTCCTGAGCCGAGTCGCTCACGTGTGATGCTGATGGGCTCATCTCAACGCTTGGCAAAAACCGGATGCAATGAAGGAAACTCTACAAGTTGAAAGAATCATCTCGCATCAATGATCAGGGCAAACCTGACATTGTGGTTACCAGTCGTGCGTTGCAATATAGAATAATGGAACCAACCTCAGCAACCCGCCCGGCTCTCATTCGACATTATTCGGCTGCCTAGATAGCGGGGCCTCGGATGAGGACGTATCTCGGCCGCTACGTCCAAACTTGGCTAGATTCAAGCCGGGCACATTGAGCAATTGTCCAATGGGGAGCAGCAGCGTGATGAGCACCCTTAAGCTTAATCCCCATTTCATGATTCTCAATTATGCGACGACTTCACCGACGAAGCGTTCCTTTGGGGAAGCAGGTAGAGGGGAGAGGGTGGTGAAGGAGCTGATTTGTCTGGTCATCAGGGAAGAGCAGGTGTTATTGGGATTCAAGTTGTTGCGTCCTTCTGCTTTGCGCGTTTGCATGTAAGTCTGGCTGGAAAATACTACTTCAGATCACCGCCAAGGAAAGAAATGGGATTGAAAATTGACCTTACCTCAACATCAGACGACTAGGAAAAAAAGTGAAATACGGGACGATGTCACCCTCAAGCCCATGGGGCCGCCCATATTGTCTTACACCCCCATATGGGCCAATATTATGGCTGTCGGTCAGCATTTAGATCAGGGCCAAGAAGTGTTTGTCTTCTGCGCTCTTTCAGTATGCGAGGAGCTCAGGATCGCGCCAATCGGCTTCCGCACTGATGCTTAATTGACGCAGAGCCCGTCGTCCTTTGCTGTATTTGGGTTATTCGTACCGACGGTTTCGTTCATCGATGGCACGCTCCCTCGGCCCTGCATCCTTTCAACTAGCTGCCTGGAGAGGGGGAGGGGTGCCACTTTATATCGATATTGTTCCCGCTTCGTACTGGGATTTACACCCCCGGATCCTGATATAAGTCAGATTTGAAATGTATATAACAACCTTTGCACTTCTTTCCTTTGGAAGATAGAGAGAGTGTCTGCTACCCACAGGAACGCGTCAAATCAAGAACTCCAAGTCCGACCCTCAAGTTCCTCCCATCGGGCAACACAACAATGGTCTCGTCACGACAGCTCGCACTGCTAGCCGGAGCTCCGGCCGGCATCCTCGCCCTCGCCGCGCCGCTCGTCCCCCGCGCCGTGGACTACAGCAAGTGGAAGCCCGGCGTCAGCTTCCAGATCGTCCTCCACCACCCCATCTTGGCCGGGAGCACGGCCGACATCGTCCCCGCCAACGCCGACGTCTGGGATATCGACCTGCAGCACGCCGTCGACTATCCTAACATCATTCCCACTCTCAAGGTGAGACGACAATCCCATCTACAACACGCGCCATCTTTGAGAATGAAATATTGCTAACACACACACCAACAAAAAGTCGGCGGGAAAAATCGTCATGTGCTACTTCAACGGCGGCGCCCTCCAAGACTGGGACGAAGACCTCGACGCTTTCCCCTCCGCCGTCATCGGCTCGCCCCTGAACCCGCCCTACACGGACGAGCGCTACCTCAACATCAAAGACGCCCGCGTCGTGGCCCTCATGAAGGCCCGCCTCGAGCGCGCCGCCTCCATCGGCTGCGACGCCGTCGACCCGGACAACATCGACGCCTGGGCCGAAGACGGCGACGACCCGACGGGGTTCAACCTCCAACCGTCCGATTACGCGACGTACATCTCCGCGCTGGCGGCCCACGCGCACACGCTCGACACCACGGCCGGTTCTGGGAGGAAGCTGCTGCTGGGGCAGAAGAATGCGCCGACGATTGCGCCGCAGCTTGCGTCCGTGGCGGACTTCGCGGTGCTCGAGACGTGTCTGGGGACGAGGACGTCGGACGAGGTTGAGCCGTTTTGCGCGGACTTCCAGCCGTACATCGCGGCGGGTAAGCCCGTTTTCCAGATCGAGTACCCGTTGAGCGTGCGGGACGACGACTCCATCAGCCAGGTTGATTACAATTACTTTTGCGTCAACAAGAATGGCAACGAGGGGTTCAGCGAGGTCCTGAAGCATGCGAGCGAGCAGGTTGATGGGTGGGGCCAGTTCTGCGGTCTGGGGCTTACGGGAGGTAGGTTTGAGACGCCCACTGTTGATGAGGGGGATGATGAGGAGTAAAAGGGGGAGGTTTCATGTGAGAGATGTTCATCGAGGGACACACCGAGTCGTGATGACTATGGACATGACTTCAATTCTTGTACTTATAGCTTATATCCAGTAGAACATGTACATGCTGGTAACGATATTTCATACAGATCAAAGGACGAAAAGATTCCGCAACTCCGTGCAGGCCATGACACAGAAGCAAATAACCAACGCGAGCATGCCATGTTAGAAAGCCGCAGTGAAATTCCAGGGAAAGCCCCTCACTCGATCGAAGGGCCCTCAGTTGTGGAATTGAACAGAAGCCTCGGCCTCCTGCTCCAGCATCTTACGCTTCAACCCCCTCGCTTTCAGCGCCACGTACCCGACCAGCGCAATACCGACGGCTAGGCCGGCTGAGAGCAGAATGACGTTGACGGGCACGGGATCGCCGCCAAACGTCTGGTGGAACAGGACGTCCAGTCCGGACTGCAAAAAGTTGAAGAGGCCCGACAGGCAGATGATGGTGCCGTACACGGTGCCAAACGTCTCAAAGCCAAACACCTTTGCGCTGTAGTCGGACACGGCGGTGTAGTAAAAGGGGCGGTAGAGCACAAAGAGGCAGACCTGGATGTAGGCGGCGCCCATGTTGTCGAGGACGCCCAGCACGCCAATGGTGGTGGCGATGGTGACGAGTGCGGTTAGGACTGTGACGGTGCTGGTGTGATCGAGGAGGACGCCGATGAAGGGGATGGAGAGGATGCCGCCCACGGGCAGGGCAACGTCGAAAAAGTTGTTGATCTCGATGGCCTTGCCCACATCGCCAAAGATGACTTCATACTGCGCCCGAATGGTGGCGACAAAGTAGTTGATGCGGAGCATCTGGATGACGGTGAAGAGGCAGATGAGGATGAACCACGGCGAGGCGATCTGGCGCAGGGCCGAGCGGTTATGCATCACGCCCCAGACGCCCGAAATCTCGTTCTTGTTCTCCTGGCGAATCTGCTTGTCTACCTTCTGAGTACCCAGCAACTGCTCCACATCCGCAACGACAGACTCGCGGTGTCGGCGCTCCTCGCGCAGAAGAGCCGTGTTCTCGTCAATCTGGTCGTCGTACGGGTCCGGGTCGGATTCGTTCGCGGCCGCGGTCTCCTCTTGCAATTCGACCAGTTCTCCTACCGTCTTGTATGACTGCTTAGGCATCAACGCGAATTGGACAACAATAATGAAGGCCGGGACGATCAAGTACACCTTGAAAAACTTTTCATGACCAAAAGTACCCTCGGATGCTTGGAAGATTAGGCGGTAGACCAGGAACAAGGCGCTAGAGGCGTCAAAAGCACCAGTCATGAGTGCGAGAATGAAGCCCGAGTGCTTTGGGAACGCATTGGACAGTTGGAAGGACGAGATGTAAGTGAATGGACCGCCCAAAGCAAGGCAGAGGTATCCAATGAGAAAGCCGTCAAAGGGGAGTGTCTTGGCATAAGCCATCAGAATTGACCCGATAATCAAGAAGACACTGCCGACAAGTCCACAAACACGCGGACCGGCGTGGTCAAGTAGGGCGCCAACAGGCAAAGCCGCGATATTGGTGCCGACCGCTGCCACGGTAAACATGAGATTGAGATGAATTTCAACACAAGTATCGTCGGGAGTTGAGTTGGACTCGTCAGTGGAACAGACGTCGCTGTAAGCACCCTCTCGTTTGAGCACCGGCTTCAAGGCCGCAAAACCAAAGGCGATACCCGCTGCGAAGAGGCAGTAGATGACGGCGATGGTGACTTGGACTACGGGAAATGGTCAGTACATGTTTCCGTGTGACAGTACATGGTAGCACGGCGTCGGGCACTTTTTTGACGGCAGGTGACGGGCTTATTGGTAAGACGAGCGACGTACGAATTCTTTTCCATTGCGGAACTTCAAAAGCGCCAACGGCCAGCACAGTATCAGGCTTGCTCGCTGCAGGGTCCCATTCGTCGGGAAGAGGGTTGAACGTGAGACGTCCCGCCCTTATACTTGAGGCATCGCTGCCTCGTCTCGATCCCTGGGCTTGGGGCAGGAATTGGAAAGTTTCCACCGAGGCCACACGGCTCAAAGACATGGTGGCTGATCAGTTGGTCGATGGTTTTTTTTTTTTTTTCGTGATTGAGATGCCAGCGAGTAAAACGAGATCGAAAGCCAGTGGCCAATAAATATATTCAACAAGCAACTGTTAAAGAAAACAGCCGCCGAGAAATAGGTTCGAGGAGGAAGTCGAGCTGAGGTTAAGAGGTGGAGCCGAGCTTGAGATAGCTAGCCCAGCAAGCTCTGGTTCGCCAATGACAATCCGTCGATAGGCAGAGAGGTTGGCGAGACTCGATCGAATGGGGTAAGGCAAGGTAGGATAGAACAAGATACCACTGCAGAGCGGAAATTTTCAGACTTTTCAGTCGAGATAAGGCTCTTTATCTGTCGGATCGAGAACCAAGGCTTTGCTGCATGTCCTGCAGAAATTTTCTGACGTAGTGTAGTGTAGGTAGTCAGTCTTTGGTGTTTTCCCCCATTCAACCGGAATCGCGGGGCACACCATACATTGATGGATTGACGACAGCCCCAGAGCTAGGGAAGGGACGGCAGCACTCTCGCAGTCTTTCCCCGTAAATTGGGACTAGGACAGTATTGGAGAATATCGTAACGACAAAACAGTGAGTAAAAGAATTCGACAAGGTAAGAATATTTGAAAATTTAAGTTATGCTCGAAGGAATTGTAGGAAGGGTGTCGAGGTTAAAGTAGAGAAAATCTCCCACAGACAAGTGATCAGGTGGCGATGCGGGGAAGCGCCGATTGGGCGGAAGGAGGGGTTCGAGGTTGCAAATGGAAGAACACGGGCAGAACACGCGGATGAATGGGATGCAGCTGGGCTTGGTTCACAGGGAAAGAGCCGGTGCTTTTTGGAGCAAGGCATCATGGGCAAGCACAGCAAGGTAGGGGAAGCGGGGGCAGAGTAGACAATATGTAAAAGAATAACGTCGTAGAAAACGCGCTTTGCCTCCTCCTAACCGCCTCGGTCTGGAAGTCTTGCCCAGCCGTTGTTACGCTGTTTCCACCAAAGACGACCGCATGCATGGAGGAGTGAATGGAAATCGGATGAAGGAATTGAGCCGTCATGTGGCCCTCCTTCTCCGGTGGGCACCACATACCGTCCCCGATCTGCCGCCGTGAACCGAACCGCATGGGCCCGGCCGCTCGGGGAATGGGAGCGACACGGAATGAGGTCAATGATTAAGAAGCCACCCCACACGATGGATCATGTCAGATTTGATGGGCAATCTTGTATGCGAGCTATCACCTGAAGCTTAAGCTGATTGCAACTGGTATTTATAAGACCCGCTGAGAAACAATTTCAGCCAACGCATGCCGTTGCAAGAGAGGGCAGAACACGTTCACAAAATGGCGTAGATGGAAACGGAAGGAAATCCTCTTGGTTCCTGATGCATTATTCTGTGACTCTGGTTACTAACCTTGGTAGCAAGTAATTGGAGATGACATTCGTCGAAACCCCAGATCAGCGCCAATCTACATAATAAGACGAGTTAGCCACCTCTGTCGACACCATCTCGGCATCACCCTCTAACCTAATCGAAGCCAGTCAGCAACGGTGCCAAAGTCAGCGGTAAGGCCGGCTAAAACATTTAGTGAGAAGTTATCACCCTGCAGCACTGTGCATCAATCGTACAAATATACATCCGATGTTCTGCGATACCATCGTCGATGTGCTTCAAGTCAGGACCATAATGAACAGCGTGGCTTGGTCAAGACTTCAAAACAGCCATCTAATAGTTTGCTTCAACCACTATAGCGGCCCGTAGACGATATGCCCACGACTGCCATCTAACCGCATGCGGTCAGGGCACCCCCAATCTGACGGCCTCCGGCCCGAACGGCAGGGAAGAGGGCGGGGGCGGATGTGAGGCTGCATGTCTGCCGAAGTCTGCCCCTGGACCCCCGAGGCCCGTCCTCGCCGTGATCTATCCCGATGATTGTCTTTTACGGATGCTAAACCAATCTTGGTTGGCGAGGGCAAGATAGAGTAGTCGTGAGCAGTAAAATTAAAAACTAACGGTGCGTCGGCAATACACGAAGCGGCTATAAGGGTACCCCCAACGCCCGCGGGCTACGCTCGTCATGAGACCACCCGCGAAAACAATACAGGCACGGTAGCAAGGCAAACAGCGATAGACAAAGAAAACGATGCGTCATGGTGACAATGTGCCGGCGAGGGCTGCCGTTCAAACTCTGCCCTTCCCCAAATCTTCCCGTCCATTCTTATGCAAACTACCCGAGTCGAGTATCCACCATCTCTAACCCCCTACTAACTGTTTCCTGTTGTACTCTGTCTTGCGGCAAAACGTCGGCACCCAACCGCGAAAGAAAACACCTCATAAAGGTAATCGTAAGGCATCGTCGCAGGTCGTGGCTCGAGTTGACATGGGCCGAATTCGCCGATAGAAAGGAGATGTCTGTCTCGGCTTGTCGTGATTCCGGGGTAGTTCCAGTTGCGCCCTCAGGCTGTTGAACTCGTCCTCTATCCATCGCTCCAACTTTTCCTCTCCAAACGTCTCCACAGCATGAAAAATATGCACACAAATTAGAAAAAGGCCATCAAAGATCGTAAGCGGACGTGTCGGTGCCGATCCGTCGATACTCTAGAGGTATTCACGAGAAACAAAAGCAAAAACATCCACGCCAGGTAACTGCTGGTCATGGGCTCTTCACTTGTAGAATCTGATGATGGCCTTTGCGCTGCCGGAAATGGCCGTCTGGGGATTGCGTGTTAGTCAAGGGACGATGTCCAGGCGCCAAAGTAGGTAAACTTACAGTACAGCCAGTGCCACCTCCGGTGTAGGAGCCGCCAACAAGCGCACACTTGCTGTTAGCACCCGTGATTTCAATGTTGAAATCGAGCTGGGCAGTCGATGTTGGTGCGTTGTTGAAGATGGAGATGTAGGTGTTGCCGTCGGTGCTCTTGCCAACACCAATGTTGACGGGAGCCCAGTTACCAGCTCCAAGAGGGTCCTTGGAGCTCTTCCAGACGCAGGCATCCTCGACACCGTAGCCGAGCTTGTTGACGTAGTACTGGGCGGTGGTAGGGCTGTCGTTCCAGACGTAGTAGTCGGCGGAGGCGGGGTTGGTGAGAGCCAATTGCTGGCCAGGCTGGGGAACAGTGGCGATGACCATGGACTCGGTACCGGGGTAGTCGGTACGGCAGACGCAGGAGATATCGTCGAGGTCGTTCTGAATGAAGACGCCGCCGGCTCCCTGTTCGCAGAGGGTCTTCTTGGTAGGGCGGGAGAGCTCGAGGTAGCCATCGGCGTTGCAGTAAAGTCCACCGATAGACTGCTTGGTCGAGCCCTGGGCGGTGGGCCATTGGGTCTTCTGGTAGCCAACGGGGCAAGAGTAGGAGCAGAAGGAGTTCTTGGAGCAGCCGCCGTCAGAGGCAACAGCAGTCTCGATGAAGGAGATAGCGGCGTCACCGACGCTGTAGTTGGGGGTTCTCTGGATACCAGTCCAGCCGTTGGTGCCGAGATAGTCGACGGGAACGGCGCCGTAGTCGGAGGGGAACTGGGAGCAAGGAATGGTGCCGCTGGGGAACTCGGCGGTCAGGCCCTTGCCTCCGGAGCTGCTGGAGCCTCCGCTCGAGGCCTTGGTGGAAGCGGGCGCCTGGGTAGAGGTGGAGGAAGGCGTCGGGGTCGGGGTGGGGGTAGGAGTCGGCGTCGGGGTAGGCGTCGGGGTGGACGAGGTGGAAGACTTCGCAACCTTGGCCTCGAAGAACTGGGCGTCCTTAGAAGTGGAAGCCACGGGGGCCTTGGAGGTCGAGGCCGACGGCAGAGGGGTCGAGGAGGGGTTGGTCTCGCCGACGACAACGAACAGGCCATCGGCGATGCCCTTCTTAGCCTCCTCTTCACTAATAGGCTTTCCTCCCAATTCGTAGGCGACCACAGTCGGGCCAGACTCGTACACGACGACAACGTCGCGCTGGTCGAGAGCGGTGTCCCTCTTGACGTGGCGGTGACGGTGGTTGTGGGGTTGAGCAACAACACCGGCGGCGAAGGATGCCGCAATGGCGAGGTTAATGATGGACCTCATATTGTCGATTGATGTTGATAATCTAGAGTACGTGTTAGCGCAACTTGAACCTCAATTGCGTTGGAGGGTACACAAAAGGCGCTTCATAGGGGGGGCGGTGAGACGCTGCATCATCAGGCAATGAATGAGCGTGAAAATGGCAAAAAGAACAACTACAACATCAACGATGCAGTTGCTTTTTTGTTCATCGCTTTCAATGCCGCGCGCAAGGTGGTGTTTTCTCTTGCGATGCTGTGTTGCGCGTTTTGCCCCGAATCGCTTTGGTGTAGACCCCCAATCGGGAGGCGTTTTCCCCCGTCACAACCACTCACTCACCCTTTTCTCGCGAGTAGTGCAGTCAGAATCGAGAATCGTTTCGATATATGGCGTGTCTTGTCGCGTGTTGATAGTGATCGAAACGGAGAAAATCGTACTAGGTGATTACAGGATAACGAGTGTTGGCTGATTCGGATTCAAAAGAGTGTAAGTGAGAGCGAACTCTCTAGTTGGGAATCAACGCGGTGAACGAGAATGAAGAGCTCGATGACCAGGAGAAACTGAGAAGAGGGAGAAGGAGAGGGTGAAGTGGAGGAAAACAGGGTAAAGAGGCCATGTCGTGGATCCCTTGGGAAATTAGGAAGACCAGGCGCGGCAGGTACGCCAGGTACAAAGCCGTACAAGCCACCCGGGCCTCCAAGACCATACCCAGGGCCCCCCAAGCCTGCCCAAGACCACCCCCCAGGCGCTATTATCAGAAACAAGACCAGTCGATCCCGCCCGCGGGCTGCAGGTACAGACACACGCTTACGAGGGCACCCGCCGTACCTCGCAGCAAAGCGGTGCATCTGCCCCAGAAGGGGAAGGAAAGGGGGTTATCTGCCTGGATTGGACTAGCGGCAAATTAGAATTAGTGGTTCGTTGGATCCATTTATTTTTACGTTGACATTCACAACCACCCAGACCAGGCCCTGACCCGTAGTACCTGGACCTGGACCTGGACCTGGACCTGGACCTGTACCTGGACCTGGACCTGGGCCTTGACCTGCGCTCTCGCTTCGCGTTCAATTGCTGTTATTACCTTACTCCGTAGGTACACAGAAAGGCCAGGTACGGATCCCGTACTTCCATTGGGTGCTTGGCTGATTGCTCCTTCCATCTTGAACTCGCTGCTTCGCACTTGCTCGCGGGATCCCATAATTCCTTCCCAAGGATCCCAGCCACAAGCCCACGACCAACTTGAGTGGACTCTGGAGGAACAGAGAGAGGGAGAGGACCACAAGGTGCTGCATGCGAAGCCTGGGGACACATGAACATGCGCATAGCGGACCCAGAAGGCGCAAATCCCCCTCTTTTTGGCATGTCTGCATTGTGTCGTACGAGGAGAGTGGAAGGCGCCTGCAGCCAACAGGCGTGGCCCCCTTCCTCCTTCTTGGGTTCCTTCCTGGCCAAAAGACCCAGAAAGCAGCTGGTAATGGTCGGAAATCCGGGTCCAAGGCATGGGAAGCATATTGCCTTCATTTGCCATTTCCATCATCCACGGACCAACTTGTCCAAGAAGAACGGCAAATCTTCATGGATGCACTCGTACTTTGTGCCTTCATCCTGGCACTGCGCCCAAAAAAACACACAAAAATTCAATCGGGCTGTGGCACTCTCCCACGAGGCACTTTCAGGGACGTCCCGGTCACACTGCTTGACGCTCCCGCCGCGGCATCGCCTTTCGTCTTCCACACAGCTGTCGTCCCATCATTTCTTTATTTGTATCCTTCTTTTTCTGCTCGCCTCAGGCAAAACCAGTTCGTCCCATCATGCGTCCATTCTATGCTTCTGGGCAGAAAATAAAAAGCAACGTCAGAAACATAATCGATGATACCTGTAGGAAACAACCGCAGCGCACATATACGACCCGACGGGATCTAATGCGAGACAAACCAACTGGCGAAACAAGCCATTACCGCCAACCATAGCCGTTGCGTGTCAAGCCACCGCCTTGTCCGCATTTTCCTCTCCCCCCTTTTTCTCCCAGAGTCCGCCTCTGTATCCGTATTCTCGCTGCACAATTGGACAAATGGATCATATCATCCCCGGACAAAGATGTTGTAGCGCTGCGGAAATATTCGTCGTCACCCCAGCTCCAACTCGACAAGCCCGGTCGGCCGAATGACGATCACCGCTGCCATTGCATGCGACAGTTGAACGGGTTATTCCTACAAAGACACTACGCATACAATCCCAGTCAGAACCCTGTCCCTGATACAACATAGCCAGCCTGTCGCCGTGTCAATTGACGGCTCGATTTTCCCTCTTGGTCTTTGTCGACGACTCTGGCCCTCACCCAGTCGAATCAGATTGCCTTGGCACAATTAAAGAACCATGTATAGGTAAACCAATCCCTGCTCCCACTAACCATGGGCTGGCTGTTGGCAGCTTTGCTCAATTTCGACATTGCGAGGCAATCAACCGTCTGTCAAGCGCCTTTCCCGAAAGCGTCGACGACGTTATTTCCACTCGCCAGCCTGGACAATTGGTCTCCTTTGTTTTTGTCGATTCGTCGCTATCGTTGTCGTAGCCCTCGGCTGTCGTCGTCGTCACCTCACATCTCAATTCGCTGAAGTGGGAATGGGATAACATCTGGCACCAGTAACTAGCCTTTCCCCTATTGTTTGGGTCTTCTCCAGACTCCAAAAGCCAGTCTCCAACCATTGATTGTTGATTTCGGCTGTCCTTGGCACCGTGCTGCAGCCACCGTGCGCTACTACGATTGACATCAAGCGCTCATACGAGATTCGGCTGTTAGCGACGTTACACGGTTACCATTGACAATCGCCGCAGAGATGGTTCACGGGTGGCGGGTGACGGAGGTTATTGCAACCCCAGTTACCCCTATTGTCTTTTGGATTTCCGGTACAGATACGCACCTGAGGAGTAGGAAGAGGTTTGAAGTCTGGAGTCCAGCAAGCGCCACTGGCCAAGGGTCGAGAACAGATTCGAGATGAACCCTTCTTGCGCACGTCCGGAGTACATGTCCATGTCATCTGAAATCTGGAGAATCCTTGACCGGCTGATGCATAGCTATTCTGAGTGGGAAAAGCCAACCTTCAGTCCCAGACGTCTCGTGAAGAATCTACCATCGGTATACCAAAGACTAATGTACACGAAGCTTCGCTACAGAATTCCGCCTGAAAGGCGCGAGGCAGTAGCTCAGTTAGCCCCCCCGCCACCGGTGCTACGTGGGCTTCTTTGTGAGGATTTGGCAAATCTCTCCAGCAACCAAATCTTATTTACAACCACGACGGCCAAAGTGCCAGATGCCATTTATCTTGCAGGCTTCCGCTAGAACAAATGAATGGGGAATCGAGAAATTTCGGCTTCCCGTCGGGCTGTGGCTCATCTCCTCCCTAGGTACCCAAGAAATCCGTACCTAGCTACTTTCTCAACAACAAAACTATGGGCCGAAAGATCAACGACAGAGAGCTAAGTCGTCGCGATCCACGCCAATGGCTTCAATAGCGTTGCACATCCTCCATTATCCACCGGTCGCTAATTAGTAACGATGAACGCTCGTACTTGGCCCGACACTACCTCCGAATATCCATCACCTGCAACTACTGCGGTTGCCAAGACGAAGAGACAACAAAAACATGGAGATCCAACCAAGCTTCGATTGTAGCTACCTACCTAGCTACGGACACAGCGCGTGCTCGCTCAATCACGACCCTTCAAAGGCGTCAGGCCTCTGGCCACTCACACCACCTACGAGGTATTCTTACTACGTACAGATAATCCTACAGGCCATGAGCATTTACCTGCTGGGCCATGCCATTTCCTTCGTCTCATTTCGGCCATGACGTCCACAAATCCACACCACAATTTCGGAAGTTACGATCGATCTGCGCTAGAGCGAAAAGCAATGGCCGCGCAGCCACCACCTTCCCACCTGAAACGTTGAAACATCAACAGCCTTCTGGGTCCAGGCCTGTACGATTTATCGGTCTTCACGAGAGGTGCATGGAGAGGCCCTTCTCTCAAGGACCCAAACCCAAAGGCCATTTACGAGGAGAGTCATGTCACGAGCCCTGCTGGCTGCTGCACGAAAGACCCTCCCCCTCATCGGCTCGAGAGTGCCGTGGGTTATACGGATAACCTATTCGTACCTGGGGCTTGCGTAAGTGGTCGGCATCGACGATAATCTTGTTCGATTAATAGTCCCCCACTTCACGCCGGAATAGCACGATATACCCAAGTGAAAGTCACCCAATTGGTGGTCGAACTCGCGTCACTGGAAAATTACACCCACCAAACCTCGTACTTTGGAATTCGTGATTTTGAACATCACCGAGGCCCTCATCCGCAACCTCAAAGAAATCTGCCATGGCGCCTGCTTCCAGGACGAGAGATTCCTGGCGGGCGTCCGTTCCATGCCAGCAGAACGACGCGACTTTGATCAAAACAACGCCAACTCACCCACGAGACTCATCCGCCTGATTTGCACATGTATTACAAAAACACGCTATCTGACGATGCATTCCAGACTCGACGTTGGTTTGGTTATCCACCCCACGGTCAAGTGCTGCTCTTCGCTCTGGCCCACGCCCATCTCACGGCTTCTAGAGCCTCACGGGACGGGACCGCCGTTGTTTTGACCAGAGACATTGGTCAGAAACAGGGGGGGCGATTGATTGTCAGGCACAGGAATGGCTGATTGCGGCACTTGAATTAATCAACTCATCTTTTCGTTGAAGTTTTACCTCCTGACTGACGGGAGCTGTCGAGACACGGTACCATCAATCGCATATTGCTGTCGTCTCGTTTCTTCCTGATGCAAGCTTTTGCGCCCTTTCCGTCGCGTCGCAAGACGTACTCAAAACCTGGCAAGCTCGACTGCAACCCAGGCGCAACACGACTCGTGCTGTTTAGCAAACACGGCGTGGGCATAGCGTAGGTGGTCGGTTGGTCACCAAGGCGCCCCGAACAGGCTACTTTTCTTGTCTCACTATTTGACCGCCAGCTGGGCCATTGTTGACAAATTTTGTTATGGAGGGGCGAGCATTCCAACGACTACCGGCGACACTTGGTCGGCGTCGGCGGCGGCAAGCCGGCGTTGGATAATGATTGTGCAGAAATGGCTGCCGCCATGGCGCAACCGTTGAGCCCAGCGCAAGTGCGTACCGTATCGACGGGATTGTTTTGACAAGAACCCATGCCTGGTCGTATGCAACCTCTTCCACTCTCGGGATGCTCAAGAAGAGGGGTCAGGCTCTGCACTTCTTTTGATTATCACGATCCAGGGCGGGGGAGGGAAGCGGGTTGTCTCTTTTCCCCTCTCCCTTTCCCACCCCTTCCCAGCTGATGGATATCCCTTGGGTATCCGTTTGTATCTTTCTTTTTTCTAATAGTGTCTCTGCGGCATGCTTGGCGAGAAGGCTTTGCGCGCTTTTTTCAGGATGGTCAAAGAGCAACAAAAACTCTGCATCCCTCGCTCTCTCTCGACTTGAAGCTTAGAAGTTCCCTTCACTTACGTTCACAATGAGGCACATGGCTGTTTCTGTGCCTTTCGCTTGGCTCGACTCGGCTTCTTGGCATGACTTATCATCACCTCTCATCTCATGAGTAACCTACTTACCTGCTTGTATCTGAGCTAAAGAGGGAAGCAGCAATGTGTGTGTCCACCCAGGTCGTCTTCCGTGTCACGTTGAAACGCCATCGTGAGTCGAGTATCCCTTGCATGTATGCCCTTGCAAGTTGCAACGACTTTGTCGCATAGCAGGTGATGCTACAGTCTGGGGATGGATCGAGATTGATTATTGTCGTTTTGTTCGGGACAGAGCAAGTTGAGCACCGTGACCAGAGGCGGCAACCGAGGTGAAATGAAATGAAATGAAATTCAGGGATTCGATGGACCTGATGTCTAAAAGGCATTGAAATTCCGATATTCTGTCTCCTCAAGGAAGACCTAGAGCCTCGAGGCTAGACTTTCTGCAACGACCGCTATAATACATGAGAGGGAAAAGCCGATATCAGGATCCTCAGTGTGAAAAACTACCAGAATGAAGAAGGAAAAATCCGTCGCGGGAAATCGTGGGACATGGCCATAGACTCGGCCCCATTTTCCAACGACGGACCAACTCAAAACTTTTTTTCATATCGAGGTCCACCGTGCACGTCTACCAGTGCCCTGAATAAAACGCCTTCCCCCGGGACGAAACGGGTCGTCCTGCTAACTGATGGGTCAGAGAGGCAGAAACATGGGTGTGATAAACGAGAGATGAGAAATCAAGACGCCGATAATGAGTGAAAAACGCCAATTTGTCCTCCTGCTGCCGCTGCATGAGGTATCCTCTTGCCCGCTCCCCACCAGAAACATTTCGTCGTTGTTACATAGGTGATAGGTTGCGCCGACGGCTGAAGAACATGCCGTCGTTTGTACCTGCGTGTACTGCATTATACTTTGACCTCCGTCGCTTCGCCACCATGGGCCTCCAGCTGTTTCTTGAGTCCCGTGACTTCGCTCGTGAGAAGTCCAATCTGCGCCTGCTTCGCGCTCTCTGCCTTTTCAAAAGCCGTGACCTTATCCGACAGCTGTTTGACCTTCTCTTCGAGGCTCTGGATGTACGCCCAGACACCCGGGTCCGTGGCGAACATATTGCCGCCATTCTCGGCCCCACTTCCTGGCTGCGTTCCGCTGGAACCACGAGCATGGGCGGCCCCTGCCGGAGCCGCGCCAGCCTGTGATGCCGGAGCAACAAAGGCTGGAGAACAGTATCAGCGTGTGATCAAATTGCAGGCGCAAGTTTCAAAAGGCACAACTCACCTGGCGAAGTGTTCCTGTCAGAAGGCCTGCGGCCATATTGGTGCTGCTGGAATTGTTGCGTCAGACTTGGCGAACGTTGTCTCGCAATGTTGTTTGTATCGTGCCCGGGGCTCAATGGCTTCGGGCTTTCCGTCATGCCACTTTGTGAGTAGACAGAAGCGCCACTTACGGGCACAGAAGACACGCTCGTATTCGGCGTGTGAGCACCAGCAATGCTGTTGGGCATGCTTGGAGACGTGGTCGAACTTGCTGTACCGCGGTCAACGTTGGGCGGATAGAGCCCGCCGGTTCCGGGTCGCGGACCTGCTGGCGGGTATGTACGCGAATGAGCGCTATATCCATCGATGCTACCAGGTCCACCTGCAATATGCTGTGCCTTGATGCTTGGCAGGCTCAGGCGCCTCTCCTCCTCCGTCAAGTCTTCTTCGTTGGCATACACTATGCCAGCCATTGAATCATCGCCATCATGCATACTCGGCCCGTCCAAGTCATCGGTCTGGTCGAAACTGCCCATACTGGAGCGGCGGCCCGCACAACCACCCGCACCCTTGCTGTGCCGAGCGAGTGCGTCGCCCCGAGCAAACTTCCGATCGCACTTGGGACATATGTGGGGTTTCTCGCCTGTGTGCAATTTGCTATGACGCTTCAAATCGTGGAGGCGTCGGAAGCGCATGTTACACTCCTGACATATGTACGGCTTTTCCTGGCTGTGAGTGAGCAGATGGCTCTTGAGGTTGTGGTGACGCGTAAATTCCGTCTCGCAAAACGGGCACTTGTGCTTCTTGCCGGATTGAGTCGGAGAATCGTGGCCGGGCGACGGCATGGGAAAGCTCATGCCGCGCGCCGGTGGTGCGGGCATCATGGCGGCGGCTTGGAGCGAACCCGGATATGAAAGTGATCCGGGCGTATTCTTCTCATCGTGAACCGGGGCCGGGTGCGGCTGCTGGGGCTGATGCTGTGGCTGTTGAGGTTGTGGCTGTTGAGGTTGTTCGCTCAGCTTGGGATCAACTTCCATTGGGCCTGGACTGGCCGTCACCAAAGCGCCTGCAATACTAGCTGCGCTCGCTGCGCTTTGCGGGCTGATCTCTGCAGGTTCTGCGGGCGCATTGCTAACTTGTGGGATTGACACCGGTTCGGGAGCCTTGGTGGTGACCTCCATGGCAGCCGTTGGAGCTTGGGGTGCTTCGTCGGGTCGACTCATGGCGGCAACACTACCGGCCAATACGGAAAGCACCGAGTGGCCTGGATTGTCGCTTGAGGCGGGTGGATTTAGGCGCTGTTCGCGTTTGCGTTCCTCTTCGAGAGCTTCGAGCGCCGCGGCGGCTGTCAATGGTGTCGGTGAGCGTCTTGACGATGCCAAGCCGAAACGAGCGGACTTCGTGGGGGAGGGATAGTCGATAGAGGGAGGGATAGGAGGAACGGCGCCTTCGACAATAGGGTCGATAACAGACGTGGGCGAAGTAGGAGTAGACTCGCGCGCCCTCTTGAGCGACTTGGTGCGAGCAGGATCTCCCCCAAGCGCGAAAGTGTCTGATGCGACCGGCGTCGTCGCTGCCAGGAGGGGGGCTTCGGTCGCAATGGGACCGTTATCCGAGGCCATGAGCGGGCGAAAGCATCAACCGATTAATTGGAGGGTTTGAATTGGAAAAGAAAGCTCCGATGCGACCGCGTCGTCGAGGTTGTTGATGGTCAACGACAAGTCATGGGAGCTTCGAATCGTTCAGCCACACGTGGCGGTTCTTGTTCGTGGACGACCCCGAATTTGACGGGACGAGCGGACGAGTCGTGGTGGAATGTGGCGGAACCGATTTGGGCGGGATTGAATAATGGCTGACGCAAGCCGGTCTCGATGGCGAGTAATTCGTTGGAAATTGAATTTGTTACGCGCGCAAAACCATTGGCGGGGTGGAAATCTGGCTGGCGGCAGCGATGTTGAAGAAGAGGGAAAAGAGAACTGAATTCCAAGTGTGGCAGAAGCTGGAGGAAAAGGGAAGGGTGGAGGGCGGGTGCAGCAAGATAGAGTAAGGCAAATGGTCAGAAAGTTGAGCGAGAGAGGTGTGACGGCGTCTGCGAATGAGGGCGAGTTGGGGCTTGCGGTTTCTGCCACAACAGACGGCGGGCGGCGGGTGCGGGAGGTACGGACACACACTGGGGCGGCCGCACACGCTACCTGCCTTCCTTACCACCTGAGGTGAGGAACGACAGAGGTATCCGTACTCCGTACCTGCCTGCCTGCCGAGCTTAGGTAAGCTTTCGTGAGACGAGGTAGGTAGGTACCTACCTACTTACATGCCTCTCTCCTCCTGCCTACCTAAGGTGACCAACCAGGACATGGAAGGTCAGGCAGGCCGCTCGCTGCCCGCAGGCGCACGGAAAGGCGGTTCGTTCTCGGTTGCGGCAGCGCGGCAGTGTTGGAGGACCACTGACAGGACGACAGGAGGAGGGAGTTGGAACTGGAACTGGAACTGTGAACATGATCCATCCCGACTGCTGCAGTTGTTGTCGCCAATGCTGCTGCTTGCATCCAACTATTTACCTGAGTTTGGGGAAGGCAGTCACGCCGTTATCCCAGGAGCCCAACAATCAAGTCCCTTCCCTTTTCCCAGGTATGTCGCGTGTGCCTCCCCCCGAATATCGTTACATGGCATGGCGATTGATACCTACCTCCCCGTACCACCGTCATGGTACCCGTCGGAGTTGACCAAAGTATGGAATACCTTGTAGCTGAATATCGAGGAACGGTGTACTCGATACATTGCCCACCCACCTCAACTTCTCTCAGGCGGCGGACATACATCTCAAGCCACACCCATGCGCGCGCGCACATACACACACTGTTTCTCACTCGTCTCCTCCCTAACTCCGTCTTGGCATTCTCTGAATTACGCCACGCTCTGTGGGTGCATATTTGAACTATCTCAATACGTGCGGCTTGTTGGGCGCCACACTACGGAGTAATGGAATCAATATCGGGTCAAGGAAAATAAAATATGCCTCAGTCTTGCTCCCAGCTCTAGTCTTCATAAGAATTGTGACATGCCGAAGAACGAGGCGCCACACTTGACGGTCGTCGGTCCAAAAGGTAGTGTACGAAGCATTGGAATTGTGAATGCGACGGAGTCGGATTCCGGGGACCAGGCTGGATGACGAGGGAGAGGGAAGGGAAATGGAAGGGAAGGAAACCTGAGAGAATGGAGCCCGAAAGCAAGGGCCTTTCAGCCCCCGCGGTGGCTGTGCAAGAAAATCAAGAGCCCCATCCCATCCATGCCCCAGCCTCCCAGTGCCTTCTGTTCTTCCCCTTTGCTGGGAGTCTGGGACACACGCGAGTGGCTAAAAAGTCCATCTCCGTCTCCACTCAAATCCACTCAGTGGCTTCCCATAGGTTCTCGGCCTGGGAACATCAGTCCCGGTTCCAATTTTCACCTCGTAAACAGACGTGGCTTTGCATCCGCACTACCGACGGGCCAAGTCACCGATACTTGTTTCTCTCGTCCCACCATTGTCGCTCGCCCTGCTTACGGCTGCAGTCTCCAGGTGCACTTCACTTGGCTCCTCCACGCGCATCGCCCCTCTCTCTTCTTTTCCCCCGCAGCAGGCGTACTGGAAGACTGCTACGCGGTTCAGCGGACAGTGAGAGTGCCCGTGGCTGATGACCTGCCGAGGAACCTACCTGTGCCTACCTGACCAAGAGCTCTCCAGCTACAAACGCCTCGCATCACGCGTGCTACACTCCATACACGCGCAAACTCCGCACACCTGGCCGGGAGTACCTTGATTGTACCTGAACATTCCCTCACCTCAGGCTTTGAGCGGGCGATGAGCCGACCTCTTGCCGGATCGACTCCCTCAGGCATGAAGCTAATGATAACGGGATCGATCGTTTCTGCCGATTTGCCCTTAGCATCACTCGTTTTTCGATTGTTGAGCCGCAATGCGGTCAGTCGCCCCTCAACGCGCTGCTAAATGGGCAGAAGAGAGAACCAACGGAGAGGGCATGCACTTCAATCAACACATCGTTGCCAGGCACCCGCCATGAACCCACCGGAGCCTCGCCTGGCTGTGAGCCTGTGCCTTGCTCTGCTTGCCTTGTCCAGTCCCGAGGCCGCCTGGACTGAGGCTGAGACTTCTTTGATGGACGACTAGCATCCACCGCACAGGTTTCGCTTACAGGTTCCAAGGGATACGGCGGAAAAGGCGGCGCTCTCCTTTGTACCATCGCCGGCTATCCCTTCGGCGGTATAGAGATCATGGAACGATCTCGATAATCACCTCTGCTCAGGAACCGGAATCCCGCGGCCATGGTGCCAACTTTCTGCCCAGGCAAAACAACAAACAGACTGGCAGGTAGGCAAGGAACGAGTCAGGCATCGGCCAATGAAGGGATTGAAACGACTCCGTCGCAAACCATCAACAGCGACGCCTTGGGTATTACATACTTCAGCTTTGGTCAGCTATTAATCCGTGACGAATCACCTCGGAGCCAGGTCCGTCCCTATTCGGCCATCAATTATCTAGCTCCCCATACTAGTGCCTGTTTTGTAACCCCTGGAGCTCGCGAGGCACCTGAACTGGGAATCATTTGGGTGGCACTTCATACAGGCGATGCTACCCAAATGTGGCTGAACCATCCAAACAGACACAAAATCGACAAAGCAGACATGACCGATGCCGCGGAGCATTTCCTACGGCAACCAAAGTTGCATCCAACGTTCCGCACCTTCGATCCCGCGATCACTCACTGTCGAACCATGAGATCATTGGCCTAATCTATCCCTCACCTTCGCCGCCAAACCCTACATGACCACGCGGTAATACCCCTTCTCGCTCTCTTGTTGGATCGTGTTCCTTATGACGACGACGTGCGGACCCCGCGATGTGTTGGGAAAGCAGCCAATCCCACATTAGCACGCCGTGGGAAGAGAGAAGCCGCCGCGGTTTTACGCAGGCCTCTTGCGACTCTAATTCGTCATTTTCCGCTGCTATTCACCCCTTCTTCAATCTTCCTGAGCCTCTGGTGTGATGAGCGTGAGTTCTGCGCTGACTGATGGCCCCGAGCCGCTGTGTCAGCTGAGTCACGGCCTAGCCAGAGCTCATTTCGTCCCCTGCCTGTCAGCACCCATTGGCCGCTATCACTTTACGCCGCTGATCCCTCGCTGCTCAGGACCTTGACGGGACAGCACCACTCACCTGAGCCCTTCCGAGTACAGACAGGGCCTGGCTCTTTCCCATGCTCATCGTCATCAATCGCCTGGCTCGATGTCGCGGGGGACCCTGTTGCGGGGACAACAGCATCCGTGATGATGCGCGCCTCGATACGCCAACTGCTGTGCCAGTTTCGATCAAGATGCCATGAGTTAGACTACTAGGTAGGCAATCATGATCGCGAACGCCATTGCCTTGACTTGCCTGCCGTGCCAGCTTGCCACATCGTTGACACTCTCGGGTTGATCATGGTCGCAGCCCGCACTCTTCAGCTGAGGTACTCCAGCCTCGCCACATTTCATGCTTACATGGGGGAAACAGCCTATTCAAAAGCAGACTACGTCATCTTTCACGGAGGTGTTCCTGTCACGAACAAGAGCCGCGCGACCTGGCCAACGACAAGATGACAGGATACCTTTGGCAAGCCAATGACGGCAGTTGAAAGCTCTGCTGGGCGAATCCAGTCGCCTGACTTCAAGATAGACTAGTCCCGATTCCGCACTTGCTGCGGTGAGGCTGGCTGAGGCCTTAGCGGTTCAGCAATATGTCTCGGCAGGTCGCAAGTATGTGAAATGGCTTTGTGATTTTGAGAATTGTTTGGTCCCTCTGCCTATTACTCCTCGCTTCATTCTGTTGTAGTTTTCGGTTGTGTCCCTGCCTCGGAGGATGCCCGTGGCAGAGTCGCCGCGCTTTGCTGAAGCGTAAAGTCTACTATCGGTATTGGGTTGAAACAGCTAGGTAGGCTGACAAGAACTCTGGTGAGCGGGCTTGCGTTCTAGTATAGATGGTGGAAATACCTCTAGGGTGGCAATGGCGGATAAGAGAGCCGCTCAAGGTTAGTTACAACCTAAGTTCGTATTGCAGCCGACTCAATTGCCACCCGCCTAGGTTGGTGAGACTTGACTTGCCTGGCAATCAAGCTATTGCTCATGTGGAGTAAGTTCCTACCTCTGGCTGTGAGTCTAAGCATGAGGGAGAAGTGAGCATCGACCTGCATTCCCTTCTGGAGCTGCCTTGTTGAAAGAAGTGCTTTGGCTCTTACACTGCTGCTGGTAGTGTCCGTCCCATCACCTTTAGTATACGTTTCGCGACAAGGTGACGAAGATGGTGTGCAAAGTAGCCTCAACGGCACTGAAGTCACTTCGAGACATTCATGGAAGCCTTGTGGTCACAATCTAGCATCTGGATGGAATCTGGACAAGAGCAGAATCCAGTCGCAGCTGACTTGGAACATGGGGAGATATTATCTCTGGTAAACTAGGAAGGTTTTCTGGGTAAATGACGTGCGTGCGTGGCTCGCGTAGTTACGATGTCTGAGTCCGCAGCCGATGTCATGTCTAACGAAAGTTCGACTTGACGTGTGTTCAAGTAGTTGAATGGAAACATTTGTCAACGTACATGCCCTTGGTCACGGTCGTGACTTTATATTTCAATCCTGGGTTCTGAAACCCTGAGCAAACGTACTCGGTCCACGGGGATTACTTGTGCTGTTTTAAATATACCACTGTCCAAATTCTACAAGTTTACCTCGATTTCAGGCTTTTGTTTGGAATCCAATGTGGAAAGGCCCATTGCCAGGTCAGGGTACGTTCACAGTATAGCGCCTGAGAAAGAATTGAGTATGTTTTGCCAGTTGTTGAAAGTTTTCAAGTCAGACATCTTGCCAAATGATAGACTTACTTTGTCCATGAAGTCTTCGCTATGTCGCGTTGTAAATATGAGAGAACCCTAGAAAACTCTCCCAAGGAATGAGTACATCTCCAAAGGTCATAGTTTCGCACGAGGTTCATGAGATCTGTGCCGCCGTGACGGTCATATGTCATAAGTATTTTGTGCTCTCAACAGTGTCATCGCGAGCAACTACTAGAACTTCGATGTGTTACAATCCCTTGTCATAATTGTTCACAAAATACTATCTTTTGCTTGTGTACTCTCATGGTTGGCACTTGACATCTGCCTAAACAATGTCTGGGCTTTCAACCAGTTGTGCGAAGCACTTTCTCCCCACAACTTAGACCAGACTCACATCGATTAGTTGGGTATGGAACGCTTGCCTGAACGCGCCACTGAGTGAAATTATCAGTGAAGCACAGATTGAGCAACTGTCGTAACTGCTGTCCACGGATTCGATGAAGAACAGGCGGAGGCAACTGGACACATAGCAGACGAAGCACTTCACCCTGTATGTGCCGGGCTCGTTGAGTTGTAAGGTGCCAACTTGCAGATCCTTTGCAACCCACTTGTTGTGCTGGAGGGTACTGCCGACTTGCTCTATTGCTATGCTATATCGGCCACGATACCGATCACGAGTCTGCCTGTGCTCCCTTAACTAGACTGCTGGTAATAGAAGGAGGGGCCAACCGCAACGTCGTGTGGATAGGCCCCAACATCAAGTTCTCTACACAGAGTCGACGTTTCTGTGATACTTCATTGCAAGCTGGCCTCTACCCTCACTCTCTCCCTGCCTCCACCCCCATCCAACCCTCGCATACTCTGGGTTGTCGATTCCGCCCCGCTCTATCACCTGGATTCCCACAGCCCAAACTCAAATCTACTCGCCCTAAACGAGAGGTCATGCCATGCGAGTATGGAATATACAGCACAAAAGTATATGGAGGTGTATGACACCAAAGTGGGCAAGAGACCCTGATATTCTCTCTACAAGCACGGAATCGCCCGCCGCCACAGGGAGGGACACCGCCACAGGGAGGGACACCAGAGGAAGACTGCATACTGTATTTGGGTGGCAACATATTCTTCTCACAGTAAGACAGACGACAAGTAATAGGAATTACAACGATAAGTATCAATTAATTTTCCCACCCAATGCAAGTGTACTGTTCTTTCCCCGGTATATCTCATGGAGCTATGCCATCCTTGACCGTTTACCACCCCCTATGGCGCTCTATCATGAAGTTCCCATCTCGTTTCCCATGTTTTTGTTTCAATCGTCAAGTCGTTAAAAGTCTTCTCATCGTACAGGTACACGTCATTCAACGTTCAAACATTCATCAGACATCGCCCCTTCCTTTTGTTGAGTTCTCGCCACCTCCTCGTGAGGCGGTGCTCTTCGTGCTCTTCTTGTCTACCATTATTCATAATATCCATGCATTCAGTGGGCGTGCGCAACTATAGCCACGTAGGTGTCGTCTGGGATTCTTTCTATGATCCACAGTGTACGTTCAATTACTTTATCGGCTTGCAGCGAAGGGAATGAACGCAGCAGCTTATTAGGGCTGATAGATTGTTAGCATGCACAACTCAAGTCTAGACGGCGCAGAAAACATACCTTGGAGAGCTCATGAGCTGATCCCGCATGCCCATCAACTGGGCTACAATACAGAGAATATTCAGATGGGGCCCGTAGGCGAAGAGAAAGTCCCACAATCTGAGGACTTCGGGAAGCGGAGGCGTACAGGCACATAGCGTCAGAACCGAGGGGAAAGCGTAGATCTCAGCCGTGAGACCTTTGGAGTGCAAGTAGCCGCTTAGCTTCGAGTCGACCGTGGCAAGGACCTTATCAACCAGCGCCAGACCCTTGTGTACGCCGTCCATAGCGCCGCGGATGTAGCCGGGGCATTCGCGCGTCAGAAGTGTGTAGAACGCGATGAAGGCCTCGGATTCGCTCCTTGCTGCGTAAAGGAAAGGCGCGGCCAGCACGTTCATTCCTTGCACGTATGTTCCGGGCTCCGCAGCATGGCTGGATTCGGAGCCTTCTGTGGTCAAGGTGAGGGCCCTGGCACGGTTTCTGGCACCAGGCGAAAAGGCGGGATCTTGCGAGTAGGCTGTGGCTGTCGACGTCGATGTCGAGCTGTCCTGCGATATGGAGCTTCTTCCAGTGCTGGGTCGCTCCCTGCGCTGCTCCTCCCGCGCATCGTGTAGGCGCCAGGCTACGGCGTTGAGGAGGCGAATCAGGCTGGCCTCGCTCACACGTCGCCTGAACAAAGGATCAGTCGTTAGGGTTCGAAAGGTATCGTTGCGAATCTTGGAGTAGGCTGGGGAGGCTCCGCGGTGAATCAGGCCCAAGTAGTCATCGGTCGGGAGAACGGGGGTATCGAGCAGGATGAGCCAGACGTATATACGTAAGGTTGACTGCGTGGCAAGAAGTCAGCATTGGTGTATAGGCTTGATGGGCATGAAGGGTGATGTTTACCATGCCGTCGCTATCACTCTTTATGCCCTCGCTCAAGATTTTGCGACGAGCCATGCCTAAAGCCTCAATTGTCTCTCCTTCGGGTGGGCCCTCTTTAATAAGTTGTTGGAGAGACATGGTCGCGTACTTGGGGCTGATGCCCATCATGCTGCGCTTGCCCGTAGCCAGCGCATTTATATGATGGATAACGGGCGCCGGCGCATCGCTATTGGATCGTCCTCGAGTGTGTCGCGCCACGTTGGAAGAAGAGCTCGGGTCGCGTCGCGTAGGAGAGATATTTCGTTGCGTGATTTGCGTCAAGCGTTGCTGCGAGATCAAAGAGGGTTGATGAAGGGGTTGAAGCTGAAGAGCCGCCTTGGAGCCAAGATTATGTGCGGATTGCAGTTTGCGAAGGCGATGGGTACGCGGAGACGGTGGTGGGAGCAACTCTGTGGTTTTGGCTTGCGACAAGTTGTGCGCCGGATGGGCGACAGGATCTCTTGGGGGACTCGGCGGCATCTTTGCGACTGAAGGATTGGACCAGCTATATTCACTAAGTGAGGGACAACGGGAATATACGACGGGTTATGGGAAGAGTATTCTGAAAGATTGGCAGGGCACGGTACCAAGAACCGCTAGAAGAGAAAAAAAGAGGCAAGACAACAAGCGTAGCGAGGTGACCAACACCTCGTGGGCTGCTATTTTTGGCCCGGGGCGGGGAGGAGGAGGTTGGTGATTGCAGACTCGGTGGTGTAGATGACAAGCATTGCAGGTGTTGGCGGCTTGGAGTTTGTTTTCTGACTAAGGCAAAGCGACTTGTTGCCCGGGGAGAGAGGGGCTGTTGAGGACTCGCGTCGGTCAATTGCCCCGTGTTTTTTCGCGTACCAAATATCGCTGGCGACCAGCAGCTCAACGATTCCAGCGCTGAATGGTCAATTCCAATATTCTCATGTTGCTTATTCTAAGAGCTCTAGTCCAGCCTCGCCGGCCGAAAGTGTGAGACCTCCTTATGGCATGCAATCCACTTTCCGAAATTTGGCAAATTCGTAGCAATGTCTCCAATCTTTGAACGAAACAACCGTCAAGAAGGCGAGAACATTGATCATCGAGGCTGGTACCTGGAAAACCGGGGCAAGCAATTGAAAGACGACTGTAGGTATTGTGTAAGGTTAGCTGACTTAATCTTGAACTTCCTCTTTGAGCCACAGCGTGCAGGTCCGGGTCGAACCCCCACAGTAAGGTAAGGGACCCTTCCGGAACTGTCGGCGCAGATGTCCCGATCCGGTTGCGGAAAATCGTTAAACCTATGCGGAGTATCTCCCCGTCGATTATCCGAGCTGAACGTCCTTCCTTATGTCAGCCTTCTGTCGTCGCAAGCTTGGCGTCATGGGTGCGTCTTTGGCTGTTGGTCCAAGCTGGCCCATGACGTTGGCCATCCGTAACCACATCCGCTTTACGGATCCTCTTAGCAATAGGCAACTGTAGTCTCCAGTCTCTAGTATCCGGAAGGCCAGGCGACTACGGATTCTGCCCACACAATGCAGCATATTATCCCGGAACCCCATTCCGTGAATCCATCTTGCCATCGTCTTTCGCCTGGGGCCGAGCATCCCCCTGTCTCTCTCCAGACTCTTGACCATCTCGCAGTTTGCCGCCATTGTCGACGGTCTGATTCGCACGTGCAGTAACCACGAGGAAGTGCAACATCACACGTCCCGACAATTATGGCCATCTGAGATTCTGGTCCGCATCTGTCAAGGACCAACCCAGCTTCTCATCTCGTTCAAAAGCTTCGCACCACACTTCGCGAGACAAGCAACCAGTCAAGGCGAAGAAGTCTCAGAAGGGTCCAACCAGGTTGAGCATCTCCGCAGCCATCTGCCCCACTTTCTCATCACCTCAAACAAGGGTACTATTGCACCATCGCCAAGTTGCAGAAGCTGAACCCCATTGGTCAGCACACTAGGTACCGTCCCAATTGCGGTAGTTCTTTGGATACTCGTCTCCTCCCCGTGGAAACGTGTGTTGCACAACTGGGAACACTTTGGCATTTGGGCATTGTCCCTCACCCGACAGTCTGCTCTGATTTTTCATCGTCTCCAGTTTATCACGTCGGTCAACAAGGCAGCGCTTCGCCCGGCTCCATGACTGACGACACATGAGCATTGGCATTCTCCAATTTCTGCAGTCTGGCCACAGGAAACCCGAGCTTTCCCCTCGTGCTCCTGTATCTCTGACATGCCGCGTGGTAAACCAAGTTGAGACTTGAGAGAGCGAGAGAAACCACGCAATAGTTCCCTCCGAGACCGCATCTTTAGCATGGTCCGTTCCTCCACTTCATCACAGCTGAATACGCCGCATTGTGCATATAGAGTACTTCATCCAATGGCGCTTATTGAAAATCGTACGGACGAGCCCGTCTGATATTACCAATTCGATATCAAATAAGCAAGAGAGCGCATGTCCCTTGTCTGGTGGGTATAAGATAATTGGGCTCGCAGCATGTACCGACCCCCATTGCCCGTCTCCACTAAGCTTTGAATGGCAAAGGCTCGATGGCGACATCGCCCCGGTTTCGACATCGCGGGAGGAGTGCGGATACTACCACCACAAAGAGCTTCTGCTGACACCAACAATTGTTGCTATTAAATCCGCGCCATTGAGGGATTCATACACCCCCTGTCAGAGTTTTCCCTCTCTCGAGTCTCTCTCGCCGTCGTCGTCTTCTCCTCGGCTCTTCTGCAACGCTCATTTCTTGGCTGCCGCCGTCATCCCGGTGCCACATCTCTTGGCCCACGAGATCCATCGTCTTGTCAAGCAAGAATGCCTTAAGAGCCTCCCTTGGCACTCCACTACCGAAGTTTCTGAAGTCAATTAAAAGCTTGTCTGTCTGCCTTCCTCAGCCTAAGTTGAAGAGCTTGCGATAGTCTTTGAAGAGCTTCGAAGAGCTTCCGCAAGATTTGAAGAGCTTCTGTTTCAGTCGCACAACCCGACCAGGTCGCTCCAGACCACTCAGGCCACACGATACAGATATATTGTCGCCACTATTGTGTGAAGGGTTGTTGTCTCTCATCCCTTCTTGTCAGCCACAAGCGCTTCTGTCGCCATTTTCGCACGCCGCCAAATTACGGCGTTTTTCCTGTGTCGGGAACTCTCTCGCTCATCGTTGAGTCGGCCATCGTTGTCTCGACCAATTAATGCCCCTTTGACCGATTGCGCAACTTTGCAAGGGCTGTCAAGTAGCGACAATTTCGCACCTCCTGCCCCAAATCGCCACCCCCGTCGAGCCTCGAGGACTGGAAGCGTTCTAGTCACGGCTTGCACCATTAGCTTCTGCCCACTACGCACCCCGGTTCCCATTCCTGCCGCCCACTCTCGACCGCCAAATCCCACGGCGACCCCCGTGGACCCAGGAGTGTGGCACGGTAACCACCCCCGGTGACTCCTATATAGCCTTGGGACATCTTCGCCAAAAAAGGAGCGAGGTCCTGTGTGCTACTCGTCTCTGTAGTCAAGAGCTCGACAAGTAATTCTTCAGAGTCTCTGCCGGTTTCCGGTCCGATCAACCACCATGTCGAGCACAAGCACCAAGATTGGCCATGGCCTGGCCAAGGTCTTGGGCATCAAGCTCGAGAAGCCCGAGAACGAAGAGATGTTGCGCGGCGAATCTGTCTTCTCTGTTCAGTCCTCGGACACATTCGTTGAGGAGGAGCCAACAACGGCTGAGTGGCTCCTCGAACTTCTTCCCGACGGCCACGAAGTTCTTGCATACATCCGCTCTCTCTTCCCCTTCCTCAACTGGATTGGTCACTACAACCTGCAGTGGTTCCTTGGTGACTTGGTCGCCGGTGTCACTGTTGGTGCTGTTGTGGTACCTCAGGGTATGGCTTACGCTTTGCTTGCAAAGCTTGATCCTCAGTTCGGTCTCTACTCATCCTTCATGGGTGTTATTATATACTGGTTCTTCGCTACATCCAAGGATATCACCATCGGCGTATGTAAACCCTCTTCCAAATCACATTGGTGCTCTACTAACAGATCAATAGCCCGTTGCTGTTATGTCCACTGTCGTTGGTAACCTCATTACCGATGTCCAGGCAGACTTCCCCCAATACGAAGGTCATCAGATTGCGTCTGCTCTGGCTATCATTGCCGGCGCCATCATTCTCTTCATTGGTTTGATTCGAATGGGATGGGTTGTCGACTTGATCTCTTTGACCTCTCTGTCAGCCTTCATGACTGGTTCTGCCATCAGCATTGCTGTTGGTCAGTTGGTCACATTATTGGGCATCAAGGGTGTCAACACAAGAGAGGCTACCTACCTGGTCTTCATCAACACCCTCAAGGCTCTCCCCAAGACAAAGATGGATGCTGCCATGGGCCTGACCGCCCTCACCATGCTCTACCTTTTGCGGTTCATCTTCACTAGCCTGGCCAAGAAGTATCCTCAGAAGTCGAAGCTTTTCTTCTTCCTGTCGACCCTGCGAACCGTCTTCGTCATCCTTCTCTACACCATGATCAGTTGGTTGGTCAACATGAACAGACGGTCAAACCCGCTGTTCAAGATTTTGGGAGAAGTTCCAAGAGGTTAGTGCATATTTCACTCGGCTAGTATACTGTGAGCTAACCAAAATTACAGGTTTCCAGAATGCTGGCGCCCCGAAGATCGACACCGACCTCATCAGCGCTTTCTTGCCCTTCCTGCCTGCCAGCGTTATTGTGCTGGTCATTGAGCACGTTGCTATCTCGAAATCCTTCGGTCGTGTCAACAACTACACCATCAACCCTTCCCAAGAGTTCGTTGCTATTGGTGTTACCAACGTCATCGCACCTTTCCTTGGCGGGTACCCCTCTACGGGCTCGTTCAGTCGTACCGCTATCAAGTCCAAGGCTGGCGTCAGAACCCCCTTCGCCGGTGTTATCACTGGCCTTATTGTCCTGCTTGCCATCTACGCTCTCACGGCTGTGTTCTTCTACATCTCCAGCGCGTCACTGGCTGCAGTCATCATTCATGCCGTCGGCGATCTTATTACGCCGCCCAACACTGTTTACCAATTCTGGCGTGTCTCACCCCTTGAAGTCGTCATCTTCTTCATTGGTGTCTTTGTCACCATTTTCTCTTCCATTGAGAACGGAATTTACGCCACAATCTGCATCTCTGCCGTGCTGCTCCTCTGGCGCATTCTCCGTAGCCAGGGACGCTTCCTCGGAAAGGTCAAGATTCACTCCGTCGTCGGCGACCACGTCATTGGCGAAGACCACCGACAAGTCATTGGCGAGTACGGCACCTTCAACGCCAGCGACAACGCCGCCCGCAACGTTTTCCTGCCCATCGATCACGGCGACGGATCCAACCCCGAGGTCTCCCTGGACGAGCCGTACCCCGGCATCTTCATCTACCGCTTCTCCGAGGGCTTCAACTACCCGAACGCCAGCCACTCCCTCGAGTACCTCACCGAATACATCTTTGCCCGGACGCGCCGCACAAACATGCAGTCGTACGGAAGACTGGGCGACCGCCCCTGGAACGACCCGGGCCCGTCCCGCAAGGCCAAGAAGGCGCAGGCCCAGATGCACGAGGAGGAGAACAGAGCGACGCTCAAGGCCATCATCCTCGACTTCAGCTCCGTCAATCACGTCGACTTGACGTCCATCCAGCAGCTCATTGACGTCCGCAACCAGCTCGACCGCTACGCGGCCCCCGACAAGGTGAACTGGCACATTGCCTGCATCAACAACCGGTGGACCAAGCGTGCTCTCGTCGCTGCCGGCTTCGGCTACCCAGTCGACCGCAGCGACGGCACGCAGCACCAGTGGAAGTCCATCTTCAGCGTCGCCGAGATTGGCGGCTCCGAGTCGGCGGCCGCGGTCGCGGAGAAGGAGGCTAACGAGAAGGAGCTCTCGACGCACGCGCGGGCCGCAAGGACCATTGACGAGGAGGCGCTGGGCAAGGACGGCGGCGCGTACGACCAGATCGACCCCGTCTCGTCGGGCTCGAGGAAGGGTGGTGCCGGCGCCGGCAACATTGGCGGCGGCCCCAGGAGGAAGGGTGTCGTTGTCCACGGCCTCAACAGGCCGCTGTTCCACGTCGATCTGACGAGCGCGCTGCAGAGCGCCATCGCCAACAGTGAGGGCAGGGGTATTGTTGAAGAGGATGCAGAGGACCCCAAGAGTCCCAGCACCTCTAGCGATTGAGAGAGAGAAATGTGAACGTTTAGGGATGGAAACAGATGTATAGCGATTTTTTGATACCCTAGGTGGGAAATTTTATTGAAGAAAGAAGAAAAAGTCGGTGCAAGATATGAAACTAGGCACATAGAAGATATTGATGACGATATATCACCCTGCGGGGAGAGCAAGTTTGCGTCTTGCATTTAATGTTATAAGATTTGAAAACACTATGATCCAGCCATCCGAGTCAGTTAAGTGATTTATTGCTCAATTTGTTCCAGGCACGTAAGCACGTAGAAAGGCTCACCCTTGAGGAGTTTCACTGTACGTGATTACCCTTCAGCAAAGGATGTTAGCTTGTACGTCTCTCTGTGAGTCGATCCTGTATCAGGACCCATCAAATACGCAGAGTGATAAGATGTTTCCTTCGGATACTTTCTGATGATGTATCTTGCTACCTAGTCTCGACAGATAAAACCCCTCTAATGCCACCATCACGAACTGACACACTTCAAGCAAAATCGTCGCCGCCCTTACGTCTCAAACCACAATCCTCACAAAAGAATACAATATACATCACGATCTAATCAAACGATACAATCCCATAGCCTAGAATAACCTTTTTTTCGTCCCCCTATCCGACGTTCCCCCAATGCTCAAAATCAACTTCATATCAACACCACGCATCCAGAACCCACCTACACCCACATATCTCCACCAAAACACCAAAAATCATCAAAAACATACAACACCAGGTATTCGCTGGTCGTCACCGACCCAACTACTAATCCGGCCCTCATTGGCTTATCTATGGGAGAGCGGACGGGATCCCGAGTTTTCCAATGGGTATGGTCGTATGTAGTGGTTTGAGGAGGGTAGGGCCTACATGATGGCAGAGACGACATGATCATGATTACGGATGGCGCGATGAATATTGTTAGCACCACGATGTAGTTTCAAATAAGAAAGGCGCTTTGATTTCGAGTTATTCCATTGGCAATGGGGCTCAGCTCTGCAGACGAGGGTTTGGGAGTGGATGGGGATTGAGACATAGACAGCTGTTTCGTGCTCGTCTTTACCCAAAGAACGACAAGAGCATCCGCGGATCTCATATCCATGCGCAGTTCTGTAGTTGACCGTCAATGGGGCCATTTCAGAAAAAAAAAACGGATCTAAAGTGGTGCCGGGTTATATTCCTCCAAGTACCGCAGAGAGTAGAAGTTGCCGTGGGTTACAAGATTGGTTTATTCTCCTCACACCTTGCGACGACTCCTTCATCCCACCACGGTAAACTGCTATGAAGAGACAGAGCCTTGGGCATAAACAACGATGTAATCTTGATAACCTGAAGATACCAATCGAGATATGTTCCCGGCACTAGGATACTGTATGCGAATCCAAGGCGACCTCTGCGTTGATTTCCACCGCTGAAAACACTGGAATGCACGGAAAATGCAAAAGCCACCCAAATAGATTAATCAAACACCACCTACAGACCCTACAGTAAACAGGCGCAATTTCACCTTCGATCAAAAAGAACATTAAATATATACACAACCATGGTCCAACAGCACTATCGTCACAAGCACCTACCCCCTCACAAGGGCCTACCATCATACACAGTCCCGTACGGAACAGTCTCAATGTCTCCATGGCAAGCCCTATCATAGGCCGCCAGCTCAGGCATACCCTGCTGCACATTCAAAAACGTCTCGAGCTCGCACCAGCCGTCTAATCTCGTGACATCGCAATCGGGGAAACTCCAGCCCAGCGGCACGGTCCTCTGGTTCAGGACAAAGTGAATGTACTTGGTCTCCCCACCGTCCTTCTCGTACCCGGAACGGTCGGCCTTGAACGGCTTGGGCGTCTTAATGACCTCAATGTCGAGCCGGGCGCCAAAGGGCGTGATGTGCGAGATGGTGAAGTTGTGCGGGCCCGGGTACTGCGTTGGCTGGAGGAGTTGAGCGAATTGCTTCAAGCCAAACGCCGTTAGGATGGAGGCGATGTTTGTGTCGTGGGAGAAGTCAAAGTAGAGGCTTTGGTTGAGCGGGAACGTGACTGTGTTGTTGTCGAGTGTCACGTTGATCTGAGACCCAGAGTAGCCCAGGGTATGGTTCTGGAGGCGCGCAATGACCTCTTGTTGATAGCCGATACCAACAGCGCGCTGCAGCCTTGTCAATATCGGTTCATTCAGCGCAGTGTGAAATCTTAACATACACCTGTGGGGTTCTGGAACGCGTTGTTGCCGGCAAACATGAGGTCGACGGAGTAGGAGAAGCCGACCCATTCTTCGTAAGTGAACAAGTCGCAGAAGACGCTGAAGCCGTATGCCACCTGGTTCGAGGTCAGTCAAAGGCGATCCAGTCTCCCATCCGAAAGAGGTTCTCACCGTCTCGTAAGGACACATGGTCTGAGCCGCATAGGTGTCATCGATGGTCCAGTCATATCCTTCCGCCAGATCTTTCAACCGGGCAGTAGCTGGAAAGAGTTGTCAGCGGCATGTACGACTACGTAGAATAGCAGCAGGCAGGCTCACCATTGGCGAGGTAGTTCGAGATCCAAACCTTGGCAGCATCGTCGCCTCCATTCTGCTTGCGAGCGTTGGGGCAGTTCAAGTAGCCGGCGAGCGAGTTGTTCGCTCTGTCTTGTTCAATGATGACCTCGATGGTGGCATTGTTTGTCCTGATATCCAAGTCAGCTGTAAGCTTCACATGCCTCAAGTGGAGCACTATACCATTCGAGACCGAAGAAACCCGCCAGCCAGTACTCGGCCGACTTCAGCATCCTGTCTTGCGTCTGCAAGCGTGTTAGTCACGAATACTCAGAAGATAGTAGTAGATACTCCTGACGTACAGTTGTTCGCACAATGATCTTGCTGTTCGGATTATACAGCGACGAATACATGTACGAGTGCAAAATGCCTAAGCGCTCATTAGTCTTGATGCTCTATGCCTTTGCGTGAACTGTCTAGTATCAGGCCACCTACCAGAGTCGAACAGCTCTTGACGCCCTGTGGATGAATGTGTCAGCAGTTTCATACACAAACAAGGTAGTACTCAACACCAACCTTTCGGAACCAGGATCTCGTGTCCCAGTTGATACTTCCAGTTATTCAAGAACTTCAAAGCACCCTTGGCGTTCAATTTCTTGCCAGCCTTTGCGATGCGCTGCCCAAAATCGGCTACATTGGATCCCGTGGTGGGATATCTAGATCCGTGGCGAGAGAGCATCTATCACAGGTTAGTCAAAATAAGCATTTTCCATCGTGACCTGAGAAGCAGCCATTGAAGTCCAGCCTTAGCTAGCTCTGATGTGGCTTACCTGAACTTGGACGATATCGGCTCCTTCCGGCAGCGCGTATTCCTCTACACCAAAGCCAGGACTCGGTTGATACGGGGTAAGGTACCTAAACGCTCGAGAGTTGAGCGATCACTTCTCCACCTCTGACCGTGTACATGGCACGCAACTTACCCCATCATATTGAAAATGCTCTCATTCTTGCTTCCCATTCCTTCGATAGGGATATCCGTCTGCAGCGGCGCATTCGGCACAAAGGTTCCCGTCGGAATAACTCTCGTCTGCGCCATAAAGGCAGGTCTACCAGTCGCCGTCGGGCCAGCCCACAACTCCGGACTCGTCCTGAAGTACTGTGGCACGTCATCGTCCGGCCTACACGGGCAGTCCTCGAGGTTCTTCAAGCCGTCCAACGCGTTCGGGCCCCGTCTCACGCCGCCATTGTCCCAGGCGAAGCCCAGGACCACAAATGCGAGCATACATCCCACAAAGGCCAGGGCGAGCGCGATAGCAATGGTGGCGCGACGGCGGTTACTGGGCGAGTTGTGCGAGCCGTCACCGTGGAGATCAATGTCGACAAACGTGGCGCCGGACGTCGGCGTCGGCGGCGGGAGGGCCGGAAGAGGCTTCTCGCCAGGCAGAGCCTTTTGCCTTCGGCCGGAGGAACCGGAGCGGCTGCGACGAGGCTGCTTCCGGGAAAAGTCGTCTTCCTGTCCCGGAACGCGGAGATAGCCGCCCTGGCGGGGTGCCATAGTTGCTACAATAAATCCCAGGGGAGGACTGAGATTTGCGCAACGCTCGATGAGAGAGAGAGAGGGTGTGGCGGAAGGGATCCGGCGCTTGAAAGGAGGTACAAGTCAACCCCTTCGGAGTTGACGGTCCGCTGAAGGCTTTTCTTGCAGGCGATGCACGACACTCCTTGGCTTGGGAAGCTGCAGCTAGCGATGTCCAGTCACAAACTGCCGGAGGTTGCACCGAGACACCAACCGGACGCAGAGCTCGTACGCAGGTAAGGTAGCCTGGTAGGTAGGTAGGCAAAAGAGGGGGGCGTGGAATAGGCAAAGTAGAATAAGGTACGTCAAAGCAGGATTCGTTTCACACTCGGGGGTGCAATCCCATGTATGGAGCGCTTGTTTCTTGAAGTGGATGGTGCCTAGGATGGACATGCAGCTCTCAAAGCGGCACTATCAGGCGGGCAAACCGAGGTTGGCGTAGGCGAGACGACGATGCAGAGTGAACTGTGTGCGCCTGAAGGCGGTTGGATGGACCGATTGTGAGGTGCGGCAGTAGGGTATAACGGGTGCCGATGCAGGAAAGAAGGGATCTTCTTCGACACACATGCGGCGGGCAGTCGATCCCCAGGCCTCGGGAGCAACGTCCGTGATTCCCCAATTGGCCACCTGGATGGTCAGTGCGATGGGAAGGAAAAGGCAACTTTGCAGGACGGGAAGGGCGGGAGGGACAGGCGAAAGCGAAGAAGCAAACAAAGGGCGGTCAGGTGTGTGTCGTGTGCGCAAGATCACCCAATGCCTCTTTGCTGTAAGGTCAGGTATCCGTAAGAGAAGGTTTGATAACGTCGCGATGGGGTGGTGTCGTCTGAGGCGGCCAGGAGGAGCTCAAGGTAGGGAGACTCGCGGTTAGGGGGCATCTGTCGTTGGGAGCGGCGCCTTCTCATTCGACGATGCGTGGCCCCATCGGCAGCTTACCTTAGCGGCTTAGCTCAACCGGGAAGGCGGATCCGGTCCCGACGACGCACGGCCAACAGCCAATGACACGGCCTGGTCTGGCTGCTCCGGCTGATGGCTCTTTGGCCTGTGCTACTAAGTACACAGTAAGGTAAGGTAGGTGCCCTGAGACTCCCGTCTCTGAGTGATGGATCTTTGATTCCTGAATGATGAATCTCAATCTGACAGGATTCCTACTTACCTAAGCACGCGATAGGATACACATCGACTTGACCTCTCATGACACTCCCAGGTACCCTAGAGTTCAGTCGTGAGAGTCCTGGGGTATTCCTACCTTACGTTGCCTTTCCTTGACTTACCTTAGGCTGGACTGGAATGGACTGCTGCCGCCGAATCCGCGGAGGCTGTAGCCCATCACTGTCAACGCATTCCTACCTAGGTAACTTTCAGCCGTTGACGAACCGACGTCAATCGGGCTGCAATCTCCATCCATCCATCCACACAACTAATACTCCGTGCCACCAAACAATCGCAACACCCGTCGTTCATGCTTGCTTTTTCCTTCTTCATGGCCATCGTCCGCTACCTCCCCCACGCCCCCAATCAACCCTTCCCCTCAAGGCCATGTTTCTCCCGGCTGAGTTCCAGCTCCAGCTCCCCGACCATCGCATCCTTTAGCTACACAGATTCTGCCACCCAAGTCGCGAAGCGAGCATCGCGGGGAAGCCCTACCGCACCTTGACCCAACCTTTCAACGTCAATCACCGTGCGTCCACTTAACTTGGACCTTCATGGCCGCGCTTGTACCAACCTGCAGCTCTTTCAACGATAGTTCTTCCCAAACAGGACTCATCCAAGTTGATTAGTGATTCCACGCAGGTGTCAGCCAGTCGATTCTAGGCCTAGGGTTTTGTGACAACCCCCCGTACTTACATACAACCCATTCGTCACTCATGGTCACTTTTTTCTTCTTCCACTCCTTCTTGCTCGTCTTGGCGCGCTGTTGAGAAGAAGAAACGATTACTGGAGCTCTTGTGCTCCACAGTACGTATCTTCAATGTCTCCGCCGCTCCTCCAAGCAGGCGTTCCGAACCAGACCAGACTCCTCCTCCCAAAGGTGGACCATCCCAGCGTCCCTCCTCTTGCAAAATGGGCCCCGTTTCTATCCCTCCGATCGATCGCCCACGCTAGGAGCCGATGACAACCTCCCCGTCGTGTACAGGCTATGCCGCCATACTTTGATGGGAAAAAGAAAAGAAAGCGTCGAGTGCTGGGATTGCAGAGAAGCAAAACAAAACATGGACAAACGCAAGAAGCGGGGGCTCTGGCTGCACACATCCATCTCGAGACCTGCTAGCGAAGGACGAGCCGGTCATGCCGACCTCGGACCACCGCCGGATTTCTCACCATTTCAAATTAGGTAATCAAGTCAAGCTTGCTATGGGTGCAAGGCTTTGGCAAACCAACCGGCAAAAAGCAAAATATACTTGTCATGCACCCTTGAGTTTCGTGCGGATACTCCTCATACTTCACCCTCGTCTTGTCTGCATGGAACACGTATCCTGCTCGTCGGTGACAAGCAACGTGTCTGCCCAGGATCATCAGGTGGCCAGCGTCATCGTAAAACCCCAGGTCCTCCAGGCGACTAGGACCGGACTGAAGACATTGGCAAAAGAAAGAAAACATCCCGGCGTAGGGGTCCTTGAGACGGAGCTGATGCACTTCTGGAAAACACTCCAAAAGTTCCCGCATGGCGGCCTCCTCTTTCACTGCCCACTTCTCATGCGGACCTCGTTTTCTTTTCGCTCCTCCCTTCCCTTGTAGGGGTGCGAAGGCAGACTCGCCGTAGGCTGTAGCCAGCGATCCGGCATTCCCATGCAGGCGATGAAATTGTACATGCCCATAGACACTGATACCAGCGTATTGCAGGTGTCAAAAGCTGCTTGTCGTTCCGCCACGAGCTGCAGCCACGCGCTCGCTTGCTTGCCGATCACTAAGAGAAGTGCAATCGAAATGCAGGAAAAACCCAAGGCACACTGTCAATAGAAGCGCTTAGTGGCTCTTTGCATGTCTCGACAATGGCCTCGGCCCTCCTAGGCGGCTGTCGCCTCCCCTAGAGGTCAACATGCTCGAATTGTCCTTTTGGCCATGGCAAACTGCGAACTCCATGCCCGTCTAAGATATCGGTCAGATGGTCTGCCGGTCAAGACGCCATATTTGCTTTGCAAAGCAAAGATCAATGGCCTCACCGTTGAGGATCCCAGACATTGATGTCTGTTCGCATCATCGTTGCTTTTCTTCCTTGCAGCTGAGTTGTCGTCCACCAGAGACTGCGAGGGCTGTTGCTTGGGGCTGGGAATACGGGACCGTCATATGCACGTCTTTCTACATTAGAGGCGGCGAAGAAGCAATGTCGGATCCGCAGAGAGATCAAGCGGGCGTTCTTCTATGCATAGTGGGGCTGGTTTCCTGATTCCGCAATCGTCAGTGTAATGAAGCAAGATATACCAACTTGACAGAAATTGAATGCGGCAATTGATGCAGATAATTGTCTGCTTTGCCTCAAGTATGTTGCCTCTCTGTGAACTGCCGCAGCTCGCAATGAGCAACTCCGGCAGATCCGTCAGGGAGAAACCCAGGCCTTTTGTGACCGAGAAGCTGAGAGTATGAAATGAGGTTCCGTTTTGGCCGCGTTGACAGGCGTACACCGATGTCTTGAAATATGTTCAGCCATTGGTTAGCTGTTTGACCGGTACTGCATGGATGTAGATTTCCCAGCTCCACGGTCGTGTGACCAATGGGTGCCGTTACCTATCCTCAACCAACTCACTGACAGCCGGACACGTGCCGGGATTTCAGTGCCACATGTCTCAGAACCAGACTTGCCGAAGTCATTTCAAGCTTCGCATACCGGACAGGTCTCGACGGTCAAGGATTATTAGGTTATACTATAACAACGCCGGATTTAACATCCCAACCATTGTATACATGCTTTTCCCAGCCGGGTTCTACTGTGTGAACTCCAATGGACTCCGTGCTTTTCTGACCGTAAACGACGAGGAAACGATAATGAACTTTTGTGGTGCAAGGGGGGTTAAGTGAGATGTTGCGGAAGGAAACTCGGACAAAAGAAGATGTGGTGATTGACTCCACGCAAGAAAAAGCCCAGCCCAGTTTCCTGGGTTCGAAACATGCAAGTCCAAATAATGCAACCATGACGCCTCTTTCTCCCTTTTTGGTGATTCTTCATTAGGCGTCCTAGCAAGAAAATCAAAGACCACAATGTGCAGAATCAGTTGGGGTACTTTCTGAGTGGGAAGAACGCGTCAGGCATCGGCTCCAGGTGCCAGACGCGGTCGGCAGGCTTGTCGAAAGCATCATGCCACTCGCGCTTGAGGGCATCGGGAATAGACCAGCCGAGCTGCTCATTGCGCACGCGCATGCGCACAAGGTGACGCTTCTCATTAGTACCCTGGCCGTTGACAAAGGCCTCGCGGCGGTGGAGGATGGCCAAGTTGTTGATGAAGTGAATATCGCCAGCACGAGTCTGGATCTCCATCTGAGTAGCCTTGGCAATCGCTTCGACAGCGTCAAGAGCCTCAATCTGGCGAGCTGACAAGGATGGAAAGTGTGCCGGTCTGGGATGGGCCGAATTGCCCATCAAAGGGGTGCGGCCAAAGTTGATAATGATCTTTCCGTCATGATGGAAGAGAACCGGACGGCACTGGAACTTGGGACTGAGGTCTGGTCAGGCGACAGCTCGGAAACAACGGAGAACCGGTAGGCAGCTGGGACTGTTTACTTACAGGGCAAAGGGCCAATCGGAACGGGACAAAGTGCGAATGATGTCAGGTCGAGTGGCTGCAAGAACGTTGTAGACGGTGTGAGCAGAGGCAATGATACACTTGCCACCGGCAGCAGCAGTGTTGCGGGTCAACCAGCTGATGACATCGCCGGACTCCTCATTGTGGAAGGTCTAGGATGGCCTTGTCAGTAGTCTGCAAGGAAAGACAATGGTGGTAAAACTTACAATGGCTGAAGTAGAATGGCGATGGTGATCCGCCTTAGCCTGGCTTGTGTTGTCGGCAACGATGTGGACTGTTGTTGTTGATTATAGTTAGCAAAGACTGTCCAAAAGACGAACAACGGCACAATGTCAACGTACCAAGCATATTTCCCTTCTTGTCCTGGCGAGCACGTTGGTTGGCGACATAGCCCTGAACGCCAAGGTACAGGATCGTAAGGTCTTCGACAGAGTGCTGCTGGGGGTCAATGCCGCGGACTACAGCGAAACCCTTGCCTTGATGAATGTCACGGGCAATGCCATCCAAAGTGGCACCAAGGGTCGGCAGAGGGAAGTTGTCCCGGCTGACGAGATCGCCGTCTAGGCCCAGAGCTAAATTGGCACCAAAAGTCAGCCTTCGGACAATGTCAGCATGAGGTGGGCAGGCTTTGGCATACTCTTGAAGTGCTTGAGCGCGGCAGCGAGCTCGTCAAGGTCCGCATTAGTGAGGCTGTAAGTGTACTGCGACTGTTTGGTAAATTGCGGGCCGGTCCAGGCTGATTCGTTGACCACTGTCTCGGGAAAGCCAGTGGGGATGACAGGAACGTCCGCGACTGGGGCGTTGCGGTCGAGGTGATGGATGTGATGGCCAGCGGCTGCTGTGGTAGCACCCACGACCGGACCAACTGCACTAGACGCCATCTTGCTGATGTGAGAACTGAAATCAGACTTGTCAGAAGATGACCATGGGCGAAACATGAGTAAGCAGTGGCAGGGGGCATGTTCGGAACGAACCTGGAAACGTTTGTTTGATATTGACTTTCTGCCGTGCGGCGTGGGATGTAAGGCCAAGAAGCGTGGGCGTGAAGAAAGCGACTTTGAGTCAGGTTGAGGCTCGGAACAAGCTTTGAGAAGAAGGGGACGTAGTGACGGCGGAGCCAATGACTACGAACGTGTGCTTGAAGTTGAAGAGCGTCTGGAAGAGACTGAGTAGGCGTGGCAGAGACTGACTTGTATAAAGGATTGGGAAGAAGAGAAGACGAGACAAAGGCTGGTGCGGAAGACAATGGCGTTGATGGGAGAAGAAACGGTTGAGAGAGAGATGGCGAGGATCTGACATGATCTGGCAGAAGCCTAATATACTTGCTTCACGGGCCAGGAGGAGAGGCAATGGAAGGAGAGGCCAGTCGGTGAAGAAGGATACTTCAGCGGCAAGGCAAGCGCAGCAGGAGCAGAAGCAAGAACGGGCAGGCTCAGGGAATTCGGTGGCAAGGAATAGGAAGGACAGAACGGGTAGGGACGACAGGCGAGATAGCAGGAAGCCGCTCGATGTATGGGTCCCATGGAGTGGTTACCCGAGTTGCGCCTGCCTGCGTAGGGGTTTTTGCAGGAACGGACGGGAGTGAAGATGGGAAGTGAAAGTAAGTTGTTGAAGGGTAAGTAGGTAAGGTATGGTCGTGAAGCAAAGGAGCACCGAAGCTGTACGAACGAATACAGACAGTGCTGGCTTTCCTCTAGGTGGTATCCGGGCCCGGTCGACGGCCACATGCGTGGAGTGGGCTACCTAGGTAGGTGGGCGTGGATATGTGGGCGTGAACGACGAGAAAGAGATATGGGCGTGTGCGTGTGCGCGCGCAAAGAAGCAGCGATATGTTGCTTTACCTTAGTTCGCGGGAAAGCGGCAAGGGCAGGTAGCAGGTGAGCCAGGCCGTTGGGAGGGCCAGCCAGAGACAGGAAATGAGGTGATGGTGTGAGATTGTCATCAAGACATTTTTAAGTCATGGGGAGTTGGTTGTGAGAAGAAGAAGAAACTGCAGACGAGAGCGGAGGACCAGAGGTAGCTGGTAAAGAACGGAAGGGAGGTGCTGATGGAGCCCACCCGACCTCACATCGGGTCCAGAGAGGCATGCGAATGGCAACTGAGAGTGAATTGGCGAAAAAAATAAAATAAAGTAAAACATCCAGAGGTAGGTAGTCTCTACCCTGGGAACTAACGCAGGCAAGGAACAAATTGAACGGCAGGATGGGCCAAGACAAGGCCTGCGCGGCGAGGTAAATGAAAGGAACTAAGGTATCTTACCTTACCTACCTTGAGACAACACTTGGGGAATACCTACTTTACCTCAAGGTGTACGAAGTAGACGGCAATACGAAAAGGTGAGCTCCGACCTGAGGTAAGGTAGCATGGCAAGAACAGAACTTGAAGGGAGATGCAGATGCAGGGTGCCAAAGTGCACCACAATCCACGGCCATGTAGCAAGATTTGGACGGGAGGGTACATGCCGAGATTCCCTTGCCTGCCTACCTGAAGGTACCTTACCTTACGTTGCCTTGCCTTGCCTTGCGATAATTGATCATTCCTTCCCAAACATGAAATGAAAGATTGGTGCGTAAAGTAACCCAAGGTCAAATATCTGTAAGGTGAACAAGGAAGGTAAGGTAGGTAAGGTACCTTAAGGTAGGTAAGGAAAGAAAAGGATCTGTAGACAGGTTCGGATACCTCGTTGCACGGAATGTCATGGGGGGTGCAGTTGGAAGGAGGGATGGGAGAATTGAAAAAGACGGAAAGATGGACGGGCATTTGCACTTGCTTGACCTCGATTTCAAAGGTACGTCTCCTCCCTGCCTTACATCACATGGGTAGGGCCTTCCACCACACGCCCACGCAATACTTCAATCAATACTTGCCATGCTCACTCTTTCCCTCTCTACCCAGTTTCCTTTGCATTTTTTTTCCTTCCTGGTGTTCTTTTTCTCATTGCTCTCCCAGGCATGGAGGCTTTTGCGAGTGCAAGTATCAATAAGTGGCCAGCCTGTCAGGTGGACTTGCGCAACGCCGGGGGGGTGGGAAAGTGCACCATACTCTTGCAGGTACCCGGCGAGAAAGAAGCAATATGCGAGGAAAAGAAGATCTGGGCTGGTCCGGGCTGAGCTAGGCCGTGATTGCGATGGCCAGCCCCAACCTGACGTGGAGGGGAACAAAACACAATCGAAGAAGTGAAGGGGAAGATTGAGAAAGAGAAAAAAAAAAAAAACAGGATGCACTGTGCACCCCATCTTAGGCCGGTTGTGCCTCATCTCTCCTTGACCTGGCGACCCTCTGGCTTCCTGGATACCCACGCCGGGCATATCTTCTGCTCAAGGCACGAGACATGGATGATGGTGCCGAAAAAGAGGAAAAAGGACGAGAGCTGATAGAGCGATAGAAGATGCGTTCTGTATGACCAGTGGGGTTCGAATGGAACCGGAAGAACAATGTAGAAGAGAGGAGCCGATGCAGTAGTGGTGGACCAGGGAAAGAAAAGATTGAGTACGTACGGGCTCCGTAGAGCAAGGTAGTGTCCTCAGGGACTGGAAGGGGGGTTGCAATGGCTCTGATTGTCTCTCGAATGCGCTCCTTGGTGGGTAGCAAGTTGTGGCAAGCTGCGAGGGATGAGAACGACAAACGCAGCAACCCGATGCAATGGAGGGACACGCACATTACATTAGCACTTTGGATGCAATATGTAGCCGTCCAGAGAGCGCAAACCAAACAGCGCGGAGCTAGAATATGGGGGGAAGGGCAGGAAGCCAGCGGCTCTACAAGGGAGCCACTGATACGTGCTATGTGCCCATTGTAGGTGTTACGTACGTAACCGTGCATTGCTTGTGCTAAGAACAGTAAACTAGCAATTTGATCGCCCGCGATGCACACTGTGGGGAGGGGCGTTAAAAAAATACTGCAAAATAAACATCAGGTCGGGTTGTGGTGCGACAGACCAGCCAGCTTTTCGTAGCACGCAGGGCGCGATTTGGTTCTGCTAAAGTTGCGAAGGTGACGGAGCTTTGACGGACTCAAAGACACATCATGTGCAATGTGTTGTCGGATGTATCGTTATTGGCAACGATGCCACAGTCGTACGCTTCCGTGCAGATTGTGAGTTACCATGATGGATAAGAGGAGGCAAGCCGCACGGCACGGGCACCAGATTGCAGCAGCAGGGTACGCGTGGTGAGGTCGACATTGGACGAACATGGACCACCAAAGCTACCTCGCTCGGCGTCGGGAAGGCACTTCAGCAATCCAGTGCGGTGGGGAATGGGTGTGCGATCAGAGACATGATCGATCCCACCTCGGTAGGCAGTGGGAAAAACACGTTTTGTGGCGAGCGCCTCCGCTGCTTGTTGAAACATCCGCAGACGAGGAAGACGCAGTTGCGACGGGGCTGAGTGCACGATCAATTGGAAGCTCTCACGGCCATCGTGTAGCACGGCATATTCGAATCCTCGGGACGATGACGGTTGGGTGGGTGATCGGGAGCACTAAGCTACGGCACAGAGCCTTGCTTGGTGTTGTCGCCCGTCTCCGCGCCCTGAACCGGGCCGTCAAGTCGAGTTGTGCGCTCCGGGGGCGATGGTAGGTGGTGTCCGATTCGATTCGTGTGCTCGTGTTGCCCCGATGAGCGACCCACGGTCCTAGACCAATTGATAGGGTCAATGTTTGAGGACCTGGTCACCCGATGCTCAGGTTTTCCTTTGCTCTGCGAGATTGATGAAGCGCCCCAACAAACCAATCGGCGCTGCTGCTAGCCGTTTTGCTCGTCCCACCTCGTTCGATCTCAAGGAACTGTAAGAAACGACGGCCATCTTGAGAGCAGACGGCGTATCGCAGGAGAGGTGCTAAGGTGCACGCCGGTAGGGTCTGAGTCGAGAATGCGAAAGGGGAAGGGAAAAAAAAAAAGCTGGCAACAGAGGCAGTCCGGAAGATGAGTCTGAAAGAGAGGGAGAGGGAGTTGGTGTGCTCATAAGCCACGCAAGGCAGTCGCAGGACTCTGGCTGACTGACTGGCACATCGGGCTTTACCAATAGGTAGACCGTGAGAGCGAAATGGAGCATGTGTGTCTAAGCTATCCATGTTTCAACGTGGAGTCGGTGGCATGGGCAATGTAGCTGGTGTCCAGCAGCAAAAGCAACGAAGAAAATGTTCGGAATTAGCATCCACTGTGCTGTACAAAGCCGGGCAGAGATGGAAGGCAGGTGCCCTGGGGTCAGGTAGGTTTAGGTACGTACCTATAACTGAAGTGCAGATGCGACGATGCGTCTGTGGGCACTAGGCGAGGCGTTTGTCCCACAGATGCACGCAACTGGAGACATGCAGACAACGAGCATGTAATGCGAAAAGGAAAGAAAAGAAATATTCTCAAACAAACACAGCCGAGGGGAAGCGGACGGTGGAGGGCTCTCAAGTGAAAAGACATGCCTGAAAAACTCGAAGTACGGAGTTGGCGGGACGGAAGGAAAAGGCACCAAGCATATATCAATATGGTACCTACCTTACCTTGCGTGCTTAGGTGAGGTACCTTACCTTACTGACGTTGTTATCTTTCTCACTGAGGGATCTGGAAGCCTTCGCGATGGCGAATCGTTGATAAGGTAAGAGTAAGGTACTCGGTAAGGCAGGAAGGAACAGGCCCAGCACGAGGAGGGGAAAGAGATGGTCGTCTGCAATATTGGGACTTTGCTGGATGCGCTTGCATCTACACCCATGTAAAATAAGGTAAGCAGCTAGCCGGGCGGTAGGCGAACGGGACAGGAGAGCCGCGACCCCTGACGCCGATGGCTGGGACCACTTACAGTCCGTCCCGGTCGCACCTCCCGTTTTTTTCGATGAGCGAGGGACCCCTGCAATCCTACCCCCAGTCACTTCCACGTCGGGAACCTCGATGTGGAATTTATGGGTCTTTTAGTGGTACGTGCACGGCCCCCCATCCATTTCAGTTGGAAGGAACCTCCAAGGAAAGCAAGGTTGACGGCGGCACGGCGGGGAGGAGGAGGGGAGGACCTTGCCTTAGGTAAGGCATTCCCAACTTCCCGTTGGTTCTCCACACTTTCCCGGTTGAACGTCACCTCACCTCCTGGCCCTGCCCTCCTTCACCATCGTGACTCCTCCGAAACTGCCGGCAAAGGCAACAAGACCCGGCCGTGAAAGATGCGAGAAACCTCGTCATGCGACCTCAAGCGCTGCAAGCTCAGGGTCAATTTTCCGCAACTCGCCGAGTTTCTTCCCCCTACCGCCCAGCCCGATGTTTGTTTCTGTCATCCTTGATAACGCTGGCCGCAGTGCGGAAACGAAGATGCAGCGAACCTCGGGAAGAATCTATTCTTTGTTTTCATTTTTCGTACCGTAATTTCAATTCAGCATGTCGTCTACTTAGAAAGAGAAGGTAAGAGGGGGGTTTTCCAAGGGGTTTCTTCCTTCTTCCTCACGCCCCCTCCCCCATCTCCCTCCGTCAATCAAGGCTTGTTCGAGGCCTGCCTTACCGACGGACAACCTTCTCAGACCTGCACACCCTCAGGATCCGAAATACTCCCTCAAGCCAACAGGGAAATACATCAAGTCCAGACCGGATTTCATCCGAGTTGCTTGCCCGACATGTCTTAGTCGACAACACCACACCACATTCCCCATCTCCCATTTCCCATCCCGCCAGTCACTATCCTCCATCCCGCTGATCCATCATTCAACCTCCCGTCCTCCCCCAGATTGCCACCCGACTTTGAAACATTCCGATGCCCCATCGACAGCACGAAAATGTCAGTTGGGCCTGGCGCGCGCGTATACACACAAATATTCTCTGGATGTGATGTGTCTTTTTCATCTTGTCTTGGATTTTTTTTTTAACTTTTTTGACAGCACTGGACCGGCCCGCGAACCAGAGATGCATATGAAATCTGATGAAAAGCGGAGTCTGCATTGGGCCGGTGAAGGATTTCTACGAATAGAACTGCGCCAACTCCACACCATCCGACCGGACACACGTCTGCAAGGACACCTGCAGGACCCTGTCCAACGGTGCGGATCGGCACAGCTCGAGCCATTCTCGACCGAAACGATGTGTTCGAGCTTTTCATATCAGAACGCAGTGAAAGATCATGTGCGCGCATCCCCTGGTTGAACCATTGGCGAGATGTGGGGGTCGACATGGAACCTCGTAGTCTCCAAAGGCAAAATCCTGAACTCGATAAGCTCCAGGTCTTTCATTCCTCGACTTCAACCATCTTTTGTCTCTGACGCCCCATCGCGAACTCTTAGAGGTTCCGACCTATATGCCGTGGTGTAACATGGCACAAAATACACGGACATCCGGCATTCGCCACAGTCAATCATGGGACATGCACAATGTCGGCACGGCGATGCGCTGAACGGAACCATCCGACGAGTACAAACACACAAAGTTACTATGGACAACAACAGAAACAACAAGCCTCGGCTCATGATCATGTTTTGCCACCCGTCGTCATCGTCGTCAACTTCGTTGAGACCTTCCCGTCTCACTTCTCTTCCCCTGCCCACACGCAAACCTGTCATGATATCTCTCCTTGAGAGTAACAGTAGAGCCAGTGAGATGAAAGGAAAGAAAAAAGATGGGAAAGAGCCACCGGTATGCATTCTCCCTCCATTGCCGTCGCCATCGCTCCGTAGAATGAACAGACAGACCGAGGTGGACCTCTTCGATTCAAGAGTCCCGGTCGAACGAGAAGAATAAGTAAGTATCAAACGGCCTGCTCGCGAATGATAGAAAAGAAAAACAAATTTGAAGAAGATGAAAGCATGAAATGAACACCGCCTTCAATGCCAAACCTTTAAAAGCCAATGACTTGTCTTTTGGGCCCTCCCGCTTTGCGCCTCTGCACGTCGCTTTAGTGTGTGCACCCCTCCCCTGTCCCAGTAAAAAACAACCTGGAAGATCCAAACGGAAAGTATCGCCCTCCCCCTCATCTCCTAGCCTCCATCCCTCTCTCCACCTGCCCACCTCGATTAATATGCCCACGTTTGGGGCTGCCAGTCTCGCTGGAAGAGCTGGCTGACGAAGAAGTATGGCTGCTCGTACTGGTTGGCTCGTTGAACCTCTTCCCATTCGCGTTCTAGTCTCAATCGCGTCAGTCATCACTCCCAGCTTGTTGGTTGGCCTGTCACACTGTCGATCCAAGGGATGCGCATCTCTCTAGCACAGAACAGTCACACAGACACACACACACACACACCACCCCCCAAATACTCCCGTATCGGTCACAAGGGGGGGCTTGGTTTAGGAAACAAGGGCTGCCACTGACTGTTTTGCATTGCCATTGCGCGCGTGTAGTGGATAAACTGCACCGCATCGTCGTCCAGCTGGGCCAGCGTCCGCAAGTCCTGGTCTCTGCAATCCTCGGAAAATGGGTAGATTCCCTTGTTGCAGTAGTGGAAGTACGCCAGGAGAATCGTTCCTCCTGTTCGTCAGGCTTTCGTCAGCATGTCTTACTCAACAAAAAGCCAAACAGATTGGGCCACCGCTGAACATAAAGCAAGCGCCCCAGCCAGCTATTGTCCACTTACCCATATGATACTCCTGGACATCTGTCTGCCTTGCGAATTTTGTCTGCCAGTGTAAAAATTATTTGTTAGCAAACTCATGGTCAAGCAACTCGTGGCTGCTCCCTCATTGAGCTGAAGAGCCTGCTGATCTCCCCATCACAACTCACCTTCATACCATGCTTCCTGGCGTATGAAGCATCGTGATCCGTCACAAGGGCGATGTTGTGCAGCAACATAAACGTAACCAGGTAGGTGGTCAACCAAGTCTTCTGCTTATTCTGCAGCGTCATCTTTTGGAGCTTTTCCAGCATTTCTCGTCGAAGTCTCGTCTGTATATGCTGGATGAGGACCAAATCCAATTGAGCTCCCATCACCGGCGGAAGGGGGATGCGTCCGTGCTGCGGGCTGCTGCTATCCAGAATATCGCGAGTCATTCCGAGCGTGTCGTCTCCAACAATTTCTATTGACTTCGTCGTCAAGCGGACCGCCATCCACAGTTCCAGCGTCTGAAGCAGAAGCTCCTTCTCATCTTGAGCCGTTGAAGGATCCTGCGAGAGTTTCCAAGCTTTGAGGTAGGTCTCGAAGAGTAGTCGATCCCTGACACCCATCACACTCTCCACGACCGAGTTAAAGCATTCAACGACGCCTCTCTTGATATAATCTTCATACGCCGTCTGCGCGTCGTCCAGGTTCGTGATGGCGTATGTGGGAATCGCCACAGACTTCTTTTCCCCTTCTTCGGTAACCCAAGTCCGTTCCAGCTTGTCGCCCGGTTGTGGGACGAATTCTCGAACAGAGAGCTGAACCCACATACTGCTGGGTGTGTAGCCCTCCCACAAGCGTACAATCCTCACTTCATTCGACGCCCAGTTATTGATGTTGTCTACAATGCCGTTGTTGAAACGCTGGGTCCATTCGAAACCAGGTGCTTGGCCCTTTTTGAAGAAATGGCATTCCGTGATTTTGTGGCGTACACAGGGCTGGCGGATAAGTTGCTTGTGATGATTGTTGTTCGATCTTGGCTTGCAGCCTAGACACGGCCCTTTCGGATCATCTGGGTCAGTCTTGCACTGATATCGTTTGTCAGCAGTCGAATCAATCACTCTGAACTTCTGTGATGCTTACTCTCACTCGCTGCATCTTGCATCGAATGCAGGATCCGTTCTTCCTTGTTGCTGCTGTCTCCTCCCGAGCCTTTTGGTCCTTGAAAGGGCCACGCTTTGCGGCTGGTGGGCGCTGGTTAGGGAAAACAACATCAAGGCTAGCGTTGGCGTGAGTGTTGGCAATAGAACCGTCCATGTCCTCAGTCTTAACACAGGACATGGGGTATGTTGAGTCCATAGCAAATCTGGCAGTCGTAACAGGCACAGGTGTGGGGGTATGTAACGCTGGAGATATGACCATGTCCATCATATTGCCGCCGTATGTAGGCGGCAGAGTCTCCCTCGGAGTCAGACGACGATCAAGGGTGTTTGCGTTCGAGTAACTGGGTTCACCACCAACATGACCACTGGGTATTGTGGAATAGAAGGACGGTGCCGATACCTCAGTCACGTAGACATCAGTGTCAGGCCCGGAGTGTTGGGACACCAATGTCTGATTAGGGTCCTCATGTACAGGTTGATAGCTGGACACGTAGGAGTCCAGCAAATTGTTACCTCCGGCCGGGAATGAATTCTGGGTGTTAGACACAACTGGAGTTGGGACGTAGACGTCTGATTGAGAAACTTGCGCTGAAGGGGGTTTCTCAACCTCATAGGGCCTGTTACTGTTGGTTCCGTAGTCATAAGTAGCAACCTCTGACCCAGGAAGGGGCTGATAACCTGGTGATTGGATCAGCAAGGGCTGAACGATTGTTTGATACGCCGCAATACATACCATCGTTGGTAACAGCACAGGTGCTCCAACAGTTTTGGCAGAACGCCAAAGCCAGCGTCTGCATCCCCTGTGTCAGTCCATTGACGACAGGACCTGGAAACCCTGAAGAACGATTTAGTTCGACGTTGGCAAGGGCATGCTGCCCAATGTGAGGAGCCTTCTCTTCATAGTCCTCAGGAAGAGAGCCTCCTGCGTACTGAGAAGACATGGAGTAGCCTGATGCAAGCCGTTGTCTCTTGTGAGCGTTTTCTATTTGTGAGGTGTTGGAAAGGATTTGGTGAAGTCGGAAACCAGGAATGTTGTACAAGTCCGCGACTTGGTTAATCAGGATTTGGGTCTCGGGGTGAAGGGTAGAGAAGTGTATATTGGCATATGGAGAAGGCGAAGAGCTGTGATGTCCCGGCACTATAGAAGAGTCGTCTTCGGGGCCGGGGACCCGGCGCTTTCTGAGATGATTGTGATTCTAAGATGAAATCAACCAACCGCACGTTCAAAGTGCAATAGGGCAGAGGAAGGGATGGAATCGCCAGAGCAAACGGGAACAGCCAGGGCTAACAAAGATATAAGGGAACGATGTGTGTGCAATGATGCGGGTGCTGGGACAGCGGCTGGGCTCAAACGACATTGGGGAAGATCGGTGATATATCCCATGCACGCTGCCGCCAGCCGGGAAGCAGGGACATCTCTTACCATGATTGATGCAACGAGAGAGGGTGTGTTGGACAGAGCCTAGTAGCGAGACCAAGTACCACAATCTGTGACCTGTATAAGGTATACGGCAGAGACAAGCAGCAAGCAGTAGGAGTGAGCAGGCACAGCGAAGCACAAGGGGAGCGTAGAAAATTGCGCCTCACCGGGAGGGGGTGGGGGAGGGAGTTACGGTCTCACGAGAGCCATTGCCACATAATGGCACCCCTTGTGCGCGAGTGGAGTACAGGAAAGAGGGTATGGTAGGGGAAAGGAAAGGAGGGTTGATGACTCGGCCAGGAACAAAAGGCGGAGGAAGAACTGCTCGGCGTAGGATACAGAGGAGTGGAAACGGAGGTAGGGAGTCAGGCTAGAATGCCGTTGTGAAGAGAGACAGACAGGCCTGCTTGACAGCATACACTCGGCCGAAACTGGGGGGGATGAACCAAAGGAAAAGACGGCAAGTCTTGCTGCTGCGTGCGTGTGCGTGCTTGGAGGTATGCGTATGCCGCTCTGCTCTTTTTTTTTTCCCTTTCCCTCACTCTTTTTTTCTCTGAGGGGGGTACTCCTGCTGCCGCTGTCTCTCTCAGTCGGTTTCTGCAGCCGTTGCTCCTCGGCCTTGACGGATGTCGCAGATGCTGCTGGCCGTGGCCTGAGCCTAGTCGCCTGGATGTTTCGCCCGTACGGCGCAAATTCGAGACGCTGTCGTTCTCGTTGTTTGCTTTGTGCGATGTCTCCTTCGGTGGAGCACAGCGTTGCGCGCGCTGGCAGGCTAGAACCAGAGAGCGTGCCGATAGAGACTCTGGTACTGGCGATTGGCGTATCCTGTGCTGGTCGGTCGGTCGGTCAGTTCGAAGGAGTCGAGGCTGAAGTGAGAAGACTCGGTGAGAGGAAAGTTGAGGAAGTGGGCTGCACCCGTGCTGAATTGTATTTCACCGGTCTGAGGGGTACTCATGAGAGGACAGGGGTTCTTGAGACCACGCCACGCGAGAAGAGGAGCCGAGCATCTTCCCGCCCCTGCCGAGTGGATGGATTTCAGGCTGCCCGTCTGATGGGAATAAGGCGACAGGGGTGGTGGAAAGAACACCATGGAACCGACTGTTGTGAGCGCTGCTGATCCTGCTTCTGGCCTTCACTTCCGCCTTTTTTTGTGTAACCAACAGGTGCCGTTTGCTTCGTCTGCATGGAAGGGCCAAACGCTAGGCCAATCAAGGGTCGAGACACTTCTGATGCTGGATCTGCTGATGCTTCGGATTGTTGCTCACGGCGAAGGTTGTTACGATTGCTAGCCAACGATTGCAAAGGCCGCCACAACTTCACACATTGGTGATCGGTCGGTCTCGGGAGGCGGATGGATGCCCAAGGCTGTCCTGTCTCCTGTCTGGCCAAGAGATGTGGATTCGGATGCGTGTGCTTACGTGAAGCGCCATGAAAGATCCCATGCGGGCGACGACGTGATCTAGGACTGGGAGTCATCATATTTCCATCGCCCGGCTAGCAACGTGCGCCATGTTACCAAAAGGCCGAGGCAACCAACCACCACGCGTGCGGCCGCAACCCCCCCAGATTTGGCTCCCTAATCGCCTCTTTTGCCAATATGACCTTTGTGCTTCTCGACGTTCCATTGTCATGCGCTACGGTCCCGAGAGTCTGACACCCTTTGCCTGCTTACCCTCGTTTAGTTAGATCGCTCGAGCAGCCTGCAAGTCTAGGGATGCGTGTGTATGCCTAGGTTGGCTAAGAACAGCCTCGTTGTTTTTCCCTTTGGCAATGCGTATCCAACCCGATCCAGAGATCGTCACCGCTTTTCCGGGAGTGAGAGTGCTTCCAGAAAGTTGATGAACATATGCTAGGCACACTCGACTTGCTTATGGACGGGACAAAAGATGACGAAGAATTCGGTCCACGAGAGGCGCAAGTAAAACATTTCGTGTGAAGAGCTTCGTTCTCGTTCTGGGTCGTCAACAGCCCAGTTGATTCATCTAACAAGATTATTGGTCCGTTTAAAAACCTGTCAGTCGATCGATCAGTCGATTCAGCCTGTAGCTTGCACATGATTGAGTGAAATTAACATCTTCAGCTCTTGACGATGATGTAGCCGCTCTGCCCCAGTAACCGGGTGTACGTCCACCGCCACCAACACCACCACCACGGTCTGGCCTGACTAGGTCTGGCCGTACTGTTGGGCCGTCCCTCGGAGCGCCGGTAAAGGAACCTGCCGGCTGTCAGAAAGTGAAGCATGCAGCAAGTAACGCACTTTGGGCAGCCCCATGTTTGCTCAAAAAGGCCTTGACCGCCTTTAACCACCACGCAGCCCCTGGTCCTGGCGTGTTGCCCGAGAGGCGGATTGTTGTTGGAAAGACGAAATTCCCATAAAATCCGCTCACGACCAGCCAATGTTGGAGACTAATTACCATTACGAAACTGCAAGCATACCCGCAGTCGCAGAAAGTCAACGGCCGCACGGCGTCTTGGCCGCGAAAAGACGATCCCCCCAGCAGCAGTAGGTCAAAAGGGTGCATTGCGTGCGGGCCCTGCGAATTGGTGTCCCGGCTGAGAGCAAACTTTTGACATTCATCTCGAGAAAATATGTCGGTCAACAAATTCGGCCATTTCACAGGTAAAAGCGCCTGTCGAAAGCAAAGCTCTGCATGCGCGGGCGTCACCAATGATGGCAGCCTCTGTCGATGCAGCTGATGAGGTCAGGGAACCATCCGCTAACGGTCTCGTATCAAATCAGCGTCTGACGTTCCTCTGCAGGCCGCCGTACCAGTCGAGTGAGGCGAAGTGAAGTAAGAGCGTTGCGAGATGGCCACACAGAGCGGATGTGTAAAAGTTGGATCCCTGAACCAGGCCTCGGTGATTGTGAGATGCACAAAATCGGCCTGCCAACAGTGAACACGGTTGCAATTTGCTGCTCCAGAGCAGGCATTAACGACGAGGAACACCAAGTTCTGGTGGGACGCAGGAGACCGTGGAGAGTTTAAGCTCGAATGGGCAACCGGTGAGTCGGGAGCCTCGCTTGTGGATGGTCGCTCGACAGACCAGAGACTCGACCCGTGGAAGTGTGTGGATTCACCCCGGCAAGGCCAGACGATACCTAGCCAAGTGAGATTATGTGCCGTGACGTGCCCCCAAACCCAGCGCTATTTCGTACCGCCCATTTCCGTCGGAGGTTGCCAGCCATTGGCCTGTCTCGTGCTATGTTTCGATGCTCAACATTGTATCCATACTTTGGTCGGGTACCACAGTATCGATTCTCCAAACTGCAGCCAGAGCGGTGATGATTCGTGAACAGGGTGTGTTGGCCGCTTACAGACTATGCTGCACATAATTAGTCCGGCGACGATTTGCGGATTGACGAATGATTACTGCCGGACTAAAGAAATTTTTGCTGGAATCTTTTTTACCGAGATCTAATTAGATTGCCTCGCAGGCTAAATAGAGCACTGCAATGGCCACAAAGTTCCAACGGATCGCAGAACTAATCGGGGCGGCGCTAAACAATGCGTAAGACCGGAAGAAGAGCATAATGATCCATTTCTCTGCCGATTCTTGAGATCTGCTGAGCACTCGGCATTGAACAAGACTGGTTGCAATGCGCTAGCATGCGATCGTGTCCGAACGGGCGGGGAGAGTTTTCGGGTAGGCGGACATGGGGCCTACAGATTGTACACTATTAGTGAATTCTGCGCGGACTTCTTTTTTGGTTGAGTCGGTTCAAAACTAAGGTACCTTAGCTATCGGGTCCTTTTCAGCATCCCATAATAGTATATGAAGCGGCTGCGCATGCATGCTCCGGTGATTGCGGAAGATGTCCCGTTGCTCTAGTCCCCGGCGGAACAAGGACAACCTTGCACATCGGTCAAGTCCAGGGGCCGAGCTGGTGGACGGGAGAGTCGGGTACCAGCATCGGCCCATGGAGTGGATGTATCCACCCGGTGAGGATGAACATCGGAAACTGCAACGTATGCCAACCGCAGATTTGTGCAGAGGAGCAGCAAAGCAGAGGCTGACTATGTTGGTCTTGGTCTAAAGATTCGTGGCGTTCAGTCATTTGCTTGAGGACGGTTGGCAAGGAAATACCTCAGTGCAGTGTACTGCGGAACGACGAGCCTTGTCGGACCCCCAGCGAAGAGCGGCTTCTGGCCGAGATGCAGCTCGGCGACCACAGCGTCGTCGAAAGTGCCCCAGGCCATCGTCCACTACTCCGTAGACCAGTCCTAAATAAATTGTTGAGGGGTCTACTCCGTACAATGGATGACGTTTGCAAGGTCGGTCGAGACAATTCGACCTTGTCCTCATTGATTTTGGCTGAAGTTCCCGGGGTTGAACGTAGTGGTGGGCCGGAGGGTACTCCGGAGGTTATGACACAGTCGCATCGAGCATCGGCGGCAATGCAACCCACTTCGCGGTCAAGGTGACCCCCAAGTACGTGGATGGGACTGCCGGCGCGGGCCAGGTGGTCCAGAAGCTACCCCTCGCAGAGATGCGAGCCAACGACGGTGGGAGAAGCAGACGAGTGGTGTGGCGGATTGGCAGCATGCAGCGAGAAAAGAGCACCTAGGGACGCAAGAATCGACAGTTGGAAGTGTTGAGGTTTGCCGTGACTGGGTGATGTGAGATGCGGGAGGCTGCTACCGATACAAAGGCGAGGAATGGAAGGGAGCTTCGTCTCCGCTCTCAAGTACGGCGCCGGTTTCGTCACGTGGAGTGCAGCCCGGGTCGGGTGGTCCGAATGCAAAGTCAAAGCTTCATGTGCCGGGCGACACGTCCATGGTTGAGGTTCTTCATCCGACCGGCCGAGAAGTACGGAGTGTTCGGTGTGTGCTCAGGCCTTTTCTAACGTCGAAGCCGGGAGGCCGGTGTTGAGATATGGCTGAATGAATCAACGACTTATTTCAGAGAAGATAACGAGAGTACACCTTTAGTTACCTGAGGTTTTTTGAGGAAAATGGCACAGGTGCTTGCGCTTACAGTGCCACTTGCACCTGGAGGGATGTTGAGATGCCAAGTCGCGACACTTTCGGACAAAGGAGTCGTATTTGCCTGAGGTAGCCCAGTAGGTCAAGTAAATACCTAGGTAAGGTAGACACCTTGAAACCTCAAAGTGTCTTTTCTACTTACCTACCTTAAGGTAAGGTACCTTACCTTCCATCATGGAAGGTAAGAGGCGGTACCAACCTTCCAGGTTATGCTGCAGGAGGGAGGCAGGCAAGCAGGCGCTAGTGCGCCATCACCACTTTGAGCAAGTGGCAGGAGAGCAAGAATACCTAGGTAACCACCTCAAGTGAGGTAAGGTAGGTAGGTAAGGTACTTCCTCCCTCATGTCACTTGGATTCCACGCAAGATGCAAGCACGTTTCTGAGCCGTGGAAGTAGTGGAGGCAAGGACCGTCCCGTCCCTTCCTACCTTACCTCAAGACAGGTACTTACCGTGCCTCGCCTCACCTCACCTCACCTAGGTACCTAACTTCATTTGTGGCCTAACCACCTTGGCCTCCTTGCCTTCACTCGGGTGCCTTAGCTTCCATTCAATTGGGTTGTGTGCTTCCTCCGTATTGGCTAACCATACCTAACGAACAAAGACCTCCATAAGGCGACAGCATTATCAACTTTATTTGGACTGAACAAGTCTCAAGCAGCCAGAGCAACGACCCCGCAAGCATTCTGCAGTTGTTGATATATGACCAAGTTGCGTCTTTCCGTCTGCTCAAACGACTAACAGACTGAGAAGCACGATCAGGTACTTTATCCTCGACGCACCTACCTCCGGATCTCTCGCCTGTTTTATCCGTACATTCAAGGTACCTCATGTAAGTACGAAGCGAGATGCCTGCACTTTCCACTTTCGCTAGACGAGCAGACAGCACGTTTAACAATACTTGGGTATGATACTTGTTCTTGAGATCTGCACCGAGGCAAGTTGCATCAATGATTACCTAGGCCCTGCCGCCCTTTGCTTATTTCCTGCATTCTGCAAGCTTCCCGTTCTGATCATGTTTCCGCTGACTCCGGAGACTCTTGCGGCTGCCAGCTTCCGACCTTCAGCTCAGCATATAGCCGTTCCCATCACCTTGTCGCTTACTCTAAAGCTGGTTAACTCGGTCTGTGTTGTATGAATTGGATGCCCCTTCTCTACTCCCTTACGATCTGTCCAGCCATGCAGTCAAGCCAATCCCGCATCCATATGTACCCCCGACGGGAGCAAAAGCCTTCCCCACGAACGCGACCGAGACAACGCCGATCCAAGCTGCGGCACGATGCCTCAATGTCTTACAAAAACGGCTGGCCGCGGCTAGACGTCGATGCAAGTAGCGACTCAGGAAAAGAAACAATAGCGTTGAGAAAGGCTGCCGGGCCGAGGCCATATAGAAGAGAAAAAGAAACCACGGAGCGGCCTCTGGCCCCCCGATTTCCGTTGCCTGCCTTGCCAGCGTGTCTGCCTGCCCAGCTGAGCACCTTGCCACATATCAAAGGAGATAAATCCGCGGCACCTTCCAAGCTCACACACGCACGCATGCCTTACCGTCTGCTTGTTCGCCTTACACTACCTAAACTGGCGCCTCTTGCCTCTGTCAAAAGTTCACACCTACGCAAGGCAGACAAGGCAGGAAGCTGCAACGGCGTTGGCCAAGCAGATCGACGGGAGTCCAACTAGTGCGGCTCGCGGACATGGAAGCTGCCTAGGGTGGGAACTGTCACTTCTCAGTGGGCAAAAACCCAAGTTGCAGATTTGCGAGGTGACATCGCCATTCACATCCACCCCCTTCTACAGCCAGCATCGTATGGTTGGCATCTTCCTCGCACTTGTGCTCGACTCGTTTTCTGCCAATTCGCCCCGAGTCAACCAACACAGCTCTTCTCCTCATCTTGACCGTTCATCTTTCCTCTCGACCAATCAGGCGCCCTGCTTGAGGACCTGGCACATCTCCCCTTCCAACTGCAGCTACGCATGCAGGGCAACACACAAACACACAAATCGGAACCCAGCATTGTCATGCAAATTCCCCACGCCCATACCCTCGCCCACGCTCACGATCACTTCCTGGATCACTAGAACTCATCAGTCCATGCGTACCTTGTCACCGGTATCGCTAAATTTCATGATTCGGCCTATTGCCTGGTGCAACGTCGTGCCGCCCCGCCATCGGTCAACATCTTGTTTGTCAGTCACCGCAGTAGTGGCGGCACATCTGTAGGTAGAATCGACAACATGCCTCGATAGTCTTCCTTCCTGCTGATTTTCTGCAGTGATATACGACTCAGGAAAGATCCGAAAATTCGTCCATCTGTCATTTGACAGTTTCGTCCCCCCTCCAAAGCGCCACTTGTCGCCTTCTTCTGCGCTGTCTTCCATCAACTTCCTTGATGCCGTGAAACACCTTCGCTATATGACGTTGAGCGCCATTGGCTATTCTGATTTCAACATTGCCCAAGCCTGTCAACTATCGTCACAAGATGGATCTGGGGTCGGACATTATACGCGACATTATCCACCCCACAGCAGCCTTCACGGACGTCTCTCTGTCAGACGTCGAGCACCATGATAGTAACATCCCACATCGACTTCCATCGGCCGATGACTGGGAGCACTCCCAGCTGAATCCCAAAAACCGTATTGACAGCCTCGACCCCCTGCCAAATCCTCTGTGGCGCATCGATGGCTGTACAGGACTCGGGACCCAATTCTACGTCCTTCCTACGTTTCTCTTTCCAACACCGCCGCTGCGTCTCGATGCCTTTGTGCCAGAGCAGTCAACTCAAACGCCCGAAATCCGGCAATTATTGGATTTGGATGTGGCGTTTCATACCAAAGATCGCGCCCGAGTTCAAAAGCTGAACATATCCAAGCACATTATTCGTGCTTTACAAGTCTGGACAAAACGACTGCCTGACCCAGAGGGGCTCTTACGATCTGTGCCATTTGGCTCCCGCATCGTCTTCAAAGATATTTCTCTCGATGTCAGAGCCATAGAGATCAACATCGCACCCACGTACTACCTCGAACGTCAACTTCTCTCGGCATCCGCCCTCGCTGAGATGTGGGGACCCGAAGTCCAGATACCGCAATGTATAGACTTGTCCGAGGTTCATGTTGTCGAACAGATCCACGACAGTGTCTGCCTTGTTCAAATCAAAGGACGCCTCTGGATTTTGAAGACACTGACAAGTTACACCAAGTACTTGTACCATGAGCTTAAGCTTCTATTGTCAACAATACCACACCAGAACATCATGTCACGTCCCGCACACCTCGTCACAAAGCGTTGCACTTTTGGTAGCAAAGTTGCTGTCATCGGCTTCACTCTCGAGTATCATCATTATGGTACTTTACGAGACATTGTGCCTCTTTCACGAATCCACAACACGATTTCTCAAACAGAACAATTCAAATGGTCAATCCAGATTACGTCGGGTGTACTGCACCACCGCAGAACCTCTGGTACATTCTACCCTGACCTCCGCCTCGACAACATCGTCCTATCAAAGAACAGAGATGCAGTCATGGTCGATTTTGAACAGCGCGGGGTGTGGTGCGAATTTGCGTCCCCAGAGATCAATGCTGTCGAATACATCCGCATATTAGCTACCGATGACGAAATACCCGAGAATACCAGAGATCACTATGCCGACATATTGAGGCGCTTGTGTCCTGATTTCGAGTCTCTGCAAGCAAGAGAGGAGTATACAAATCCGCCCAACGGCTACAATATCTGCTGGGCATGTCTCAGCCCGAGGGAGCAGGAGGCATCGGAGGTGTACATGCTCGGGAGAGTATTATGGTGCATCTTTGAGGGAGCTAGCGCACCTCAGCAAGCTGCTGTGTGGCAGTCCTATCGCTGGGAGACCGACGTCGACTTTCCTGCCTTTCTCAGGACGCCACCGATACTACGCTCGCTCATCGACCGTTGCACAAGTGGCCGTCGTGCCACCTTGGGTAACCAGATCGGTAGAGAGGGCAACAAAATTGTTTTCAAAGGTCAGGAGAACAAGACTGAGCCCAAAGACATCCGACAAGCTGCTGCGACGTGGTGGAAACGTGAGATAGCGTGGGCCGAGAGTTTCCTGGCCATGAGAGACCACTCAAGATCGAGCGGAGAATGGAGCGAGAACCACTTCGACAGACCTAGCTTACAGAGCGTATTAGATGAGCTAGAGAAGATTCGGGATGAGCTATAAACAGGAACAGACACGGGGCCAAAGATGGCTTTACGAGGGCTGGAACAGAACAGAACAGATGTATTCACTTAGAAATGAACGATTCGGGGATAGACAATGGTATTTATTTTATTGCAAAGCAAGAGAGGAGAGACCTCAGAAGTATGAGACGCCTGGAGCCAGCAACCAATCGACCAAAGTCACTGCCTAGAGACTTGGCGCCTTACATTCTCCAACAATCATGCAATCTAAATGAGAAACAAGATGTGCGGGAGTACAGGTAGTGTCAAGGGGATATACATGAACATGATAAGTATAGATAAACGGAGTAAGTGTCACAGACACAAGAATGAAGAGAAATATGGTAAGAATCCCGTCCTCCCCAAGGTTCAGAGAAACGCTCTGTGCTTCCCTGTCTTTCCTTCTTCTAACAAAAAAGCATGCAGTGTAGGAATATGTCCCGTGGACGTGTGCGTGTACGCCCACGTCACCTCATTCTCTTGGATCCCCGATCATGGCTCTGACTATGCCCGTGGCGTTTCGACCCCGCCCCGGACGAACTTGTGATGGCTAAGCCGCTGCCGCCAGACCTCCTCAATCGAGCAATGAGGGAGCGGAATTTCTCGACGTAGGTAGCCGGCGCACCGTTTACGCCCAGCTGGTCCAGGATGTCTTCGAGGCTGTGGAGGAATGGCGCGGCGGCGTCGGGCGGGAGGAGACTCAGTACCCCGAGGACGAAGTCTTCATCGCGGTCCCCGACGAGGCGGAGGAAGAGGTTCTTGTCCCGGCGAGCGATGGCGGCGGGCCTCGTCGTCGACGTCGAGGAAACGAAGTCGCGGTTCCGTTCTACGACGGCGGCGAGGATGTGTACTAGGGTGCGGGCGGCGCTTGTTCGCTCCTGGGGTTCTAGGGGCCGATCGCGCTTGAATATTGAGGTGCGGACGAGGCCTATTACACCGTTGATGTGTCGTGCGGCCCAGGCTACGTCACGAGGACCCTCTGCTGAGCCGCCTTCTGAGGAGGGGGTGGCAGTGGCGTTGGAGTCGAGTTCGCGCAGAACGCGGTCGACGCGCTGGGAGAGCTTGCGAAAAGGGTCGTTGACGGGGTCTGTGGAGCGCATCTGGGAGAGGAAGTAGTGGAAGAAGTCGTTGTTGGCGAGGAGCATGCGGAAAATTGTGCCCTCGAGGTCGCGGCGCTTGACTGGTTTCTTGCCCGTGGAGGGCGGATTTGAGAAGAGGTCTGGGCGATAGTCTTCAGGAGAGGACGAGGACATGACAGCTGAGAGCATCTCGCGTGCTTCATCGACGCGGTGAGGGTTCGGGTGCTGTTGTTGGTTCTCGTCTTCTTCTGCCTCGTCCGAATCGGTGTTTCCAGAGTCCTCTTCCGAGTCTGGGGTGACGACGTCACAGCGTAGGCCGTCAGCCAGGACGTCAAGGTGGAAGGCCGATATGTCTGAAAAGGGGTCGCCAATCTCCTCTGGGTAGCCGTCCGCGGTCATGGTCAGGGGGGACGCCGGGTCGTGATCGTAGAGCGTCTGCTTGACGAGCTGATCCAGGAGCCAGAGGAGGTGCTTGCAGGGCGGGCCGGCCGTTTGCTGCTGTTCCCGGCACGAGCAACGTGGCGTCGCGAAGGGGCTGTCGGGGGATCCTATGCGGATGGAACGGGGCACGAGCTCCGTCATCTGAAAGGCGTAGACGTCGTCCCTAAGGCGGCAGTACTGCAGCGAGAGGCGGGGAGGATCCTTGAAGGCCTCGCGGACGCGCAGACGGGCGTCGTGAGAAAGCGTGTCGAGCTTGTAGACGAGCTTGGAGGGGGAGCGGATGACGGAGTGGTCGTCGTCGTCGACGAGAGACGAGTCCGAATCGGACTCTGGCTCGGAGCTGCTGGAGCCGCCATCGTCGTCTCCGTATCCGCCGCCGTCGTCCTCATCGTCGTAGTAATCTGAGGTGGTGATATCGCTGAGGGACTGCCGGTGCGCCTGGGCTCTGGTTGTGGGAGGCATCCTTCTTCCCAGAGAGAGCTCTCTGAATTTGGCTACGGGGGTGGGAGAGGATGACGAAGACATTTATGTTGTGCGAGGGAGCAGTAAAGTTCTATATGTTTCACAGAGCCTGCTGATGAAGAAGGGGTTTCCATGGTGAATCGGTTCACGGGTTACTTATAGGATCCAAAGGTCAGATGGCAGGGGGGAGTGGGAAGGGGGAAGGGGGGAAAGGGGGGGCGGAGTGAGGCCAACTATGACAAGACCCCCAGAGACCCAATGCTAGTGTTAGTTGGCGAAGCTGGCGATGCTGGATAGGATGTTGGAGCAGGGGGGAAGAAGCGGGAGGAGGCAGATGAAGACATGACCAAGACGAGCCTTGGGAGTACTCGCACACGAGTGGTGGGCGAGCAGGTCCCATGGAGATGGACGATATGACGCAGAGCAGGAGTAGGGGCGCGGTAAAAAGGAGTAAGATCAGAATCGAGGACGACTACTGGCCGGTTCGGGATCCCTCCTTTCCCACCCCTGGTCTTGCGAGAAGTTGATCAGATCACCTTCTAGAAACAATTCCATTTTCTATACTTTTTTTCCTTCCTGCGTCTTCACCCGGCCCCTGATCCTGGGATCGCTGTTACTGCTGGGGAGAAAAGTCAGGCGGGATGAGGTGGAGGGATGTGGGAGGTCGGCTCGCCCTGGCCGAGACCGAAGTCTGGATGCGTGCTGTGAGCTCAGCAACAATGCCGGGAAAGGCTGGATGGGTTTAGAAAAGCTCGGGCAGGGGCGCAAAACTGCGCAAAAGAGTTGGGACAAGGTTTTGGGTCGTGAAACTCCACATCAGGTGGTCGTAGAAGCTTGGGTGGAAAGGAAAGCAATGCAGAGTAAGGTCAGGGCCCAAAGAGAAACATCGGACTACGCAGATCGAAGGTCTTTGCGCCGTCTGCGGCGTACCGGCGGCACGCGCGTGGCATGGGGAGGGGCATTGATCTCTTGTTTTCCCATGTCCAGGGTCCGGGGAAAAAAGCTACGACGCATGAACAATGGGATAACTGACCGAGAAGGTCTCGTCTGGCGTGATTCATAGGACGAAGTACGGCAAAGTGGGGGGGAGGGAAGGAGGGACGACTCAACAAGGCACCGGGGGAAACATAGAATGCGCTGTAACGATGAGATGTTGGAGCAGAGATACGTTGATTTCTCTGCTGTGGTTCGCCAGATTGCGATGATTCGTACTTTGACGATGACGATGGGAAGAAGAGAAGTCGAAGTTGAGAGAGGCAGTATCCTGGCTGCCGGGGTGCTGGGTATGGTACCCTGGCCCGGGTGAAGAGGTTAAAAGTGGGGTCGCGTCTATCGCCCAAAGGCCGAACCGCACGGCCGACCGCCGAAGGGCCGTCGTCCACCGTCGCGGTGCCGTGGGCTCCTGGGCAGCCTTCCATTCCCGCCCAGAAGTTTCCTTCCACCTCCAGCCACGGCTCAAGCCACGAATACGCTGCTGCCATTGGTTCAGGAAGAAGACCAGAATCCGAATGCCCAATAAGAGCCCAGGCATTCTCTGAACTGTCCAGTCACCGCTGCCTCTTGGGGCCTGGGGGCCGCGCAAACGGGCCGCTAGTAACCCCACCGTGGCTACCAAAACGGGAACCACAGCCCCGAACGGGCCGGCCGCTTCTGCGACCGCGCCTATATTCGCGCCCCACTTTCTTCCCTTTTCTGACGTCCATCAGGCTCTGGGTTCCATGAGAAATCCAACTTCACCAAATCACAGCCTTCCTCTGGCCGCATCACCGGCCGCATCCCCCCAACTATCGCGGCCCTCTTTGACCCGGTCCATTTTGCTGTGCAGCGTGCTCCTACGACCGTCATAAACACCTCACAAGGCTTTCTTCGAAGCATAGGTAGGACCGCTGTTCCCTCTGCGGTTCCAAACTCCCGGAAATCGGTTAGAACGCCTTACAAGCCAGAAGGAAGGGGGTCCATGGCCGAGAGGCCTCACGACGGTCCTGGTCTACCCTACCCTAGGTAGGTAGTTGGGTAGTCGGACTTATTCGCTGCAACCTAGAGCCAACCAGACTTGGACGACAGGATCATCACGGTATCTTATTCGTCTTCCTGTACGGCTCCCGATAACCAGCCAATCACTTTGACCGACGATGGCGTGAATAGATTGAGGCCCGTTGGACTTGACATCGGCCTCTGCGGCACCTCCTCAGCCGCAGAAGCCTTTGACGGACTGACCGGCAGTGCTTGACCATAGCCAAGCATCAACGGCTTCCCCATGGGTCCTTAGGCAGACGACAGGGGCAAAAGGGGCTTCGCAGGACCACTGGTAGAGGAATCTAGCGTCGTGATCTATTCATAGTCCGTATAAGTGCTGTCGTGTCACTATGGAGGTTGAGAGTCATCCTTCGGACAGGCGCGATAGCCGCCTACATGAACGTGTCTTTCAAGACTCGACAACCTTTCTGACTTTAGAGGAAAACAGGGCTCTAGATGTGACGTATCTCAGCAAAGAAAGTGTACCAAGTCTAGACCGGGGATGCCTGGGCAAGAGCAGGGCGGTGTACCTTGATGCCACATGACGCCAGGCTGACGATGGTGATCGATGGGTAAGGATGAAACTCGTAGTCACACAGTAATGATTGAACCAGCCTGGGAGGCATACCTAGCGGGAAAGCAGAGAGATTGCAATATGGTTTGTATTCGGGTCACAAAAAGCCGCGCAATCGTCTCTTGGGCGGAAAGTGGTGAGTTCAGGGTTACCGGCACAGGGAGGCCATCTGATATCTAGTGCCGAGCGGAAGATGCCCCCAGCTTCGGTCACGTCGTAGCGCACACTTTGGCCCATCCCTTTCGGATCCACGTGCAGTTTCTGCTCATCAGTCAAGTAAAGCTTCCGCTTGCAGAACTCTGATTCATACCTGATTGATAACGAACCTCACAATGACTCTGACATTTCAAAGTTTGATGCAACTGGCAACATTGATAGCAAATCATAGAGTCATGTTGTCTAATGGCCGAATGAATTGCTTGCAGCGGATGCCATTATTGTTGAATGAGAGGTTCTGAAATTATTGTCTAAACTCTTCTCAACAGCACAGTGCCTCTTCTGAAACGAAAGGGTTTGCTCTCAATCAAGCGACCTCCTATCTTCCAAACACCAATCCTTTCCGAAAGGCGAGTCTTACGAGGCGCAGCCTACTTGCGAGACTTGACTGACCACGTCTTCTCCTCAAACCGGATCACGCGACCTGAAGTGTGACTGGACTCAAACACCTGCCTCCCAAGAACAACATCCATAATGACCCCAATCTGAAGCAAAGCCAAACAACACGTAAGAATGCCACACAGCTGCGTGACCACGGGGCTGTAGTCGGCGTGAACGGCATACACGGTAGGCATAGCCGCCAGAGACCAACCTGCAACGTAACAAAACGGCAGTATCGGCAGCACAAAGACGCTCTTCCACCCGTTGAACCACTCGCGGTACCGGTACGTCATGGCGATGCCCAGGAACACGGCCGAGACGTTGCAGAATGCCCACCAGCAGGGGAATAAACTAAACAGCACGAGGGGTTGGTGGCCGTAGTAGAGGTACAGCCCGCCGTAGCTGAGCAGGCACTCCTCCAGTACGACGTCGAACAGACCCGCGAGGCCGAGAAACACCAGCAGGGTCTTGTTGCTGACCCCGCGCATGAGCGCGCCAAAGATGGAGCACCCGAGCACGGCGCCAAAGGACCACCAGATGATGCCGACGTACACGTCGAACTCGCGGCCGAGAAAGGTGAACATGAGCTGGGACGGGTCGTGGGACTGCGACCAGTAGCAGTTTGCGAGGTAGTTGTCCACGGCCTCGGGGAGGACGCAGGTGGCGGCGCCGAGGGTCAGGGCCGTGGGCACGGTGGAGGACCAGCGCTTGCTTTCTGCGAGGGAGATGAGGACGAAGACGAGGGAGAGGGCGAGGAGGATGGCCGATACGACGCGGACGTGGGATGCGTCTTGGGCGAAGGCGTCGTTTGGGGGGGCGATGGTGCGGAACGTCCAGTCGAATGAGACTTTGACTTGGGCGTTTTGTGCGGATGTGAGTGGTAGCATTGAAAGGAGTGAGGCTGCGGTGAGGACCGTCCGACTGAGAAGCTTTTTCATGTTGGAGTTCTGTTGTTCTGGGAAGGGGGACGTAAGACGATGTACAGTGTGGGTGAGGTTCGAAGAGTTAGGTAAGGTCGAATAGTCGAAGAGTGTCACACCTAGGATCAGTCCGTCAGAAGCTTGATAAGTGAAGATGTCTTTTATACATCTCCAGATGTTTGCGTTGTTCCGAGTTCGTAAGTTCGGAACCGAACGAACCCTTCCAGCATGAGGCTGTGATCGGGGATTTCCCACATGCAGGTATCCGACCATATCCGCAAAGCCCCTTATCATGTCGCCACAGAAGTTGAAGAAAAATATTGAGATGACGTATCAATAGGCCATCTCAGAGAAGCGGAATCCAGCAAGTTGCCGCAAGGTCTTGCGACGTGATTCCATGATACTAAAAGTGGTAGCTCGGAGCCGAGCTTGCGATGTGGCTGGTACGATGGATTAGTATTTGGCCCCGAATAGACTGCACTTCGCCTCTGAGTACGGTCGACGGAGGATATAATTCATCAAATGAATTATTTCAAAAACAATTCCAGCATCTCATTCTCAGGTCATTCCTTCGTTATCTCTCATAAAAAGCCTGTGGTCAAATTACCCGGCTTGAAGGCGTATAGCCTCTTTATATAACACATTCCTGCTGCATGGTATGAGCACGCCCAAACTCCATATACCCCGATCTATAGCCAGAATCTACGACAAAAAGAAAAACAACGATTGTAATGAAATGGGTATAACACATCGCCTACATCACCTTGCCCCGGCGATCTCCCGGCTCTCCTCCCGCCCCCTTTTCTTCCCTGTCGCCAGCAGAGCATTCCGCCGGCGGTGGAACTTGATCGATTGAGTGATTCGAGTGCGACATGATATCAATCGTTGTACGGACATTGATGACCGGCCTGTCGCGCGCCTGCGTCTCCTGCACGTGGCTCCTCTGGCCGAGATCAGAAGACGGCCTCGACGCGTCGTACTCCTCGTACTCGTCCCGCCCGTCGTCCCGGACCGTCTTGTTCAGCTCGATATCGGACCCGGTGCCGGACAAGGCCCGGTCAATGTCGTTGAATGTTCGTACGGTGGAGTTCGAGTTTTCGGATTTGCCCCCCCTGGCGACGGCGCCGGACGTTTCTTTCGTTCCTGGGTGGCCGCTCGTATTGACCCAGCCCGCTCCAGACGGACGAGATTGCTTGCTCTTGTTGCTCCATCCGAAACCCCAGTTCTGGAAGAGAGGCCGGAGACTGGTGACCGAAGCCGCGATGATGCCTAGCGCCGGCTCCAGGACACTCCAGATGGCGACGTCGCTGTGGAGGGAAAAAGGTTAGCCAGGTGCTCCTGCCAAGTCAGACATTTGGGGACGTACATTGTTTCGTAGAGGAAGTCTGCCGAGATGGCGAGACGTCTTACATATGGTATACGTACGATAAGAGCAACACCAGCACTAGATGTTTGTTAGAAACAGGATGCAACGCCACGGGATTGAGAATGTTTTGACTTACACCATGCCCATACTCAAGAGAACAGCAACAAGTGCCTTTGTACGCCGGTTCAAGTTGACGTTCCACAAGAGGGCAATCGGCAGCAAACCCATGCACCAGTCTGATATCGCCGAGATGATGCTGTGTGCAATGGTCGCGTCCGGGACAATGTTGAAGTTGATACACGACCCCGGGTCTCCGTACAGTTGCCTCCAAAAGTAGGATGGGGGCATGCACTGGAAGGTCATGATGCAGAAGAAGGCGATGGAGATCATCCAGACGACGACGAGGTTGGCGTAGATGATCCAGCGGTGAACTTTGTTGAGAGCGAGACGGAGGAGCAGGAGACAGATCGAGGTCCGGATCGCCAGCGTGATTGGGGAGTAAAAGACTTCGCAGATGTACCAGGCTCTGAGAGAGACGGCGGCTTGGTCGACCGTAAGTTCTGTGATGTGCTTTCCTGTGGCACCATTGGTGATGCCGTGGAGGGCGATGCCACCGTATGCTGTGTAACCGAGCTGCGAGATGTTCATGTAAGTGGCAAGTAGGAGAAAATGCGAGGGTCAGGAAAGGTACTAACCATGGCCCCAAAGATAAGCCAGTCATCGATGGCTAAACTTTTGACGATGCATACTTTAACGTAGGCTCTCGCCAGGACGAAGAAGCCGGCCGCGAGCATGAAGGACAGCTGGACAGCAAAGAGCTGCATGCCTCTGTATTGGATATCATCGTGCGGTACGCGTGGTTCTAGTGAGCCGTCCATATTGTAAGTCGAGATGGCGAAATATGGCTCAAGCAAAACACCAGAGACATCGGGACTCCCAGTGCCACAGAAACGCGGATGGCGAGAACTTATAAGCCCTCCCACTCTCAGCCTGGCGTATGTGGCCCAACTTGCGCCATCCCATATGTCAAAAAAGAACACTCAGTGGGGGGTAGGGAGCTCAGAGAGGAAAAAGAAAACGCCCCTACATGTACCGGTTCCCCACGAGGAGACCAGGTCTTGAGAGTGTATCTCTCTCAACTACTTTAGATTGAAACACCCCAGGCCCAAATCGTGTTTTTCTCCATCTAAAGATTGCATGTTCCAGAAAACCTTCTTTTACAACGAAATCTCGCTTCAGAAATCTTCCTCTTAAGGCCAAGTTCTCCGTGCCGATAATCCGTGGTTAACACCGCCATTTCGATAAAAACAACAGCTATACGACATGCAAAAGATGGCAAAGCAACACCTTCAATCGGGTCACTTGCTGGCTTAGCAGTACATCCTGCGCCATAATGGAGAGACGGGACGCAACTTGCAGCTGCCGCGAGGAAGCAGGGTTCAGGACAGCCACGCCCATGTCCAGGGTTTGACTGGGATTGACAAGTTCAGGGTCGCCCACCAGGCCTGCATATACGCACAGAGAAATTGCTAGTCGCCAGGCGCACGACAATTTTCTCTCCGGTAGTTCCGCGACTCCGTGTGGTTCTTGTTCATCTGCAAGACAGATGCTTTAGGAGAAAGCGAATCCACACTTGGAGAAAAGAAAACCCCACAAAGTAAGTAATACGGGGTCGAGTGGGATGATGCCAGTCGTACAATAGGGTCGGTTTCTGACTGGACCATTTCAGACGAAAAGGGTTCCTCTCCTCCGGACCAACGATGCCGAGGATCCAAAAAGCATGGCTCTGTGGCCCAAGAATCTGACAGGTGTGATACGCCGTAGCGAGTATGTGACAAGAATGGGGTTATGATAGAGGTTTGATCAGCTTTGTCACGCCAGAGGCTATTGGTTTCCTCAAGGACCACATCAAACTAGTATGTGTTACCTCACAGACCCAGCCAGTCTGTGATCAGGATGAGATTCCCTGTATGACTGTTAAATTGATGATCTCGCGGTATCCGTACATGCCTCCCAGGCGGATGCTCGATATGAAAGCGGAGACGGGTTCCAAGGCCCCGGATCGTGACTAGGTTCATAAGCCGCGGGTTAGGGGGGTAGCGTCATATCTTGGAGCTTCAAAAGTGCAAAATGTGCAAGCAGCGAGAGTGTATTATTATGATCCTGCTAGATGACTGGTGGCGAGAGACCGTAGCTCTTGGTCGACACAGAGAATCGTCAGTCCGCATTGACTTATTTTATCTCCTAGAAAAAGAAATCATTAGTCGTAGCAGCAAGTTGGAGACCACAACAGTCGAGACTCGATGCTGGCTCTCTCAGTTATCGTTTATGACCAAGTATTTAGCCTGCTGGTAAGCAGACAAGATCCCGATAACCACGCATTTTATTGTGCATCAGGATGATTCTTTGAGACCTGCTTCGCAACGTGGTCCCTCGGTGCATGTCTTGCCCTGAGCATTTTGCCTTTGGGAATTGGGTGGTTGCGATTCGGCCGAAGCCGAAGGACCATCATTATCCGTACATGGGGTACGCTGATGGTACCCTTACTGGAAACTGCAATAATCTGGAAGAGTTTTCTCGGTCTCGAGGGCCGCCTGGCGGTCAGCAAGTTTGCCCATCGTACGATCCGAAAGAAGGCAGAGTAAGCCAGAGTGGACGACATGGATACCCGAGTGAAGTTAGATTGGATCGGTGGATGGGCAGCAACGGAGGACAATACTGTCTCAGTGTATCGGCCGTACGAAGAACCACTCGTTAGTTCAGCCCTTCCCGTGGCGGGACCAACGTTCGTTTAGCCAGAAAGGCTGGCGAGTCATTGCCATCGGCCGACGAATGCGAAAATTGCCAGTACCTAGATGTGTGGGCCACGTCGTGCGGAACCGCGAGGTTCAACGGGGAAGCTTAGCCAGGCAGAGCCGGTGCAGGTTGACTGGTTGACTGACCTGTCAAATGCTGGTAGAGAGGGGCGGGCAGACAGTATCGGATTATGGCCGTGGATGTATTTGAAAATCCTTCCAAGCAAATGCCGTGGCGGTCTGACGGTCTCGATGAGAAAAGTCGAGGATGAAAGCAGAAAAGAAAGTTGATGTTGGATGGGGATGGAGGAGGTCCAACGAGACCGAAGCAAACACCAGGGTAGCACAGGCCGGGGGAGCCTGCCGGAGCCAGGGTTATTGGATGGATTCGCCAATCGAGGAAGCCCCAGGGTTGGATAATTAGCAGGCGTTACTTTACGCCAGGCACGTTGCAGTGAACCTTGTTCACTCAGGTCCCAGGAGCAAGTCTGAAGTTTGAACTTGGCGATGCCGGGCAGAAGCCGTGGTGGCATCCAACGCGGGACTTGTTTGCTTGTCAGTGTCAATCAAATTGCACTGACAGAGCGAGTTGCATTTAACAGCCGGCCGAAGTATCCCTAGGTAACCAAGCAAATGTACTTTGGTGAGATATAATTGGGGTCAGTAGCTCATCGTATCAGGCCCACGGGGCAGAGTCGAGTTCGATCAGATCGTCCCCGACTGACAGCTCAAATAGTGAACAATGCGCTCGATCCTGCAATCTGCTTCACTGGCGCTTACGTGGGCCACCTCAAGAGTCGACAGTACATAGGCTGGACCGAATTTCTGCTCGCTGACCGGATCATCGTAGAAATTCTACCAACTTAGCGTCCTGCCCATTCCTTTTGTTGAGTGCGAGCGTGAGAGAACTGATCGATGTGAAGGCAGGATCGAGAATGCCGTTGCGCTAAGTCGACGAGCATCAAACCCTTAGGCTAAATGATATATCACTTCTCAACAACGGCTTTTATGGCCCGTTGTCTCCAACAACGACAACAGCTGGGTCCGTGAATGTGAGAGAATTGGCGCTTTTGGCGACTGGGCTCCTTTCCCCTCTCTGCGGGCTTTGGCTGTCGAATGCCATTCTCTCGGGAGAGGCTTGCCAACTACGCGCGCCACTTGAAGCAGTCGGCGGGTTCTAAGCTTCACTGTCTCACTCGCTGAAGATAGCTGTCGATCCATGATTCACAACCACTTGATGATCAATTCGATGAACCAGTAGACTATCCGACAACGATTGATTTGCAAGTGGCAATAAGGATAACGTCTCAAATTTTAAAGGCGCCCGTCTGCATTCGAGGTCCGGCCTAAAACACAGACGATACGATGACCGGTTGACCGGGTCCCATGACAACAAACATCAAAGACCTCAGGGCTCAGGCGTGGCGTGTTTGCTTGTCCTTCTGTGCCGCATGTCAAATACACACTCAAAATTAAAACCTCTGTGTCCCGAGGTTGGCCCGTCAGGAAAAAGAAAGTGAATGGCGAGTGGTCAGATTATGACGTGGTTTGCATGAGCGGGGGTTGGGCCCCTATATTCCGAAGAGGGAGGGGAAACACCGGCAAAGTCAACGATAAGGAGCTGTGTTAAGTATCCATAACTACGGCCGGGAGAGCATGGTCATGTCGGTGCACAGGGCCTTCCGTACGGGAGGTATTCTGCTCTCGGCTCACTCCGTGTCGGGCCCGGGTGCGGGGTACACTATGAGGACGGAACGGTAATGGAGTGGGTCTCAAGCTTCGGGGGCGCATAGGACCTCCCGCCGATACGATCGCCGAATGTCTCCCATCATGAGATGACAACGTCATTGCTAAGGCTCATATCATGATCCAGTATGCTAGACGCGCCGTGGTGACTGCCTGAAGCCTTGGCATGCGATGCACAGTGTTCAATCGAGACAGATGGAGATCATGCCGGACGAATTGTCCCGCTTTCGAGTTACCTCAGCAAAGCTCAACCGAATGTGCAGGCGGACGGTTGTCTCCGGGCTCCCATGCAATGAATCGAATTGTTGAGTGCGATCAGAAAATACAGAGCCGCAAAGCTCCTACTCCCTGAAATTCAACCAATTATTTGCGCATTCATGTGAGGGAAGGAAATAGCGCCTGAGCCTAGACCGCACAATGTTTCTGCAATTGCAGTCACCATGACGTCGTTGATGAGGTATGTGGGTAACCGTTCTACCAATGCACCTACCTCCTTCTAGTTACTATACTTATCTTGACGACACGATGGATAGTAGCTTCCTTGCTGTCTCTGCTTCGGTCGTTATAATTCTTTCCCCTTGAAGTCCCATCCTTCCTGACATCTCAAACGTTACTCATCCATCTACACCTCTTTGCATCCGCAGACTCAGTAATTGCCCATACCACAATGACAGACAAATCACAGTTCGAGGAAGGTATGTTACTCGTGTCATGATACTTCGCAACAGAGAGAGAGAGCTCACAACTCGTTACCAGGTTACAAGGTGCCGGTCACAGACCAGAGCTTCCCCGGCAAGGAGGGAAAGCTGCCCGTCACCCCTCTTTTCGACAGAGTCCCAACTGCAGATGGCGGCTCCAAGCTGTATCAAGCTGCAGGAAAGCTTGAAGGCCTGAAAGCCGTCATTACTGGTGGTGACTCTGGTATCGGCCGCGCCACAGCAATTCTCTTTGCCATGGAAGGTGCCGATTCGCTCATTGCGTATCTCCCTGATGAGGAGGAGGATGCTCAGGAAACCAAGAAGCGTGTCGAGTCTTATGGTCGCAAATGCCATCTCATTGCGACTGATATTACTGATGCCGCCAATTGCCAAAAGATTGTCGACACTGCGCTGGAGAAGCTCGGCGGTATCGACATCCTCTTCAACAATGCCGCATACCAGATGATGGTTGAGAACATTACGGACTTGAAGGAGTGAGTTGTATAAGCCGGCTCGCTGCTTTTTGCCCGCACGCTAACAGACATTGTAGGGATCAGTGGATTCATACGTTTAACACCAACATCCACCCCATTTTCTACCTTTCCAAATACGCCTTACCTCATATGAAGAAGGGCGCAACCATTATCAATAACGCCAGCATCAACGCTTACATCGGCCGTCCTGATCTCTTGGACTACACCTCCACCAAGGGCGCCATCATCTCTTTCACTCGCGGGTTGAGCAATCAATACTGCGACAAGGGCATTCGCGTCAACGCGATTGCACCTGGTCCGGTCTGGACTCCACTCATCCCCGCGACCATGAACGAAAAGGCCCAGAAGGAGTTCACGAGTCCCATTGGACGCCCGTCGCAGCCTTCAGAGATCGCGACGTGTGTGGTTTTCCTTGCTTCCACCGACAGTGCAAGCATCACGGGACAGACGATCCACTGCAACGGCGGTGTTATTGTCAACGGCTAAGGAGGGAAGCGAGACATTTTGTGCTACATAGATACCGTACGCTCGGTACAGGTCCTGGTTTCTTAGACAGAGTGCTAAACATCAAGGTCTAGAGAACAAGTTAATAATTCCATGATCACAACTTTTTACTGTGTGAAAATAGAAGAGAAGCGTGGCCATCTCCATATTCTATTCTGATTATAAGAAAAATCTAAAGAGCCTCAACTGCGGCGACCATTGAGCATGTGTTAGCAATTGTCTTTTGCGGTGACCATGTCCATCTGCTTAGAGACCGATTCGGCCGACGGCAAGGTCCCAGGCGGGAACGCTACCCACAAGAGATTGAATAGCGTGGATGAAACAGGGGACTGGGATGAAACGAGACCAACCACAGGTCGCCAATCGTCCACCAACACGAGGGGCGAGGGGCAGATGAGAAGCGCGTCGTGCTGTGTGCATGACCTGCATTTCTAGTGTGGTTCTGGTGCATGTCGGTCGATATTGGGACGTATTTGCGCTGGATTGACAAGTCTGTCCTCATTGGACGAAGGCAGACCGAATCCTGCCTAGATCACATGAACTTTCAAACCCCTTTATCTCGCTATCCATTGTCAACAGCATGTTGATGTTTAGGAAAAGCTACTTTGGCGGGGAAACGTGGACCGACCGAGCCGATTATAGGCGATGGTTAGCTGTCCATGTGCGATTGGCGTAAGGATGCCTGCCTAGTGCTGGTCCAACGAGGTTTCCGCGCTATGTTTACCTTGGTCGCAAGACAGGCCGTTAACACGCGCATGCAGATCATTGGATTCTCATGCGCATCAGTGCCTACACGTATCGTGGTTGAGCCGCAGGCCGTGACTTGGTTTCTGTTCTGTTACATGACACGTCGAAGCTTGTTGGGTTCTATCTCTGAGGGCGAACTGCTGGAGCCTTGACGTCGTTCCCGCAGGCGGGTCAGAGTCATGTTGCGGTATCCTACTGCAAAATAGGCAGCGGGACGCAATGCAAACAAAGATCTCTGGGAAACTCTATTGCTGCGTCGTGGTAATGGAGCGGGCCGCTGCTAAGGAAAGACAGAACGACGATGAGCATGACAAGGCAGATAATCTTGTACTCTGCTACGCCAGGAAGTAAGGTCCCCTTTGTCTAGGATCTCTTTCCTGGACAGGCGAACGGCCAATGGCACGCCAAGGCTGAGTCTGGGGGTGCTCGGCCCCCAAGAGCAGAGGTAATCTCTACCTTCTCTTGTCATGTCGCTACGCCCTCATTCCCAGGAAAGGCTGAGCTTTAGGAAGTACCGGGAACTTTGTCTCCAGATGTGACCAGAAACGGCCCCTCCTCCAAAGAAGACGTGTCGCGCTTTCCCCTTCCCTCCTGCTTCCCTGTCGCAGGCCCATCCCTTCATTTTCCCTCTCCCCCTTCCAGAACAACTCATCTGGTCTGCTTGTTTTGGGCTGAGCCACCCACACATTCTCCGTCTGTTGTTTTCCTTCTTTTTTCTCTCTTCTGCAACAAGAGCTTCGCCAATCCTCTTAATGTCATTGTCTCTCTGGCCCTGCTGAGCTTTCTTCTTGCAACTGCTTGAACCCCTCGAGCCGTGCACAAACAACAGCTCCAACGAGCCCACTCCACCAATACCAAGTAAACAAACCGTCATTTTCGCATCGCATTCCCGTCGCATTCCTCACGTTCGAATACCCAAAGGCTACCATGGCCGCCGCAACGTACAAGCAGTTCTTGACTGCTCCCAACTCGTCGCTGCTCGCGCCCAATGCGACTCTCTACTACATTACCACCACTACCACTTACAATGGCCCTACCGATATCATTAAGCACCTCAACACTTTGCGCAACCAGGTGAAGAAGAAGAAGGAGGAGATCCTGGACATCGTCGAGGGCCGCGATGCCATCGCTGCAGAGGTTGACACTACCCTAGAGTTTGTCACCAGCGGCGGCGCATACCTGCCTGGTCTCGATGACAACTTCCTGTCTGACCGGACTGTCTACCTTCCGATTGTTTGTGCTACTCCGCGTCCTTGATTCTGGAGATTCAACTTGGCTAACCGCTCCCTTGTCAACAGATGCACGTTGTGAACTTCGATAGCGAGGGCAGGGTCGCCCAGATTCGCCAATCTTGGGACCAGGGCGCCCTCCTCAAACAGTGCGACATCATTGGAAAGTCGGGCCGCAACTGGCCCATCCGGGATAGCACCGAGCAAATCAAGTTGATCACCAAGGGCTTGAAGGCCAACGGCAAGGTCGATGCCCCGGCTCCCGACTTCAACGAGTTGACCCACCGATCGCGAGGCAGCTCAACCAATGTGCTGCGAGACCCTCATGCTTCTCTGTCTCTGTTTGCGCCCAGAGAGGAGCAGGAAGAAGAGGCACCCCGAGCTGTTGTGTCACCTTATGCGGGTACCCGACCTCAGCAACGGTCCTTCAACGATATCCTTGGCCCCCAGCACGAGGAACCCAGCTCCCCCAGCGCCGGACGTGAGCGCGATGAGTCTCCCAGCAAGTTTGGCGCTCCGAAGGCTGGAGCCGGAAAGAACTTCCAGCCCAGCCGCTTGTTCGACGCCGATGAGCACGCAGATGTGCCCGACAGCCCCGAGCAGAAGTCTCCCGAGAAGTTCTACAGACCCAACCCCAAGAAGTTCCAGCACTTTGACTTCGCCGATGGTTCAGACCCACAAGATACTCCCAAGCCTGCCGAGGGTCGTCCTAAGGCTAGCAAGCACGACAGCAGTTGGTCTTTCGACGATTTCACGACGCCGCAAAAGATTAAGCCCGGGAAGACACTGCGCACTCAGGACGTCCGCCACTGGGATACCGATGTGAACAACTCGGCGATTAAGGAGACCCCTGTCGCCCGGCAGCAACAGGTCAAGGGACGCCGCGACGCCGAGGCGCACTTTGATTTCGAGGATGATGGCCCGCAAAAGACACCGCGTCCCGCGGGCCGACCCAAGGGCACTGCGCACAACACTGGCCTTCACCTGTATGAGAACAACCTGTACAGCGAAGACGGCAAGCCCCTTCCTGGAACCGACTCTGACCGCGCATTGGGTAACATTACAAACCTCAACCATCGTCACAAGGACTTTGACCCCCATTTCGCCATGACAGATGATTCGCCGAGCCAGTCGGGCCAGCAGGGGCGACCCGCAGTCAGTGACTCCCGCAAGAAGGTGGTGAGCAACATGGACTCCCACTGGGATTCATATGACGAGTCTCCCGCCTCTCAGAAGGAGAACAAGCCCCAGGTGTCTTCAAAGGGCAAGGGCGGTATCCACATCGCTGGAGACGGCATGGGCTCGAAGAAGGTCAAAGAGGAGAAGGAGGGCGACTCGAAGGGCATCCACATCGCCGGAGACGGCATGGGTGGCAAGAAGGGCACCAACCGCAACTGGCTCTACGGAGACGACGACCTCGACGACATTCCCAAGGCCGTTCCTCCCAAGGGTGGCTCAGGCTTGACCTCGGCCCAGAAGAGCTTTTGGGACTTCTAAGCGCAACGGACGGACACCCTGGCATCCCTCGAAAGAAGAAGCCAGCGCCACTGGCCCGGTGTCTTGACTGTTCTTGTTACGATTAAATGTTTTGTGCCACGCTGCCCATGATTCACGGGAGCGTTTCATTGCTGCCAGTGTGCTATTCCTTTCCCGACTACTCATCCTTCCATCATGTTGTCGCGTGATGGAGTGGGACTCGGACTAGGGGAAGTAGGATATCTGGCTAAGAATACCTGGATGTAAAATTGCTGTACCACCCGTGAGAAAAAGAAAGAGAGAGAGAGGGGGGGGGGGATAGAGGAGACGTTTTGAAGTAAGGGCGAGCGGGGGGTGAGGAAGAAGGTTCAAAAATAGGTTCCTCTACCGCTTCTATTGTTGCACAGACATAGCCCATGATATCCAACAGACCGAACACATTTCTACCTACTTGATTTCCTGGCAAAAATACTACTGGGAAGGATTGATATGATGCTGGTAGAACTGACGCGCTGACTATAAAATTACGGCATCTGAACCTCGTGAAGAGTAGCTGACTACTGTCACTGTGTAGAACGGGCCAGTTGCTCTTTCTGACAATGGGTATACAGTGGATGATACGATGTAGGCACTGCCCGTGAGGATCCATGATGCAGACATGAACTGTGTATTGTGTCATCCCCATTCTAATAGAAGCCATTCTTTCTGGTGATGATCTCTGGTCATCCAGATATGGCGGATATCTCCGATTACCTAGGCATACAGTATACCATGGCATCAACATGAATGATCAAGAAAAAGTTGTAAAGTACCAAGATCAGCCCCCCCGGCAGGATGTCCATACGCCACGCTGTTTATATCCCTCGCTTCCATATCCAGAAAACATCAAAAATAAAAAGAGGTTCTTCGACTGCTTCTGTACGTCGATCATTGTAGCAAAACCCCCCAAAAACACACGAGTTGCTGCTTCAACACAAAAACTTGTACACACGCTTCCACCTAGGCCACGACCGCCTCTCCTCCTGCTCCTGGGCAACCAGGATGCCGAGGTTAAAGTCTCGCCGGCCCGTGGAGACGTCCATGTCCTCGATACGGATAAAGACGGTCCGGAAGTAAAACTTGTGCGCGACGTACATGATGGCCACGATGGGGAACGCGGCGTACCGCAAAAAGAAATTCTTCGCGACGGACTCGGCGTCCCAGGTCTCCCAGCCGACGGGGAAAGCACCGACCCAGAACTGGGCGATGAGTACGAGGACGTTCATGATGAGGCCGCACCACGAGCCGACGATGCCGACCTGGGAGCGGAAAGCGAGCTCGTGCAGGCCGTGGCCTTTACGGGCCCAGGCGTGGCGGAAGCGGATGTGGCAGAGGCAGATGGAAGCCCAGGTGAAGATGGATGACAGGCCCGAGATGGCGAGGAGCCAGTCGAGGACCTGGTCCTGCTGCTTCAAGTCGGCGAGGTAGGCGAGGAGACCGACGGCGGACGCGACGCCGATGGCCGTCAGAGGGCGACCTTTGCGGTCGACGTACGAGAGGAAACGCGGGGCCTGGTGCTGGTCCGCCAGCGCGGCGAGGGTTCGAGATGAACCGAAGACGGCAGAGTTACCGACGGAAAGAACGGCGATGAGGATGACGGCGTTCATGACGGAGGGCAGAATATCAATCTGGGCGTTCTCGATGGCAATGACAAAGGGGGAAGCGGTCGCATCGGCGGAGGAGGAAGCACCGAGGAGACGGGGCTCGTCGTAGGGCACAAGAAGCCCAATTAGAGTAAGGGCCACGACGTAAAACAGGGTGATGCGCCAGAACACCTGCTTGATGGCGGTTGGGAGGGATTTGCGTGGGTTCGCCGCTTCGGCCGCTGCCAAACCGACCAGCTCAGTACCGGCGAAAGCAAAAGCAGCGGTGACAAAGACGCTACAGAGGCCTTTGAAGCCATTGTGAAATGCCCCCGGCGTTTGCCAGAAGCGACCGCCAATATAGCCCGTGTCTGGAGTCCCGCCGCAGTTGAGAACGATCCCTAGTAAGCTGCGCGGTGATCAGAATTAGACCCCTGTGGCAACGGAGAGAAGACAGTAACTTACATGAAGCCAATCACCGCAATGATCTTGATAATTGAGAATATGAACTCGGCTTCGCCATACCCTTTAATACCAAAGAGATTGATAGCGACGATACCAATAAGGAAAATGGTGACAAAGTAAGCCTTGGTTATGCCCTCTTGCCAGTACGTTATTGTGATTGCAGCCGCAATGATTTCGAGGGGTAGTACAATAAGCCATTGCAGTGCATAGCTGTAGTATTTCGTCAGCGGTCTCTTCTCTCCATGGCGCTCACGAATGACGCGCGCAGGTGCTGCGTATACTCACTTCCAACCCATGGCAAAACCCCACGATGGGTCCAGAAATCGCGTGGAGTATGCCGAGAACGAACCCGCAACGGGGAAAGCAACAGCCAACTCCCCCAACGCTTGACAAGTGCAGTATAACATCGCGCCCACGAGCGAAAAGGCAATCAGTAATGACGCCGGCCCGCCCACCTCGAGCGCCTGTCCAGAAGCCACGAATAGTCCCGTGCCGATGGAACCGCCAATGGCAATCATCTGCAAATGCCGGCCCTTGAGCTTTCTCGAGAGGAGGGAGTGCGAGGTCTGTAGGTTGGCGAGTCGGATATCGTAGTAATGCACGCCGTTCAGCACCCTCTCGTGGCCGGGCTCGAGGTCCAGAGACGAGTTGCTCTTTGGCCTGTGGATGCTGCCATCGGACATTTGCGTGGGCGCGCGCCTGAAGCTCTCGAGCACGCGGCTCAGGACGCCCGGCGCGGGGCTCGGGTCGTAGATGGGTTCCCGCCGCATGCTGTAGCTGCTCCCGAGGGTGAGGGAGTCTTCCTTGATCTTGATCGCACTGAGTTCCACGTCCTCGTTGTACGGCGCCATCCCCGTTTCCGTAGCGTGTCGGTATGTAAATGGTAGATATCAAGACTAGTGGGGTCGTCGTCGCCGTCTACACCGCTCGTCGCGGGGGATACTATTGAGTCTGGCTCTGTGTCTGGCCGTGTGTTCGAATTGTTATCGTGTATATCGGTCGATCGTGAGATATGGCGTTTGTACGTCGGGTCGCTCGTTCGGTGAGACTTGGCGCGCTTTAGGCATCGGCCACCTCCGTCGAGAATCGCATGCCCGTTGCCGAGGGTATCTGGATGCGTAGAAGCAGGGTCTGACGCCGATAAGATGCCTGCAGATCGTCTCGAAGTATTGGCGTAATCGTCGGTAGAGAGCGTAGAGAGTTCGCGGATTGAGGAAACTGGTCGGCCTTGAAGTCTATGCCGCACACCAGGAGAAGGGCAACGTTTCCGTGTACTAGTCGTTGCGACGAAAAGCGACGGACTACCGCCACCTAAAGGGGTTGGGTGACTGAACTTGTGTGGTGAGGCTTATCATGCTGGGCCGACCAGCGCAGTTGCCGCATTGGCGTTGAAAGGTGACAGGATGGGATGGCTTGCTGGTCTAATCTGGTGACAAGGATACCCCCCGACTGACAGACAAGAGTTCCAAGCCGCCTCTTTCGGTCCTTCAGAACGTCGGCGACAGGACGAACTGGCTCGGCTTAAGGGTGCGACACTGGCGCCGACGAATGAGGGGAGAGGTGGTCATGGCTGGGCCAGGCTCGAATCCTTCACTTGTCCCTTGGCAATGGGCAGTTGCACTTGGAAATGGAATTGTCAGTGTGCCTGCACCCCCAACTTTGCCCCCCCCCCCCCAAAGTCGCCCTAAGCAGAAATGAACCCACTTCCGCTATCTCTCTCTCTTGCCCGTCCGTGCCTCTCACTCCATCTCTCTCGCTTACCCAATGCCCGCTGTTGCGATCGGTACGGGCATGTGCTTGTCTGGGGTTCTCTAATGGAGACTAAATGGAGGCAGCATGACTGGGAGCCATAGATCGTCCAACTAGGAAGCTGGATGGCTCCACAGGGGAGCAACCCTTGACCGTCCGAGTCGGCCATTTCTCTGCCCGTATCATGGGCTACCGTCTACTACCTATGTAAGGATATTTGTTCAAGTCAATATTCGCCCACAGTCGTTCGTTCCCCTCTCCAAGACTCCAGAGTAATGATGACACACCTGCTGAGCGCCGAAGCAAAACTCCCAATTGACTTTGTTCACTATGCAGGTGTCATGCCCTGCTTGCAGTCTGTTCGCAACTCTGTTCGCAGCTTTGCCTCAGACCCAACGTTTGACAGGCGCACAGATTGAGGCAGGTTGTCATCCCACGCCCCACATGCATCGAGGCACATACCTTCAATACCCAAGGTGCTTAGGTAGAATACAAAGTACACTATCCCTCATCTCAGAACCGCATGTGCGGCGGCGTCAAGTCCTCGCAAGTGAGCAGGGAGCTGTGGAAGTATATATTCATAGTCGGTAATTACTGCCATGAAAAGTTGTAAAAGCATTGCAAATCTGACAGTGCAGATGGGACATAAAAAAAAGCAGTGGTAGCAAGACCATTGAGAGGTACATTAGCCCATGCTTGAGCAGGGGTTTTTACAACAGCTAAATCATCTTCCCATACAACGCCAGACTGTGCCGTTTGAATACTGTGCCTCCAACGACAGAGACATGCTACTTTATATAAACATGCTCTCCCTGACTTTCATCACAGGTGAGCTTACATCAATGATATCATGCTTGTTCCTTTTGCTCCTCCTTTTTCTCTACAATCAGCTTTCCGTTGGCGTCTCTCGGCTTACGCTGCCAGCCCGTGCTGAAGAGCTTGCCCATATCGAACCGGGGGAGCGGGTGCGCTTCCGTGTTGAAGACAACCTTGTCCATGGGCAATAAGTCATCCGGTGAGAATAGGAGGTAGAAATACTTGAGTGTCTCGGCCTAGTCATACCGTGTTAGTTACCATGACTTAGCAGTCAGGCCAGAGTCTCACTTACCATCCAGAAACTTTCCAGGTTGTCGCGCGTAACCGGCGGAATCGTGTTGGCGTTGCTCAAACTTGTAAAGCCTCCACCATCCTCGACCGAGGTGTAGTTGACAAACGACTTGAACATCTCCCAGCCCCATTCACGGTACTTGATGTCCCCAGTGATTCTCCACATGTAAAAGACACTCTCAATCGTCTCTGGCCGCTGAAGGTTGTGGACATCCTGAGAGTGGACCTCAAAGTCCTGTCGCCACTTGGCATGAGGATCCGGATCGAAGTCCTTGGGTGGGTGGTGCGAGGCCGAGGGAGAGGCAGGTGGGTTGTCGATGTTGAAATAGGTGATCTCGGCGGCAAGCCCTGTCGCCATCCACTTGTACATACCCCAACACGTCTGCATGAGCTCGCGGGCCAGCTTCATGTCCTCGTCCTTTTGTTTGTTCCATGTGGGCAATTTCCTGGCCTCCGCCTCGGGAATGCCTCCTGTCGCTCCCAAAGCAATGGTGCCGGGCATGAAGCAAACGAGGTGGTCCATCTTTGGAGACAGTTCATGGTTCAGGCCAGAGGGGCGCTCTCCGAGAACAGTAAATCCAGAGGGTTTGCTGTAGGTGATCAGGTGCTTGCGGACTCCTGCTAGGGCTTCGTCCCACATCTCCAGGTAGACGGGCTCCTGCTTGTTCGTCTGCAGATACTGCTTGATCAGGTACTCATAGTACGAGTCTCCGCGGGAGCCCAGGCGAATGTTGTCTCCCCTGAACTCTCCCGTCGTGGCGTAGAGGTAGATGGGGACAAGTCCATCCTGAGCACCGTTGTCGTCAACCACCTTCATGACCCGCTCGACCTTGTCCCAAAAGTCCTTTTCGCCGGTCAGCTTGGCTAGGTACTTGAACTCGAGCTGCAGTGTCGTCGTCTCTGCGGTCGAAGAGGCGCCGCCGTCAGCATGGGATACGATGCCCTTGTAGGTGGCCAGGTTGACGCTGGCGTAGGGAACTCCCGACGGCGAGTCAAAGGCGCTCATCAGACGATCGGCCAGATCTTTTGCTTTTTCCAGGTATAAGTCCTCACCAGGCGCGCCTGGGTCGTCGTCTTTGATCGCGGCCAGCTCGGGGAACTCGGTGGACAGGTAATGCGCAGAGAGAAGGCCACCCATCATTCTGATGGTTGTCTCGAATGTGTTGACGTCTTGGTCTTGATCCCACGTCAAGTCGTTGGCAAGCCATTGCCTCGCATGGCTCAGGCGTGATGTCAAGTTCATCAACATCATGGTGTCGAGCGAATCGATGATGATCCAACCAAGTCCCTTGGGTGCCATCTGTCGTCCGGTCTTCGCAATGGGATGGTACTCGTCGTATCCTATGAACAAATTTGGCCATTAGTTTCCGAGCTCCGTATGAACGAACACAATGTTACCAGCAAGGTCAAAGTCTTACCCCAGGCATAGCGTTCGTAGGCATCCCAGCTGAGCTCAAAGGCTTCAACTACTCTCTCCCGTCTCTTGAGCCAGTCCACCTTCTTGCCCGCGGGCTCTGTCGCACCAAGCCAGCCAGTCCATGTCGTTGCCGATTCGCGGGCCTTGGAGCCCTCTGAGAAGAAGCCAAAGAACCAAAGACCCGTCACGAAGCAGAGGAGGGTAACGAGGATGGAGCGCTTCCGCCGCCAGAGAGGCCGAAACCTCCGGCTTGCGTGGTGGGCATAGGGCTTGTCCTTGTACATGGGAAGCTGGCCCTTGGTACCAAGAAGGTCTTCTACCCGCCCCTGCACACCGTGGAAGATACCAGAGTTGCCTCCACGGTAGGATCGGCTGCTGTTGGCAGAGGCACCCCAATATCTGTCTTCGAGTTGTCGCTGGGGATTGCTGAAGGAGGGAACGTTCTTTGGGACATTGAAAGACATGTCGTTCAGCGCAGTGGCTCCGGCCTCGACTGCTTTTTCTTTGATGTTATGGGCAGCTCGGGCGGCCGTGATTTTGAAAACGCTAATGGCGGAGTTCTGGTGTAGATTGAAAGGGTCGCGAACATTCATATTACGCCCTCAGCATTGTCGCAGTGTGGATCCGGCGGTTTCGAGCAAACGACGTGGGACGGGACGAACAGGTCGCAAACCTCGGGGATCAACAACCTTGGAGGGAAAAGACTGTGAAAGAAGGCTTGCAAAGACAGGTGCTCTGGTTCAACCCCCAGCAGCTTTGAGGAATGACAGTTGTATTGTGACGGGGTGGGATGTAGAAAAAAATAACAAGAGAGACAAGAGCAACCAGCAACTGAGACTACCTGAGGAATCTCGATGATGTGGACTTTCTGACCCAGCTGGTGCGGGCCAGTGAGTGACACCTCTCGGTCGCGCAAAGGTGTCCCGTCGGGTCTTGGAGGTAAGGTACCGACCACTTTACCCGCTAACCCACTGTATTTCCTCACAGCGCACGCTCACTGGTGGACGGGACAGGAAACCTACGGAAAGGCGGCACTTATGCCCAGCGTACCAGGCACTTTCGTCACGATGGACCGATACGTTTGAATCTTTATTGTTTGGTACCTAGTTCTTATGGTCCTTGGACCACCAATCTCGTAGATATGCCACTGTCTGTGATCGCGAGTCTTTTCCTTGGTCTACGCGATGCTTTCAGACTACGGCATACCGCTTTGTGTATTCGTAAGGTAGCTAGCTCCATTGAGACCTTTACTCCCAGCTACTTCAGCCTCGTGGCATCGAGCATTATGTGTACAAATCACTCATTGGCAAAATGAACACTCCCAGAAATCCTAGTGTCGCATTCCGTCTTAGTTTAGTGTGTAGTAGTACAATGGCTCTTCCCAATCGTCGCAATGCTCAATCATGTGTATGCTGTGTTTCAACGCAAAAAAGCGCTTCTTCCCTTACAGAAGCATACGTCTGGGATCCTCAATGTACTCCTTGACCTTGACCAAGAACTGAACAGCTTCTCTTCCGTCAAGAAGGCGGTGATCGTAGGTAAGCGCCAAGTACATCATGGGGCGGATCTCGATCTTGCCGTTGATGGCCACTGCGCGATCCTTGACTGCGTGGAGTCCGAGGACGGCAGTCTGGGGAAGGTTGATAATGGGGGTGCCCATCAGCGAGCCAAAGACACCGCCGTTGCTGATGGTGAAGGTACCGCCAGCCATATCCTCGATCGTTAGCTTGTTGTCGCGGGCCTGTGATAGCTCCATGTTAGCGTTGAACCTCGATGACGTAGTAGGGTCATCGTCCATACCTTCTTGCCCATGTCGGCAATGGCCTTCTCGATGCCGAGCATGTCCAGCGACTCGGTGTTGCGCACGACAGGGGTGACGAGACCCTTCTCAGTGGCGACCGCAACGCTGATGTCGACGTAGTCGCGGTACACAATCGTGTCGCCGCCGTTGGGGCCCTCGATGGAGGCGTTGACGGCCGGAATATCGCGCATGGCCAGGACGCAGGCGCGAGAGAAGGCGCTCATGAAACCAAGCTTGACACCAGTCTTCTTGAGGACGTCTTCGCGGTAAAGCTTGCGGAACTCAATAAGGGAGGACATGTCAACCTCGTTGAAGGTGGTAAGCGAGGCCGCTGTGTTCTGCGACTGCTTGAGTCTTTCGGCGATTCGGAGGCGCATGCGGTTCATTTTCACCTGCGAAGATGCCTGGTCAGCTCTAATGCTCATGGAAAAGATTGCGCGCAAAGATTAGGTGGTAGACCTACGCGACGTTCCTCACGGCTGCCAAACGCCGGAGCAGCGCTGGTTGCCGACTCCTTCTCGGGAGCAGGGGCAGGTTTTGACGTCTCCTTTGCCGGGGCAGCGGGCTTGCTGGCGGGCGCATCATCCTTGGGCGCCTCCTTCTTGGGTTCCGGCTTCGATTCTGACTTGGACTCTGGCTTTGACTCAGGCTTTGACTCAGGCTCCGACTTCTTCTCTTCGGCAGGCTTAGATTCGCTTGAGCTGGACTTCTCGCCTCCAAGCTCCATTCTGACGATATCCTGGCCGACAGTGACGGTGTCCTCCTCGTTGACCAAGAATTCCTTGATCGTACCGGCCTCAGGAGCGTTAACAGCAACATCGATCTGTGCAACAAGAGAAAGAACTGCAGTCAGCAACAGGAACGTCATGTTTTCCCCAAAGATACCAGATGAACAAAGCTACCTTGTCAGTCTCGATGGTGGCAATCTCCTCATCCTGCTCTACAAAGTCGCCGACCTGCTTCGACCACTGCTTCAGGGTACCTTCGGAAATGGACTCAGCCATCTGCGGCACTTGGACGATTTTGTCGGCATAGCTGCGGACGTGCTGCATCATCTGGGGAAGCTGCAGCGGCAGCGAGCGCGGCTGGTACCGGCGCAGCGGCACGGAGCGCGCAGTCGCGACAAGTCTTCTTGAGAGCATCGTGACGGGTGTTCGATGAGGTGTGTGGGGAAAAGGAGAGAAGAGATGAGCGTGGTTGTGTTTTCTGTTTTTTGGGTGCACTCTGGTAGGCTAGCAAGCTGGTCACAGGTCTGCATGAGACCCACAGGTTGGCAATGGCAGCAGTACGGTTGTAGTAGTGGAAGCGGTTCTCTCCGTGTGTACGCCCACAGCGAGTAGCCTTCTGCCATCAAATAGGTACCCTTACCTCGGATAGCACTCAGCCCCGGCCGGCTTGGAGCCTGCCCTGTACTTTTATCTCGCCGGGACAAATACGGAGTACATGCCGATCCTTCCGACGCTGGGACAGATGGAATTCCCAAGAGGTAGCGTCATTGGCATATTGGCACCGGAACTGTCGTGTCAGCCATCTTTCACTGTCACCAGCAGGTAGGCAGCACAGAAGGGATCAATCTAAGGTAGGAGCCTTTGATATACAGACAAGTGACGAAGAAAGACTTTCAGGCATGGACGGTCTCCCATTCAAGTTGCAAAGTGCTACCACTATTAGATACGTACCGGGACGAAGTAGCCGACTTAAAGATTGGGTATCTGTACCTTGAGGCCAGTGGGGCTGTCAAGGGCACAACCGACACCCAACTCGTCGTACAGTCGGTGGCCTGCATCCGAGCATTTCAACTTCAAAGGGGATACGGCCCGGGGAAATAGACGTCTGCCGCATCGAGAACCCCGAAATCGACTCGGTCCATGTTCACATTATACGTGTGAGCCAACCGAGAGTCGAGTCTGCCCTCTAGTGCCACGACTGATCATTCCTCTACAGTCGACGTTGCATCCTCACCAATCGAGTTCTCAGCGGTGTTTGGACCTATTTCACGCGAACAAGGGAAACACAAATTCACCTCTGAAGGGCACGCATTGTCTACGTTAAAAATGTCGTTTAGGGACTTCCCATTCTTGACTCCTGAGGAGTTTTCCGAAATATGCCATCATTTCGATAGTCAGTATTGCCGTGCTACCTTGGGCCCGATGCGACGGCGTTGGAAAATGAGGGTATGCACGGCACTTGATACATCATTCGCCTCGGGCGTTGAATACACTACTTATTTGCAAATTATCCGGCCACTCGAGGCTACTTTGGACTGCGGCGATCTCTCATCCGTTCTGGATAATTTCTCATTTGGCGATGGTGCTTCGGAAAAGGATGCTCTAGGACTGGGTGATGAGGCCATGATTGATGCTGAAGAATCCGACGAGGTAATGTCCCAGGCTCTTCTTATTCGACACGCTGCTTATGTTCACTAACATACGGCAGGCGGCGCTCTCCAAGTCACACGTTCCTGACTCCGGTCACGTCGTCTACGAAGTGCACTGGCATCCCACATATCGGATGCCTTGCCTATGGTTCACATTACACGGACTGCCAGCCGACGAGCCTGCATTCAACCTTGACACTGTCTTTCGAAGACTCGTGCCCGATCAGTTCAAGGATGCTCTCCGACGGTCCAGCGGAATTGGAGGAATCTCCGGCGACGTAAGTGTGCATCAGCTGCGGACCAGTCAATTAAATCTTCTGAAAGAGACCGTCTGTAGGTCTGTACTAACAATCGAGGTCGCAGCACCACCCCCTTACGGGATTACCGTCATTCTTCATCCATCCATGCCTCCTCGGTGACGCCATGTCGGGTTTCACCTGTTCCAAGGAGCAGTACATGATGCTATGGCTCGGCCTGGTTGGCGGATGCGTCGGGCTCTGGGTGCCCAAAGAGATGGCCCTGGATTCAACCGGCTGAAGCTCACCGCCGCCGGGACCTTCCTGCCTTCTCTCGCCCTGTCTGAACTGAAATGCAAGGCTGAAATCCTCAATCGTCGTCGCTGTCCTCCTCCATGGCAACATCGCTGTCCTCGTCTTCTTCCTCGTCTCTGGTCCGCTTCTGTCCTCTTGCATCAGCCGTCTGCGCGTCAACCATGGTTTGATCACCCCCGGCTGCCGGCTTCGCCGTGGTGGCCCCCGTGGCTGCCGCTGATGCGGCACCAGGTGCGGGAGCGTTGAAGATGCTCTTCTGAAGATCCGTCACTTCGGTGCTGGAGGCTCCTGCTGTCGAGTTTGGCATCTTGTATGTGCCGTCTAATTTGGCGACGAAGTCGGACTTGGACTTTGCGTACTGGACGTTCTGTTCACGGTCTCGTCAGCGAATCCCCTTATAATCCTCTACTCTCAGGGTCGCATACCAGAGGCCGACCGAGGAACTCAAAGCCTTCAAGGGAGCGCATGGCCTGGGTCGCTGTCTGGATATCGCGGAAGGTGATGTGGGCTTGTCCTCGCATCTTCATGGTCTTCATGGCGACGATGTCGAGAACGGGGCCGTATGTGGAGAACAGCAAGTAGAGTTCGGTTCGCAAGTCGGCTTTTTGTATCTTGTTCGACGGGAGATTTGTGACATAGAGCCTACGATCATTAGCGATTGCCACTTGTTTCCTGTGTTTCTGACTTACGTCTGGTTCGGAGCAACAGTCGCAACTTTGGCGGGTAGTGATGCGTTTGGCACGAGGCCACGGGGAGGGGCGACCGCTGCCATTGTGCAATATGATGTATGGATGTGTGAGATGGTATGAGGCCTTCGTGAAAATCGTCAATTGTTCGACAGTGTCTATTCGGTGTCGGTATGGTCTCGAGGTGGCGCGTAGTGGTATTCGTCCTCGTTGAATCGTCGCGGTACCGATTTTTTGTGATGACCGTCCGGCTACCGCACTGTAGTTGGTCTTCGGAGCTTCACTGCTAGCGCCGCCAATCGATCCCAGGGACGCCAGGGTGTGGCCTTAGGTTCAGAGCTGTGCACAAAAGAGAGTGGTGCGAATGCCATGTTGCCCTGTCGGAAGACCTACCTAACCTAAGGTACCTACGTAACGCCCCTCTCTGCCCCACCAATGTGCACCTCCCAGACGGTACGTTGTAGTGTATGCAATGCATGCACCTTACGTATGTAGAGCCTGGGGGAGATACATTGCCTTGCTTGGACGGAGGCCAGCCAGCATCTACTACCTAGCACTGCCTCAAGCGACCACTTTGTCTGCCAACATCGCCAACTCTTCTCTTTCTATACTCCCTCAACAACCTCCGACTCATTCTAGATAGTGGTAGTAGAGAGCTATACTCCTATCACGAAGCAACCGTTCATCATGGCGGCCCCTCAGGTTCACCACCTCTTCCACGCGCCCATCGCGGACCATTCCTTCTCTGCCGACCGCCAGACGCTGGCTATCGCTCGCGATTCTACCATTGAGCTCTACGGACCTACTGGAAATTCTTTCAAGCTCAAGGATGAGCTCAAAGGACACGACAAGACCGTCACAAGTGTCGACATTGCTCCCAACAGCGGCCGTATTGTCTCCTGCTCTCAAGGTATGTCAATGCGCGCTAATCCGTCCTGTCTCCGAGTCGAGAATAGCACCTGACCTTCCGCGATAGACAGAAATGCTCTTGTCTGGGAGCCCTCGCCGACCGGATACAAGCCCACACTTGTTCTCCTCCGAATCAGCCGCGCCGCGACCTTTGTGCGATGGTCCCCCTCCGAGACCAAGTTCGCCGTCGGATCGGGCGACCGCGTAATCGCTGTCTGCTACTTTGAGGAGGAGAACGACTGGTGGGTGTCGAAGCACCTGAAGAAGCCCATTCGCAGCACCATCACATCCGTCGCATGGCACCCAAACTCCGTTCTGCTTGCTGCTGGATCTACCGACGCCCACGCCAGGGTTCTGTCCAGCTTCATCAAGGGTGTCGACGCCCGCCCCGAGCCGACCGCTTGGGGTGAACGATTGCCGTTCAACACCGTCTGCGGAGAGTACTTGAACAACTCTGCCGGCTGGGTTCACTCTGTCTCCTTTTCGCCGAGCGGAAATGCCCTGGCGTTTGCTGCTCACGATAGCAGTATTACTGTCGTATACCCCAGTGCCCCTGAGCAGCCTCCTCGCGCCGTCGTCACGATCACCACCCAGTTGCTTCCCTTCATGAGCCTTCTGTGGAGCTCAGAGGATGAGATCATTGCCGCAGGTTACGACTGCGAAGCCTTCCGCTTCAAGGGCGGCGAAGGCGGCTGGAGCCTTGCTGGTACTCTGGAGTCAAAGGGCCGACCCGGGCTTAGCGACGCCCGCGAAGAGTCTGCGCTCAACATGTTCAGGCAGATGGATCTCAAGGGCAAGGCTACGGATGACACCAAGCTCAAGACAGTACACCAGAACACTGTCACCACACTTCGTTCCTATGAAGAGTCTGGCGGTAACTTGACAAAGTTTACCTGTAAGTTTTGGAATCCCTTTGTTCACTAGTGTCGAATGCTAACTAGAGATGAAGCCAGCGGTGTCGACGGGAGAATCGTCATTTGGAGCACTTAGACAACCTTTCATAGCAAGCTTTCAATGGAAATACCACGATGTTTCAGATACTCACCTCCATATTGTGAGCTGACCTGCTAGAACCTAGTGACACGTTCTCGACAGTTCTTTCCGAGCACATTGACCAAGAGGCCTCGGTCGCTCGACGTCCGGTTGTATACAAATACGGCTTGAAAGGTCATCTAACTCATGTTGACCTTCCAAGCGACGTTGATAATCAACATTCAACATGGAGCAGTACGGCAGAGAACCCGAGCCTCTGTGCTCACCTAGCACATTCATCTACAATCTTGCGTTCAGACCAAAAGATCAGAACTCGGCGACCAGTACGAACCCGATGGCTGTACAAGCTTCGCCTATGCCACCTCACTTTGATCCACAACTTCACGCCGGTTCTCTCCTTGAACGACGCGCTCTGGCTGGACGCACTATCCACGGCAGGCCACTTGTGCCATTGACTGTGCAAATTCTGCACCGAAATGACATGGACATATCCGTGACGGATTTTGACGAGTTATTTGACGGCTTCTTTCGCTTTCTTGCACGACACCAATCTCATAAGGAGAGGCATGCTCTAGCAATGAGGATTCGCTCGGTTCAGGACATTTGTCTACGAGCTAGCCAGAAGTATCACGAACGACGACGCAGGCAAGCCAGAAACGATCGCAGAAGAGAACGCAGAGAAGAGCGCAGAGACAATTCAAGGGGGGGTTGCTTGAGAAGGCTTCGTGGAGGCAGTCGTCGCCCCAACCCCTACGATCGACCCGTTCAACGAGATTCGCACCATGATTCTTCGTCTTCAGCGTCTTCCACCGCCAGCGACTCGGTCTCGAATAAATCGCTTCTGCATAGCACCGGCCGGATTTGCAATCATCTCTGGGAACAAGCCAACGTAGACGCACTGGACGGATTCCTGGGTAGAGGGAAGAAGCGGGAAGCAGCGACAACCATGGCGCAGCTGCTAGAATGGGCGGAGACGGTCATGGAGTGCAGTAATCGCAGCAAACGCAGCGACTCTCCCGACAGATCGGACTTATTGCGACTACTCGAAGCTGCAAAGAATTTGTGCGGCTGGCTTGGTGACAGTGATTGGGAGGCAGAACTTGGAGAAGTTGAGGGCGCTGTGACATTCTATCTCACTTTCGGAGTAGCATAGACTTAGGGAAGGGTGGATCATGTTTTTTTTTGGCGATGTTGGTGCGGTTGGTGCGAGCTTAATAGTAAAAGACAAGCTAATTGGTAGGAAATGCCTCTAGCTGTCTTATATCAATAGCAAAATCGTGTGATTGATCCTGAGTTGACGAATATTACAAGAAGCCAAAGTTTCCTTCCCCAGGCTCTTTCAACTTGTAGGAATGTCAGACCGAAACATGATACTTGACTCTGGCCTCATATTTCCTGAATGCAATGCTTCTTTCTGTCCTTGCGAGGCAATCAATGGATCCAGGTTCTTTGACGAAACAAACGGCGAGATTTATGTCTTTGAGATATTTTGACGGGGTCAAAGCAATGGAATGGAAGCAAGCACATGCAGTTGGGCTATCTTCTCCGTGCCACACGTGCCTACCTGAGCTACCTGAAGTGCTAGCGTACTGAAACTCCCCGAAAGTACTTAGGCACGCTATCATAGTGAATAGTGACATTGTGCTGCCAAACAGAGAGCCGGTTACCGTGTTCGCCTAAACGGGAGGTACCCATGCCCCTGCCACCTCTTCACTTCACCTTCTCCAACTCAAACGTCGTCTCCCGCTGATCTAACCCAACCCCACCAAACGCGCCAGCACCTCCCAGCTCCCGCCCGAGTGTACCTGTGCTTGTGCTCTACCGGGACTTGTACTGTCAACCACCTTTTAACAACACATCCACTGCCGCCTTTTGCTTTTTCCTTTCAGAGAGAAACGTCACCGCTATTGCCTGTGAAGATCCCTCTTGGATTCCCTTCGCCAGTAAGTATTTCCTGCAGTCTCTAGAGTTTTGTTGCTTCTTGGATTCAAGAGGCATTCCAGGCGCTTACCATTTTCCGCACTCCAGCCCACCTCAGATTACTCACCGCGTACAAGCGACCCGCCACTATTTGCCAAAAGGACCCCGCCAGAGCTCTACCGATACGCAATATCGCACATCACCGGGCTCCAGAAACAACAACCACCCTCACACACGCCCTGTTTACACGAACAGTCCTTCTCCCTCCCGGTAATTCGACTCTTTCCTACAGCGAAACCTGAGAAAGGGAGCCATGACCGATCACTTATAATGGAAACCCCAATGTCAACTCAAGAGCGCCAGCTCTGTGAGTTTCTCCGAGAGCTTCCCGCAAGATGGAACTACGAGTACGACGATCAAGCACACCACGACCTGTTGGAAAGTCTATTCTGGTCTTTGGCAGGAGGTGAACGATACATGCCCCTCTTCTTTCCCTCTGGGCGTCCTTCGCACAACCTCAAGCTCCACGATGCTCAGGGCGCAGAGGAAGGCGCTGAATACACCGAAGCCGCCCGCGGCAAGCGATGCGGCCACATCTTCAAGCCCGGAGAAGCCTCCTACTCCTGTAGGACCTGCAGTACCGATGATACTTGCGTCCTTTGCAGCCGATGCTTTGACTCGACCGATCACGCCGGGCACATGGTTCGCATCAGCATTTCCGTCGGCAACAGTGGATGTTGTGACTGTGGCGATGACGAGGCATGGCGCCTCCCCATGTTCTGTACGATTCACTCCGAGACGAGTCCGGAGAAGGGCGAGGGAAAGGGAAAGGAACCGGCCGGTCTTCCCGAGGACCTGGTGCAGAACATGCAGATGACGATTGGCCGCGTCTTTGACTATATCTGCGACGTCATATCATGCTCACCGGAGCAGCTGCGGCAGGGCAAGACGGCCGACTCTATCCAAGCCGACGAGGAGCTTTCGCGCCTGTCTCCAAGCATCTATGGCGAAGGTCCTTCGGGGCACCCCGAATACGCGCTGGTCCTCTGGAACGACGAGAAGCATACGGTGGAGGATGTGCAGAATCAGATTGCGCGGGCTTGTAGAACAACGGAGGCTCAGGCTCTCGAACGCGCTACTGAAACGGACCTTGTCGGGCGCAGCATTCTGAAGCGGCTCGACGACCTTGACGCTCTTCTTGAGATGGCCACTAAGTTGGAGCATATCAAGGTTACCGTCACCATCAGGTCATCGCGCGACACATTCCGTGAGCAGATGTGTGGGGCCATGATCGAGTGGCTCAGCGACATCTCAGGATGCAGTGTCGGATCAGACCACACCATTCTGCGAAACACCGTCTGCCAGGAGATGATGAAGCCTTGGAGGAAGGGCAGTCCTGGAAGCCATGCTATTGTGGGGAAGGATGGCATCTACGACGAAGAGAGGTTCTTGAGAAATCTAGAACAGTCTCAGTCTTTCACACAGCACGTCTTACTGCAGATGCAGCGTATTGCTGCCCAACAGCAAACAAGAGCTCTTGGCGACAGTGATGATGATGACATCGACATGGGCAGGGGCAACGGCACTCCGGATAGTGACGCGGGCGACGATGACGACGATGATATGGACGATATCATGATGGTGGATATCCAGCCTGATGGACCTGGGGATATTGGCCTCGAGTGGCGTGGTAACGATCAAGCTCTGGAAGAAGATGAAGCTACCATGGCCGGTTATCCGCCTCCTCCACCCCCACCCGCAGCTGCACGCCGGTCTGCCAGAGACCGCGATTTGACGCCTTCAGACTCCGACACTGCTGAGCCCCTGATTGCACCTGCAATATACGCCAAGGCTAACTTGGAAATTCCCAAAACTCCTGGCCAGGGAGAGAAGGCGCCCTCACCGAAGCCAGGTAGGTATTGGCTTGAGACTCCCCCTGGGTATATGAACCGTGAGAATGTTCCCTCGGCGGAGGATGTCTTCCAAAGGGTTCGTCTAGACTGGCTCATTCTATTCGATCTTCGCATGTGGAAGAAGGTACGCAACGACCTTCGATCTCTCTACATCTCAACTGTTGTTTCGATACCCGAATTCAAGCGCATATTGGGACTGCGATTTGCAGGATTATACACAACGCTGGCTCAACTCTACTTGATTGGAGACAGAGAGCCGGATCACTCCATCATCAATTTGTCTCTACAGATGCTCACAACACCTTCGATCACTGCAGAGATTGTCGAGCGCGGCAATTTCATGACGAGCTTGCTCGCCATCTTCTACACCTTCCTCACCACTAGACAAGTAGGCTACCCATGGGACGTCTCGTCCAATGCTGTCCTCGCCTTCGATTCTGGTTCAGTGACGAATCGGCGTATGTACCACTTCTATCTTGACTTGAAGTATCTTTTCGGCTCGCCAAACGTCCAGGAGAAGCTACGCACCGAGGAGAGATATCTCCTGCAGTTCTTGGATCTCGTCAAGCTACACCAAGGCATTGGGCCGAATGTGCGCGCCATTGGGGAGCACGTCGAATACGAGACGGATAGCTGGATAACGGCTTCGCTGGTGACACGCGAAATCAACAGACTTGCTCGACAACTGGCCGACGCGTACAGGAATGTGCCGGATAACGAGGCACACTTCGTCGCCCAAGCCATCAGATTGACAGCAAAGGCTGTGATTCTTCACTCTATTGGTGCTGAACGCCATCGATTTAAGCAGGCCGAGATCAAGGAAGAGGTCAAGTTCAAGACTCTTGGTGATTTCGAATTTGACAATGAGTCGGCACGGTACGAAGTGGTCAAGTTCACCGTCGAGGAGGACCCCATCAGCTTCCACCACGCCCTCCACTATACGCTCTCGTGGTTGGTGGAGTGCGGGAAGTCTCTCCCTGCCTCAAGCATGCGAGCCCTCCTGAGCTTCACAACGCAAGACTTGAGGGTTCCTCCCCGCTCCATGGGCCGCAAGGTCATGCCGAGAAGGGACAACTCACCGGAAGATAACCTCATGGCTGCATTCGACTACCCCTTGCGGGTTTGCGCTTGGTTGGCGCAGATCAAAGCGAACATGTGGGTTCGCAATGGCATTAGTCTGCGTCACCAGGCGGCGACATATCGTGGAGTCAGCCAAAGAGATGTCTCTCACCACCGAGATATCTTCTTGCTTCAGACTGCCATGGTCACAGCGGATCCAAGTCGCGTCCTCGCATCCATCATTGATCGATTCGGCATGGAGAAATGGGTCAAGGGCTTTTTTGAGCAAAAGTCGGCAGCGCAAGACGATGCGCAACATTTGGACGTGGTTGAAGACATGATTCACCTCCTAATTGTGTTGCTAAGTGATCGTACATCATTGATTGCCTCCGAGGACGAGCCCAACGCCAATGTTCTCGCCATCCGCCGCGACCTCACTCATATCCTATGCTTCAAGCCTCTTTCGTTCAACGAAATCAGCAACAAGCTGCCCGAGAAGTGGCAGGAGCAAGAGGATTTCCACCGTGTTCTTGATGAAATGGCTTCATTCAAGCCTCCAGAGGGTGTCTCCGACGTAGGCACTTTTGAGCTACGACCCGAATTCGTTGAGCATATTGATCCTTACATTGCCCACTACAACAAGAATCAGCGTGAGGAGTCCGAGCTAGCTTATCGCAAGAAGATGGCTATCAAGACTGGGAAGCCGGTCGAAGAGATTGTGTACGAGCCCAAACTTCGATCTATTCCCTCAGGACTGTTCAAGGATCTGGCTGCGTTCACTAGTACCGGCATGTTTGCCCAGGTCATCTACTACTCCTTGCTCTACCCGCTGGTCGCCGCCAGACTCACGCCGAGTGTGCCATCCACTCGCACTGAGACTTTCCTTCAGGTTGTTCTTCACCTGATTCTCATCGCGATTTCCGAGGACAAGGCCGACGAGAGCGACATGACGGAGGAGTCGCTCAACTCATTTGTCTTTATCTCCTTGACACGCACTGCCCGAAGTAACTTCATGCAAGAAGCGCCCAATGCAAAGACCATCGTCGCGTTGCTGGACATGATGTCTACCAAGGAAGAGTTCAAGGCGTGCCACCCCAAGATTGCTCTCATCCTGAAGAGGATGCGACAGAAGCGCCCCCGCAACTTTGAGAACGCATATGTTCGATTGGGTGTATCGGTTGACCGCATCGATACTGCATCCCCTGCCAACAACTCTGCAGAGGAAGAACGCGAGCGCAAGAAGAAGGCCGCACTCAGTCGACAGGCAAAGGTCATGGCACAGTTCCAACAGCAACAGAAGAGCTTCTTGGAGAACCAGGGCAACATTGACTGGGGCTCGGATCTCGAGGATGAGGAAGAGGCCGAGCAGAACACTGACCGGAAGAACAATTGGAAGTATCCCACTGGCACCTGCATTTTGTGTCAAGAAGACACAGACGACCGTCGTCTTTATGGAACGTTTGCTCTGTTCAACGAGAGTCACATTCTACGACAGACAGATTTACAAGATCCAGACTTCGTCAGGGAAGCCTTCCACACACCTTCCAGCCTGGATCGCTCTGC